ACCCATGATGACATGGACGAAGAGCCTGCCGTAGACTGCTGGGGTTCTATATCGCGATGCGATGGGAAAGGCGCATGCAGGAGTATGGTGTGCAAAAGAAAAGGCATGGGATTAATAACAATCCAGCTTGAGGGTAGAATGAGGTATATTTCACTGGTTCCGGCCGGTTTGGAACAGGATCAGTGAGACAGCGTTGGTAGCTCACACTTGTACATAGAGAGCTAAGCCTAAGGCTGGTCCTGCGTTTCGGTCCGGAGGTGTACAAGGCAGGTGCTTTGATACTTTGCCTGGCTCATCCGCTCCAAGACCGAGAACCAGTGCGCTAGAGACCGAGGTCTACTACTCGTCGTCAACGCCCACCAGCTTGTTCGACTTCTCCCACAGCTCCCTTGCAGCCTCCTCGTCGTACGCCCAAGGGGCGTATCCAACCTCGCTCTGTAGCCAATCTTCATTTACTTCCGCTGGCTCCTCCTCGGCAAGGTTGCTAAGATACTTGCCGCCTCGGCCTTCCCATTCTTTACTTAGCGCAGCGTAAATGGTCGTGGCCGCCCCCTGGCCTACACTCTTCATGCACTTGAGCAGCATATCATTCGTCGCGAACGACTCTAATACCTCCTTGCTGAGATATTGGGAGAGGTTGGTCTGAATGATACCCGGGTGCAGAGAGAGGCCGTGCAATCCCTTGGATCCGTATCGTCTTTCAATCTCGTTGGCGAGGTGGATGTTGGCCGTCTTAGATTGCCCATACGCAGTCCAGGGTTCGTAAGGATCATTCTCAAAGTTGAAGTCGTCGAGACGGACCTTGCTGAAGCGATGGCCCGAGGAGGCCACAGAAATCACGCGCGAATGGAACTGAGGCGTGGAGGCTGCGAGCAAATCGGGCTTCAACAGTTGAAAGAGGAGGAAGTGGCCTAAGTGGTTGGTGCCAAATTGGGTCTCGAAACCGTCCTCAGTCTTCGACTCGGGTGTGGCCATGACGCCGGCGTTGAGAATGAGCAGATTAAGCTTGTTCTCTTTGTCATGGAAGGTCTTAGCCGCTGCTCGTACCGAGGCAAAGGAATCTAGACGCATCTCTATGGCGTGAATGGGCGCATTGGACTTGGGACCGGGTCCGTTCTTGATGTTTTCGATAGCCTGCTGAGCTTTGGCCGAGTCCCTGGCAGTGATGTAGAGAGTAGCCCCAGTGGCGTGGATGGCTCGCGCTGTCTCGACACCAATACCAGAGTTTGCGCCCGTCACAAGGACGACCTTGCCGGCGAGCTTGTTGAACAGGTCTTCATCCTCAACGACCTGAAGAGCTGTAGGTCGCGCATCTCCAGGGCCCTGGGTGCTAACGTGAGAGGCAGCGTATCTAGACATCGCGATGGATGATAGGGAATTCCTCAAGGAGTCTGGTTTGTGTAGTAAAAGGGTAATGTTGTTGTAGTACGTGAATTGTGTGTAGCCGTCAGTAGGAGTGCGGAAACACCTCTCTATATATCACCAGGGCGTGCTAGGCTCTAGCCACGACAGTATGCATGGTGAACGTAGAGCGGAAACGCCGTACAAAGTGCCAAGAGTCGGGCAAATGTGAGGAAAGCGGCATCTCGGGCCTTATTACAAAGCCGGAGGAACCAAACCCGTGCTTTGTAAACAAGCTAATCGGTAGGAGGAGCCGATGATACCTTTTAGAAGGTTGGTTCATGATTCAAAGTTGAAAATCAGATCACAGAGTGGTTCATTTACGTCCTGGATCCATAATTAGCTCGAGTACACGTACAGGGAAACGCCGAACTACATGAAGTGTCTGCATCGTTCCAATGTCCCGCAAGTTAGCGGGTTGCAGCATTGCACATGCCGATGTAGGTCCACTACGTTGTGGTGCGTTCTCGGCAGTATTGGACTCCGTTAACTCCGTGATAGACTAGAAGCTTAGGCATATCGAGTCCCCCACATCACTGCTGCAGACAAGCTCTCAGGCAAACATGAGGCTGCATGCTTGTCAAATTGGTGTACTCAACTCATCCGCGGGACAAAGCATGCTGACATCGAGAAGCCTTCCAGCAGCGCTTCCTACTCAAATGACGGCACTTAATACAAGAGAAAGCAAATGGGCGAGAGGGACATCTTCTGGCGTACTTTGATATGCAAATCACCAGCTCTATACATGGCTGTGTTTCCACCGATCTTTCATTTGAGGATGCATGCAGTAGCGCAGATACGTTGGAGAGCTGAGACCGCCTCCATGAGTCGAAGCTTGGAACGTACGTGAACTAAGAAAGTTGAAACCTATCGACACGCCCCCCCCCCCACCCCTTGGCCGCCATCATCCTAAAGTCACAGCAGCAGTCTAAAACTGATCGCGTTTGTGGTTTTCCTTTGACATGCTGATTCATAAGCACTTTCTCAAGATATTAATCTGGCACTGCGAACACAAGGCGCACGGCTCATACGTCGTTGACGTGACAGGAACTATAAAAGTTTGTAGGATAGCCCGCTCATAGAGCGATCTCTTGCCAACACAAGCTCACATTCTCACTTTTGAAAACATGGCTCCTCTCGTCTGGTTGATTACAGGAAGTTCCACTGGCTTCGGTGCCGAGTTCGTGAAGGCGCTTCTCGCGGCGGGAGACAAGGTTATTGCCACGGCGCGCAACCCCACCAGCATCGCACATTTTCAAAAGGCGGGAGCATCGGTTCTCAAGCTAGACTTGACCTCAAGTCAGTCTGACTTTGAACAACTGGCCGAGAAGGCCATTGGCATCCATGGCGGTGTGGACGTTGTAGTGAACAATGCCGGATACCCACACTTCAGCACCATTGAGGACGATAGGTACGATGACTCCATGTCTCCAACCAACAAGTTATCTGTCTAACTGTGATAAGCCTTGAGAATTGGACTAAGGTATTCCAAACTCACGTGTTCGGCCCTCTTGGCGTCGCACGAGCTTTCCTGCCACACTTTCGGGAGAAGAAGGCTGGGAACTTTGTCTTCATGGGATCGATTGCGGCCTGGGGAGGGCTGCCAGCAGTTGGGGCCTACTGCAGCTCCAAGGCGGCTCTGCGAGGTTGGTTTCACCTTCATCACGCTCCAACGCAGCAATGGAATGACTGACCTATTTCGGTAGCCGCGGTTGAGAGTCTAAATCTGGAAACAAAGCCCCTTGGGATCAGGACGCTCCTTGTCGAGCCCGGATACTTCCGAACAGAGTTTCTCAATGAGAAGAAGGCAGTCTACATTGACACCAAGATCGATGAGTACAAGCCTCTCGTCGACAACCTGTACCCACAGGTGAAGGGAATCCATCAACAGCAGCCCGGCGATCCTGCCAAGGGTGTGGCGCGCATTCTCGACGTGGTCAAGTCCCATGCGGCCGGTGAAGATATCCCCGTCAGCCTGGCCTTGGGCGACGATGCTCTTGACACAATCCGGAAGAAGTGCACCGACACGTTGGAGTTGCTGGACAAGTGGGCAGAAAAGTCTTCGAACACGTCATTCTAAAGGGACTACGGGATCGAATGGAGAAGTCGAAGCCTGCAGACACGATACTCCTCAGGCTTGTATGATTAGCGGGAAGGCCCTTGCTGCATACTTTAGTGCAGCAGAAGATAAATGGCCATAGGATAGCCCACAAATTTTGCTTCCCGAATCTTTTTGCTGTTCTACTCGCAGTGGTGAACGACTGTCCCCAATACTTCCATTCAGATTCGTTGCGCTCTTGTTTGGGGCTTGATCTTCATCTCGACGACGTGTATAATTCGCTGCGCCCTCGGCCTCTCCGATGTCTTACAGATGTTTTCTCTCGTCCGGCGGTGCCCTCCGCTCGGCTATCACCACCCCGGGACCCACAGGGGTAAACACCACAGTTGGCGCTCTGCCACAGCTTCCTCGAACTGAACGGAGATCAACGAAAGTGCCCGCGCTCTGACCGTCTCAGACGTTTTTGTGTGATTGGAGGTATTCAAAAGTACTCCAGACTCTCACGTCCCTTGCCGTGACTTGCCAAGAAAACGAACTGATCTCGAAGCGGTGCTGAAAAGACACCAGATTGCGCGAATCAAGCTCATGCAAGATACTTTTCAGTACACGAGACTGAGACGTTAGATACCTCGGGAGACCCTGCAGACCGGCCTTTGTTGATATTTGCAAGGCGAAAAAGGGCAGGCTTCTGGGCCTGATACCTAGGCACGTCGTTGAGATTGGCGTTGTTTCCGTGTCTGGAATGGGTTAGTCGAGTTTTTCCTGCCTTAGCTTGCGCCGGATTTCCCCATTAGGAAAACAATCAGGAAACTTTACGAAGCACTAGTGTGTTCAGTCACGGACCACGCTGTTTCGTCTGTTCGAGTGGCTTATATTGGCCCCAGGGCTTCGGCTGGGAAAAGGTGGGGCTACAGAGCATAGTGCTGCCAACGATTCACGCGAAACCAATCCTTTCCTCCACCCAATTTAGCTGTCTTCATTGTTCAGAGGCGTTCTTGGCAGAGGTTCCAGCCGTCCGAGACTCCCTGCGACGCGGTCGGGACGAAGGCGGCGGTCAACGAAGTGGGCCAGAAGTGGGTGCTGTTCTGGCGCTGAGATATGACGTTTACAGCGTTACATAAGGCGCTTGATTGTTTCCCTAAAACGGCAGGACAGAAGGCACTGACGCCGCAGTCGATAGGGGTGCAGCTAAACTGCTTTCCAGCTTGGCCGTCCTCACGACACCAAAATGTAGCCGCAACAGAATGTACTCGCGACGAGCCAAGACTCAGTCGTCCCTAACGCCGGCGCAATTTGTCATTGACCCTACAGCTTCGCCACTGTCCTCCTCAATGCTGACCAACAGCTAGTGGCTCCAGTGACCGAGGTCGCGATGACCAAGATGAGGCAACTACAGGAATCCTTGGCTTGTTCGACGAGGGATCTCGGGCCACTGGCGGTCCCGATTCGCGCCTTTAAGAACGAACGGCTTCGCCAGACGATCGTAACTCCCCGCGATCACAGAGTTAGTTACAGCTTTTCATGCATTGGATCAGTCGAAATGAAATTTTCCGCCATTTACCCTCTCGGCCTGATCCTAGGCACGGCCCGCGCAATCAACATGACGGACTACGCAGCAACCTGCAGTGTTGACCGAGACTTCAAACGGTGGTACAGGGAGTACGTGAAACTACGACAGACATTGCGACCAAGACTGACATTTGGCCTCGTGCAGATTACTCGGAGCCTTCGAAGATTCGACCACGACCGACAGTGTCACCAATTTCTTTGCGCCCGGAGGCGCCTTGGTCCTCGGAGGGTCTCGTATCACGGGCGGAGAGGCCATTCTAGCAGCCCGGGGCGCGATCCTACCCGCTGACGGATCCATCCAATGGAATGTGCGTACCGTCATGTCGGATCCAGGCTCATGGAGAGCAGTGAAGGATATCAGCTGACGTCGAACCAACAGCACTTCCCCAACGTCACCGTCGTCGCTTCAGAGACGCCAACAAACAAGTCGTTCGAGGTCACTGGGGTCCTGCAGATAACCCTTTCCGCCAACGCGAGCTGCTCGACAACATAGTAGGACACCTGGAAATCCTGTTGAAACGTCCGTACCAGATACCGCAGTGCTAACCATGCAACTTGAAGTTACCAAACGCTCTTCACCGTCGAGAAGAACGTGACCACCGGCAGAGCAAACCTCGCTCCGCAAGGCGGCAGTCTTGTCATATATGACGGATTTTCCGTGAATGCCACGAATGACCCGTGTATCAAATAGACTAGCTATGGGTCAAGCTGAGTCCACCTTCGGCTGAAAGATCGACAGAAATGTCAGCACTGGGATGGGGTGTGGAATACTGACGATAACTCTGAAGTACTTGCACCTCTCAGGGGCCCACAGGGAGCTGAATTGCGGCTGCGGTGAGCCTTCTGCTTACGGTAGCATGCCGCTAGGCTCGTGTACGACGCCAATTAACGGCGTCTTGCTTCAAGCAGGCTTCTCCTTGTACAATATTTTGGAATCTTGGTCTTTTCTCGCTGGGGGTGTGCGTATGACATGTGATTGATAGCCAAAAGGCACCCGCGGATACATCGGGCGGTGGATTAGTTTAGATGGTTGGGGCCTACGAGAGTGCGTATATAAAGGCTGCAAAGCCCCTCCTCAGTAGTTGCGGCAGGCTAGAATTCAGATGTACTTTTACCACATACCTCAACATCGACTGCATGTATCACTTGCAGAAGACCTCTCCACTTCACCCATCCACATGCTTTGACGGATGAATACAGCCAGGCTTAGGCACATGGGATACTTCTTTTCTGCGCCTGCAGCAGCTTATTGAGTGGGCCTGGTTGGTCACGTAGTTTTTCTCGATCATCGTGAGCCACAGATAGCCGGCAAGTCGATCAAAGTCTTAGAAATGTAGAGACAGCACAGCGTTAAAACTCTACACGGAATCCATTTGATTGTTTTACAAGTTCCATTCCTATACCCTCACTAAACATGGGTAAGGATCAAAGACGTCAACAGCTCACTGCGCTTCAAGGACAGGCTCATCAACGTACTGTCTGATATGGTGATCGATGTATTCCTCGCTGTCTGAAAAAGAAGTCGGGCGAGCTTCACTGGCCAGCAGCGTAACTTGAATTCATGATTGACCTCAAAAGAGGATTTTCCCCTACTAGTAGCCGAAGGAAATCATGCCCTTCTATGACAATAAGTAACGTAACGGGCCAGAGGCGTGGCGCTGAACTAGTTTCATTGCTTCGGCATGGGAGGTCAATCTCTGTAAAGTATTGATGAATGAGACCTGAGAGACAACCATTCGACCTGATATCTTTTTCCACAGTCTCAAGTACCGATTGAGTGGGCTCTCCCGATATATTGGTCGCTCAGACCCTTTCTCGTGACCAAGACTTCATCGAGCTTCAACCTTTGTTATCAACAGATTTCTCTGCGATCAGTGTACACGTGTCAAGACAAAAAACAAATGTGAGGACGAAACGCTGTGTACACCATCCTTTATTTGGCATGTGCTTTATAATGTGCATTGATGATACTCTTCTTGATATTGCGCATGTACTACTTCATGTGTTGTCTGTACGTCTTAGAGGTCGATATGGCTTGTCGCTCTAGTGAGGGCACAACCGCTGCTTGACATGTTGACAGTTTCTGCATTCACTGAGACGGCCTGAGAACGGAATATTGCAACTTCTGTCATACTTAACAGCCATATTTTCGTGCATCTCGGCTATGGGCACTAATACGTTTTCGCTCCTTCCTCCTCAGAGCCACCATGCCCCACATACACTCAGTTGTTAACTCCTCCGCCAACTCCTGGCGTTCTGCTTTGTTTCCTTACCTTCACTACCCACTTCACTTTCACTCTCCCGCGTTCTTCAACCGGCCCCCAGTTCCCAGTCTCTCCGCGACCGCCTCGTCTCCACGACTTGATCTTTCTGGCTCTCATTAGTCGACTTGCTCAGGCTCCACGCTCATTCAGCAAATCAAGTAAGTTTTGCGTGGTTCTTCTCTGCACGCCATTTCAGTTTCCAGTTGCCGGAATACTTTCAAAGCACTTGTTTCTTGAAGTTACGTTTTCCTATTGCGGACATCGCACTTCTAGCGCTTCTTTGAATGCTTTCCTCGTCTGTCATGCTTCTCCTTTGATTCACACGAGCGCGTTATGTTGTTGTTCCTTCCTTATCTTTACATGTGCACACTTCATACCCCAGCAAACCCGAAACAGTATCTCTCGTCCTCGTTTCTGCCTTAACATTGCGAGTTGTCATTTCTTCACAGGGAAATTATCGTTGAATCAGGAACCTGAAGCTTTGTCAGTCATCTCTTGATTTTGGCTCTTTTCATGTTTCAGGAGCTGGCTCTCGTGAATGACATCGCAGCTTCCGTGTTGTCGCCATCTGATTTTGTCTCTTATCCCGCCCTTCATATTCTTTTCGTGTTTTGCGGGTCTCTTTGGCCAACCAGAAACTAATCACACTCTTAGACACTCTCTGACGAGCAGTCAAAGCAAGTGAGTTCAGCCTGTTTCCAAATGACAAGATCTCACACTAACATGGCGCAGTGGAGCAGCATCCTGTCAGTGTTCCTGACAAGTTCGAGTACTACAAGGACGTGTTCGACTACCCCCCTGAAGACTGCTTTCCGGTCACTCGCCCGATGGCCGCCCAGGTTGTCCGTGTCAAGAAACATCGCTCGAAGGGCTACCTCCCCGCTTGCGGTTTCATGACTGCCTTCATGGCTCTGGTTCTTGCCATCATTGGCCTTGGCCTTCTCGCCTCTGGTATGTGCATGCACGCCTTTTCACGACAACATCTAACATGTCCAGGTCGTGTCACCTTCAACGTCAATGCCGAGGATGCTGAGGATACTTTCCCTCAGCTTGCCCGCCGTGACTTCCACGCCACTTACAGCTACGCGTTCCCCAACACCACTGTTGTCACTTCGACTGCTGGCGCTCCTGAGGCCTATGGCTCCCAGACCACCTCCGCTGTCAACACCACTGTCTCTAACAGCACTGTCTCACTCACCAAGACCGCTACCGTGTTTGCCACTGTTTCCCTCGACAGCGCCACGGGTATCCAGGCCACTTCTGACGCTCTTGCCCTCACCGGTCCTGCTGCCTCAGACACTGTCACGTGAGTCTACAAATTTGGCCCCTTTGCCTTTTCACAAGCGCTGACATGGTCCTAGCACGACTGGCACTGTGGTCGCTGATGGTACGGTTGTTGAAACTATCAACGGCGGCACCATCACTCGTTACCGCAATGCCACCCACACATTCACCCAATACCAGACCGTCACCTCAGGTGTGACCGAGGCTGTCATCGAGACCATCCTGGCCACCGAGACTGCCGAGATTGTCGAGACTGTGATTGGAAGCACCCTGACTGTGGTTGAGCACAGCATGGCCACTCTCACGGTGACGGTCGATGCAGAGGAGTCGTCTGTCGTTGCCCCTGAGGTGACCTCCACAGTCATGGCTTCTGAGGAGTCGTCTTTCCTCATTCCTCCCTCTGTGACCTCCACAGCCATCGTCTCTGGTGGTGCTTCGTCTGCCATCTCATCTGACATGACCACCGAGGTGGCCTCCTCGTCTGTTTCCAGCAACTTTAGCACCTCCACCACCGAGACCACCGTCACAGTCACTCCCACGGTATCTCTGACTACGACTGTCACGGTGGAAGCCCCTACGGATGTCGCCACCATCATGGCCACCACCACGGTCGTCGGTGGCACCACGACTGTCCGTGTCACCCGCGATCACACTGTCTTCACTACACTCATCCCGGTCCAAACCGAGGTTCCTCAGACTTGTGCCGCCGACCAAACGGTCTTCATCACCGTGACTGAGGTCGCCAGCCCCATGCCTGTCGAGACCACAACGACCGTCTACCCTACTACCTCTGTGGTCACTCACACCCGCCACGGCATCGTGACAGTCACCTTTCTGACGACCGAGGTCCAGACTGTCGTCCAGACTCTGTCGACCGAATTCGAGATGACCACCTCGGACGTGCTCGCACAGCCAGGTACCCCGATCAAGGCGTCTACCACGTCTCCCTTGTCGTCGGAAGCCCCCGTCACTGAGACGCAGGTCCTCACCCTGACGGAGACGGACATTGCCACGCACACCGTCAGCGTCATCGAGTCCGCGGTCCTGACGACCAAGGTCTCTATGTTCACCACCATCACCATCCGCATCGGCACCACGACCCTCCACGGCGGCGTCGTCACCGTGACCGTCGAAGCCCCCTCGCCAGCCCCGTCCAGCCCCGTCGCCGAAGACGCGGACGTGCAGACCGTGACCAAGACCGAGTACGCCACCGAGCACCTCACCGCCCCAACCCCCAGCGTCCCCGGCAGCGACGCCGCCCACGAGACGAAGACAATCTACGAGACCGAGACCCACGCGCTGTCCGTCACGGCCACCGACCCCATCGTCGTCTCGGCCCCCATGACGCTCTACAGCACCGTCACCCACACCGCCCTCGTCACGCGCACCATGCAGACCACCGTCGACGGCACGCTCGTCGAGCAGGCCGCCACGGCCCTCGAGACCAGCACCGAGGTCCTGACCCTGACGCGCACCATCGGCCTCAACACGACCGCGCTCGTCACCGCCACCGGCGAGACCCGCTCCCTGCACGTGTCGGGCTTCCTCCCCGGCCCCGGCGCCAACGCCACCGCGTCGATGGCCTGGCCCGTCGAGGTCTCGGGCGGCGAGAAGCGCGCCGACGCGCGCGCCAGCGTCTTTTCGCTCGTCCTCGCCTTTGCGGCGCTTCTGTGCCTTTTCTGAAAGGAGATCCCTTGACCTGTCACCCCTCCTTCATCATCAGAGGTGGGCAGTCTTGGGCGGCAGCATGCTTTGTCGTTGACTCTTTCTCCTGGTGGAGTCTGACTGGAGCGAGCATGTGCACCAAGCCCTGGGATTTGAATCGAGGCAGTTTGTGATTTTTCGGCGTTTCAGGCTTCATCGCGCCGGCGTGCGCTGGATATCCAGGGAGTAAACTGGCCAGTTCAAGCCGGCATTCTTGGTCTCTATGTGAAAGGGTTTGGAATCAAGGCTTTCCCCTGGCCGTTGGGCTACTTTTCTCTCCCTCTCTCAACAGGGAGCATGGATAGGTTGGACTCAATGTGGGAAGAGGTCCCTTCTCTCCACGTTACCTTAGGCTAGGCAAAAGAAATTGGCAGTTCCATCCCGATGGCGTTTGACGTTTGACGTTTGTGAAGTGTTTGGCATTGCGTGAGACGGCCGTTCAGTCATCATGCTGGCTTTCCCCGTTTCCCTTTCATGAACCTGCTAGACGTGCCTGCCAGTGATCTATGTACCCATCCTCATCCAACACCAGTGATCGCTGAGAGGCCTGATTGAGGGACAAAAGAGAAGTCAAAAAAAAAGAAAAATAGACACTCAGTTTTTTGCAACCTGGAGAATTCTCTTCTCCATCTCCTCAAACGGATCAACGACCTCTCCATACCTCTCAAAGACGCCCTTCCTGTACCCGATGTCGACCCTCTCGACAGCCTCGTCCTCCTTCCACCTGGCGCCGATGAGCTCGTCAAACGTCTCGCCCTCCTTCCTCTCCCGCGCCCAGACGGCCTTGTAGGCGCCGCCGAGCGCGCAAGCGTTGCCGCCGACGTCGAGCCTGTAGACGCCCTCGGCGCCGCCGAGGACCTCGCCCAGCACCTGCCCGATGGCCGGGTTTAGCGAGCCGCCGCCGACGAGGTAGATGCGACGTGGCTGCGCGGGGAGCCCCTCGCTGGGGGCGTGGACGAGGTTGCGGCTGCGGAGGCGCATGCTGAGGGCCTGGCTCTCGACAATGATGCGGGCGTCTGTCTCGGGGGTCCACTCCTCCTTGGCCTCGGCGAGCGCACCGCTCGGGGAGAGGGTGTGTCGGTAGGTGCCGGCGCGGATGTTGGGCACGATTTCCGGGCGGGGGAAGTAGAGACCGAGCTTCCTGTCGTCCTTGTCCGAGGCGGCACCGAGGACGGGTGTCGACGTGACGGCCTCGTTGAAGGCGGCCCAGGGGTCCTTGTCGTCGTTGCCGACGCGGTCGCGGATCTGCTCACGCGCGAGACCACCGTTCTTGTAGCACAGCATGAACATGTACTGGCCGGGGGTCGTCGGGTGGTTCATGAAGTGGTAGCTGGCGTCGGGCTTGTAGATGGGCGTGATCATGAGAAAGGTGCTGCTGGTGCCGAGGGAGACGATGGCGTCCATGGGCCGCAGCGGCAGGGCGAGGATGGTGGCTGGGTTGTCGCCGGTGAAGGGCGTAATGTGGCAGTCGGCGGCGAAGCCGTGGCGGCGCTGGAAGTAGGGGGCGATGGTGCCGAGAGAGGCGCCGCCGTCGTGTTCAGGTTCGCCGAGCTTCGCGCGCAGGGCGGCAGCCTTGTCCCCACCACCGCCGGCGGCGAGGGAGACGAGCTCGTCGGACCAGGCAGCCGAGGGAATGTCCCAGAGGTTCATGCCCGTAATGTCGCTGATGTCGAAGGGGGCGATGCGGCCCAGGAGCAGGGAGGCGAGGAAGGAGGAGATGAGCGATATGCGGGCGGTGGCGGCGTACATGGCGGGCCGCTTCTCGCGGAGGCGCATGATCTGGGTGCCAGTGAAGCGGTGGTGGGCGGCGCTGCCAGTGACGTGGGCCAGACGCTGGGCGTCGCCGAGGTGCTCGTCGAAGCGGTCACACTGGGCCTGGGTGCTGCCATCCTGCCAGTTGGGAGCGTAGGGGTGGGAGAAGGCATCGGCGAGCTGGTCGACGAGGGCCTTGGCGGGGTCGAGGTTGGCGAGCAGGGCCTCGGCCTCGGCGGACCAGTACGTGCTGCCGTGCTGCTGGCAGGAACCGGAGATGCCCTTGATGCGGGCCACGCTGTCGCGGCTCGTCTCGCGCAGGCGGTCGAGGGCTAGGTCGAGGGCCTCGAGGAAGAGGGCTACGGGGGCAAAGACCTCATGTTCGGCGTCGTTGGTGAGGACGCCTTTTGTGATGTTGTACTTGGAGCCAAAGTCGGCGTCAAAATCGACCTTGACCTCGGCGACGACGGTGAGGTCGGATTGGACAACGATGGCTGGCTGGTCAGCGTACGGTCTGGTGAAGATTGTGGTCAAGTCCAGAGGGTAGTGATGGGATGGAGAGGAGGTCTGTTTTGGAGGGGCAGCAGGGGCAGCAGCAGGCAGGCGAGGGGCAGGCGAGGGGATGAGGGGCAGGAAGTACCTTTGAGCTGCTGCGTCGACAGGTCGAACCCAAGATACAAGGGGCCCTCGGCAGACATGACGGGCGAGGAGGAGGATGCAGAGTCGGAAGAAACGAGAAAGGAGAAAAATCAAAAAAATCAAAAAAAGAGAAACAGGCAGAAAAGACCAGGCTCTTGGTCCTTTAAACACCAGACCCCCCTCATGTGTGACCGTCACTCGATTTTTTCCGGGTCAGCCCATCATCGTGACGCGGGGATGGCGGCAGTACCTCTCAGCGTACCTATCTGGGTGTCTGGGGTCCAGGCTGCTCAACGCGACAAGCCTCCGAGCTCAGAGTGACATGCGCATCTTCGAGCGGCAGAAACGGGGGACCCTCTCAGCCTTGGCCGCCCGAGCAGGGTGGGACCCCTCATTCTGCTTTGCTGGCCCGCCAAGATGTGGCCGCAAAGCTCCTGAGACGCGATTTAGGCTAAAGTGCAGGCCCTCCTTGGTGCTCAAAGTGCTTGGTGCTCAAGGTGCTTGGTGCTCAAAGTGCTTAGTGCTAAGGGCTAGGTGCTAAAAGTGCGAGGTGCTGCTATCCTTGGGGCGCGCCATTACCCTTAGCCTGTCAAGCTTCCCAGCGAGTCGGGTCCCCAGCGCTTGTGCTGCCGTGGGCTCATGCGCGCCAATCGTCATCTTGGCTGGTGCCAGCACTCGGAGTGTCGCCTTTCAAGCTCTTGGCGCTGAGGGTCCAGGTCCCGATCGTGTCTTTCTGTCCGAGCATCCCGGGGATGAACGCCATGTGGAGAGCCCGACCGAGATGGGAAGGTCGAGGTGGCCTCCGACGTCGGCGTCGACAGGCATTGCATCATCATAAAAGCATCGCGAAGGCCAATATCAGATTACGGCGAAGTGAGAAAAATGGTAATTGAAGAATTGCATGCCGGCAGAGCTACCTTTGTGCGTCGCCCGTCAACCAGCGTGAGCTGTGTGTAGCCTCAGCTCGGTCAAACCCTCCCCCAAAAAAACGCCATTCCCACGCAGGACGCACCTGCGCCAGCCAGCCTGTCCCAGCCGTGTGGCCGGCTGTTTTTTTTTTGCTGGACCAATTGGGAATTCAAATGCCATGTTGGAAAGCCACATCGGCAGAACAAATGCCATGTCGGCATGACCAGAATTCCATGACCTCTCCGCGGCTGACGAAAAGACATGAAAAAAAGAAAAAAGAAGAATCACGGTACATCTCAGCGCTCACTGGTGCTTCTCGTGGGCGTGGCCATTGCCATTGCCATTCGCGTGGCTGTGCCCATTGCCGTTGGCGTGTCCGTTGCCGTTGCCGTTCGTGTGCCCATGGTCATGGTCATGATCATGGTCGTCCTCGTCCTCCGACTCGGGCGACGCCCGCTGGCTGACCTCGCCCGCGATGTACTCGTCAAACTTGCCGGCGACGGGCGCCTCCTTGGGCACGTAGCGGATCCGCACGCGGCGCACACCGCGCACCTTGGCGCCGACGCGCTCGCGCACGGCGGCCTCGACCTCCCGCGCCTCCTCGACGGTCCAATCGCCGGGGACGGCGAGCTCGACGTCGACGAGGTAGTTCTGGCCGCTCTTGACGCCGGCGACATCGCGGACCTCGACGTCACGGCCGACGCCGCGGGCCTCGAGGCTCGCGCGGGCGTGGCGCGTGACCGAGGCGCGGACGTCGTCGTCGATGCTGCGGTCGGCGAGCTCGTAGAGGGCGCTGACGGTGTTCTCGGCGCCGGCCTTGACGACGAGGAGCGAGATGAAGAGGCCGCCGACGGGGTCGAGCCAGGCGGCGTTGGAGAGGATGTTGGCGCCGAGGACGACGGCGAGGGTGACGACGCCCGTGAGCGAGTCGACGCGGTGGTGCACGGCGTTGGAGGCGAGGACGGAGGATTTGCGTTCGCGGGCAACTTTCATGGCTGCTGCTGTCAGTTTCTTTCTGCCTCATGTCTCTTTCGTCTGCCTCTCTCTCTCTCAAGCACAAACTCACTTGCGTGGTAGAGCCACTCCTTGATGGCCACGGTGCCGGCGGCCAGCCACGCGGCGTGCAGACTGGGCCCGGCATGACCGTGGCCGTGGGCGTGGCCGCCGTGGCTGTGGCCGTGGTGCATGTGGGCAATGGCGTCGGCGGCGGCGGCGGGGTCGAGGAAGAAGTGGGCGTGCAGGGTCAGCAGGCTGCTCCAGAACATGAAGAGGCCGCCGCCGAGGAGCATGCTCGAGACGCCGAGGGAGCCGAGGCTCTCGACCTTGCCGAAGCCGGCGGGGAAGGCGTCGGTCGGCGGCTTCAGGGACCACGAGACGGTGGCGAGGGTCAGGATGTCGGAGGCGAGGTCGGTCAGCGAGTGCCAGGCGTCGGCGATGAGGGCCTGGGAGCCAAAGGCGTAGCCGCCGGCGCCCTTGGCGAAGGCCATGCCGAGGTTGGAGAAGAGGCCGATGCGGGTGATGCGGACGCCGGCGTCGTTCTTGTTGGAGGAGGTCAGGTACGTGTTGTCATGGTGGTGGTGGTGGTGGCCGTGGCCGTGCGAGTGCCCGCCGTGGGAGCGCTTCTGGTCGGCGCCCATTGTGCGGTTGATGCTCGCGAACGCTGTCGAGGGGTCGGGGACGAGTGGTCGCGTGCGTGTCGGCGCGGGCGGTCGTGTTCGCCGTGACGGGGACAAGAGCGGTGGTGGTGGTGTTGTGGTTCGCGTCGGCAGGGTGCTGTGGCAGCGAAAAGCGCGTCGAGAGCGAGGTCGATGTCTTGGGTCAAGGGTGGTGTTGGCGGTCGTCGTGATGGAAGAGACGGGCGGCCGAAAGGGATGAGGCGCAGTGCTGTAGCAAGGGGCGAGGGAACACGAAGGTGTGAAGGACAGGGAGCGACGACAGGAGGACAAGGAGCGAGATGTAGTCGTCGTCGTATTGGACAAGACAGCCACCAGTGGTTGAGGTTGATGTGGCCTCTGTCTCACGGAAGGAGACGAACAGAGTTGAACGAGGCGACGGAAGACGGGCCTCCAGACGGACGGATACGTGCCGGTGGCTGCTGCGGACGTCACGCCTACGGCGACCGTTGGGGATCCTCGCACAGCGGGCGCAGGCGAGGGTACGCAGGCGGCCCAGGGCTGGACGCTGCGCACGCGTAGGCCACCGCCAGCCAGGCGAAGGCGGGCCTGGGCAGACATGACCAGCAGCCAAGGGCAAGGTACTGGCTCCCTCACCTCAGAAACCTTGGACACCTCCCGAGTAGGTACGTACAGATGGCCGTGGACACCTCCCGAGTAGGTACGTACAGGTGGCCGTGGCAGGTACCGCAGGGCAGTGGGCGAGGACGAGCGTGAGGGGAAAGGGAAAAGGAGATGAGGGGATGAGGGGAGGGGGGGTACGGGACGAAGATGCCGCGCGTTACATGAATGCTTGTATGTCAGCACCAGGACAGAGGGAGAGAAGGGGAAAAAAAAAACACGATGCCAGCTCTGCTGGTGTGTATTCTCCAGAAAAGAGACGCGACGCCATGGACTTGATGTCACGCATCTGGGTCCTCGTCCGACGCCGGCATGACTTCAATTGCACACCAGCCCACCATCTCAGCCGGCGGTCAGTACTGGTACCTGCCTACCTGCCTACCTGCCTACCTGCCTACCTAGGCACCTCAGGTAGGTACAGCTCCCAGCACCCCTCAGCACCCTTCAGCGCCCCTTAGGCGGTCCCTTCGGGCTTTCGTATGTCCCCCTGTTCTGCCCCCCGTCATCAGCCCATTTTTGGCACACGCCCCGCCCTCTGCCCTGCCATCGACCAGGAAGAAAAGGTACTTTTCTGGCTGCTGCGAGCCGCACGAGCACGAGCCACACAACTCCACATGCTGCGTCAGCTTCTCCTCTCGCTCCCAAATTTCCAAGGATCTTGCCATTCCAGTGAAAATGGATTCAATGCACCCAGATCAACGCAATGGCGGCCCCGACGACGGCACAGAGCCTTCAGCCCGTCTCTTCCCCCCCTGACTCAAATCAAACAGAGAGATTCGCGGCCCCGTCACAGACGCCTGCCCGACCCACGTTGACTGCCGTTGTCGCCGTCAGAGGTACGCAGCAGAGCCACCCTCTTTGCCATCGCTGCTGGGCTTCGTTCCGGGCGCCACGGGATGTGGGCGGTGGGGGCGATCCGATCTGGCAAGCCCCGGCGCCACAGCCTGCTCCTGCGATGGGGGGTTTGCTGAGCGCCCTCTACCCAGAAGAGATGCATCCCGCGCATTGCTGTTTTTTCGAAGCCTGATGGCAACTGTTGACAGCGGCCCGGCCGGCGCGTGTTCTCTCGAGCCTCTTTACTTCTGCCTTGACGCACACGTCAGGTGTATCAATTCCCTTGACCACCACCATCCATGAACCTTGGCTTCGACTCGAGCGGTACTGGAGCGCGTTCGAGGTACTGGGCCTTTCACGGTTCGTTGGATATTTCCACAGCCGTATTCTTCCTGAGCATGGAGGTTTGAGGAAAGCGTTGAAAGGGGGTTCAATGGCACCTACAAAAAACCTACCATTTGATTTACCATCCGATTTAGGCAGAAAAGTCTGTTGTACGCAAGAATGAAGACCAAAAGGCCATGGCAAGATGCCTGACTGGGAGCAAATCATTTCAGGACTAGAGGAACATCATGCGAAGAGGAGTCCGTCAGGCTGTGTTTCCCTGCAGAGCTTAATGCAGTTGCTTGTCTGCACATTGGAATCCGAATGTGTCATGTGGATGGATAGGAGAAATCCGTACTGTTATTGCACCTCGCATATAATTCTCGCCACAAAGTACCTAGATGCATTTGTCACCGTCTCAAGCGTCAAGCCTATAGTGAGCCAACCTGGGGTAGGCAAGCTATAGCCCCACCTGGCCAGCCACAGCGCCACAGACCCAGTGGCACTCGAAAAAGCAACGATCCATGACGATGACGCTACATGCACCGCCGGCTGAGCCTCACGTTCGACACTGCAAAAAAAGAAGGACGAGGCGGACCTGGACAACCACGCGGCCGCATGCAAGAACGCGCGTTAAAAGTTGACGAGTGCACGGCGACTCAATTAGTAGTGTAGCAGCATAGCCGTCCGACACGACAGTCCGACACGACGCCGACACGCCTCCGACGCGAGTCCAAAGGCATGACGTCCCCCATGGGCAAGCCTCTCATGCGCATACCCTACACCGAGCTCTTTGCGCCGCCGACCCTGATCCCCCGCAACGCAAACACCCTCCCCGGCGCCGTCGCCGCCCTCACGCGCTTCCTGACGGCGCCGGTCGCCGATGGACGGTCGCCGACGACCGTCATCCTGTCGGGTGCCGGCCTCTCCGTGTCGAGCGGCCTCGCCGACTACCGCGGCGCCAAAGGCACGTACCGCGTCAACAAGACGTACCGGCCCATCTACTACCACGAGTTTCTCGCGAGCCATGAGGCCCGCAAGCGCTACTGGGCCCGCAGCTTCCTCGGCTGGCCCTCGCTGCAGCGGGCCCGCCCCAACGCCGGCCACCGCGCCATCGCGGACCTCGGCGGCACCACGGACAGCAGCAGCAGCAGCAGCAGCACCGGCTCCGGCCTCGGCCTCGTCAGCGCCGTCATCACCCAGAACGTCGACAGCTTCCACCCGCAGGCCCACCCGCACATGCCGACCCTCGAGCTCCACGGCTACCTGCGCAACACGGTCTGCGTCACCTGCCGCAGCGAGTTCCCGCGCGATGCGTTTCAGGCCGAGCTCGCGCGCCTGAACCCGGCCTGGGCCGCCTTTCTCGAAGAGGTGCTCGCCTCGGGCGCCCTCGAGACGGAGGACCCGGACGAGCGCCGCGCCAGGGGCATGCGCACCAATCCCGACGGCGACGTCGACCTCCCCGGCGCCCCTTACACGACCTTTCGCTACCCGGCGTGTCCGAGCTGCCTCGCGCACCCGCCGCCACGAGCTGCTGATGGTGACGGAGTTGACAGGGCTGCAGGGGCTCACGTCGTCGAGGTCGACGGCGACGGCGCCTGGAAGCCGGGCCGCAGCACGGCAGGCATTCTCAAGCCGGCCGTCATCATGTTTGGCGAGAGCATACCGGCCGAGGTCAAGGCGGCGGCCGAGGCGGCCGTTGACGGCGCCGGGCGGCTGCTCGTGCTGGGGACGTCGCTGGCGACCTTTTCGGCGTGGCGCATCGCCAAGCGCGCGCTCGACCGCGGCATGCCCATTGCCGTCGTCAACGTCGGCGGCGTGCGCGGCGAGGAGCAGCTCTTTGCGGGGGTCGACTGGAAGCAGACGGGCGAGCAGCGGGTGCGCGTCGAGCTGTCGACCGACAAGGTGCTGCCGGCTGTCGTAGAGACGCTGCGCAGGACCAACGGCGGCACCGGCGTCAAGGTGCCGAGAGACGCGGCCCCGGTGGCGTCCGAGGTGCCGAGGGGAAACCATGGCGCGTTCAAGGACATGTTATCATAGGGGAAGAGCAAGAGCAGTGTAGTTTGTATTCATATTTTTTCCCTTTTGATTCTTTGACAACCCCCCGTGCTTTTTTCGTTGCTTAGAAGAAGCTGCCCATGCCGGTTGCTTGTTGCTGCTGTGGCTTGGGCGATTCGGGAAGGGCCTCGCTGGTGTGCGCGGTTCGTGGGGCGGCCTCGGCGTCCAGCTTGGCCTTGGCATTTGCCTTTTCTTTTCGGACGGCATCATCGCGCTCGATTTCGCGTAGAACTGTAAAGAGAACATAGTCAGCGACGTGGTGTTTGCCGAGTCAAAGTCCTTTCGGTCAGCCTTACCGTCGTCCCAGCCCTGCTCCCGCGCCGCGTCGCCCGTGCCCAGCGCCCGTTCGACGTCGACCTTCTCCCCCCGCTGTATCCTCTCGACAACCTCCCGCAGCAAGCCGATGCGCACGTCAGACTGGCGCATGAACGTGTCGAAACGCTGGCGCAGGGCAATCATGTTGATGGACATGGAGCCGATGAGGAGGAAGATGACGAGATAGAAGGTGGCGGGGTTCCACTCCTTGGAGCGCTTCGGCTTGACGCGCTTGATCATGGGGTCGTCTTGCAGTTTCTCTTCGCGGCGAAAGGGTTTCGGGACGAGGGACTTCCAAAAGTCGGTCGAGGCGACGCTGGGGAGAGAGGAGGAGGGGCGGCATGCCGGCAGGTTGCTGCGTGTGATGATGGAGGGGGCTGCTCGGGTCACTGTTCGCAAAGGTGCTGCTGATGCTAGCAGCGTTCGGTTGATATGGCGAGACATGGTGGTGATTCTATGTACAGATGACAGATGAGGTCCTGCAAGAGGAGGAAAAGGGAAGGAAAATGATGAGCAGAGGTTGAATCGAATGTGAGGTGAGGCTCGGAGATGGTTGCACCTGCAGCTTGCAGATGGCGAGAAAAACCGGGGTCCAAATGCAGCGATGGCACCAGCCACATGCATGGAAATCCCACCACACTCCCCAGCCACAGTCCGTTACCCTGGACAACCGGCTCAAAAACGGTGCAGAGAGTAACAAACCGAGAGACGGTCTCGACCCCGAAACCCTGAAGCCACACACATCGCGACGTCACGTCACGAGAGAGACTCAATTGCTTCTGCTCTTGATACCACTGTCAACTTCATTGCCCGTAGTTTTTGGGCCTAGGGCCTCTGCTACCAATTTTGTCTTCTTGCTTCCCTTGGTCCATCCTCTCCACGACGGCACGCCCCATGACACGACGCACATGACTTCCCTCCAGAACAAGGTCGACGCCGTCAAGGCCGCCATCACACCGACGACAACATGCACCTCCGCGACGACAGTCCTCCTCAAGGACCTCCTCATCGCCGAATCCGATTCTCACACGTCACCACCACCACCACCAACAACAACAACAACAACAACAACAACAACAGCCTCGAGCAACCCCACCAGCAAGCCCGCGAGAGGCGCGTCCGCCCGCCCCAAAACCCCCTCCACCACGCGACAGCGAGCGCCAACGACGACGACGACGACGAGAACAACAGCAGCGCGCCAGCCGAAACCCGAAAATGACCTCTCGAGCAAGGAAAAGGCCGCCCTCGCCACCCATGTCGTCAACGCCGGCCTCAAAGCCCTCACCGAGACGGCCAAACCAGCTACCACGGCGCCTCCGAGTCAACCCACCGAACCAGCGCCACGAAAGCGCTCCGACGCTGAGCCGAGAAGAGGCCTCCGACGGTCGAGCTCCATGCCCATGTCGCCCCTGCAGCCGCGCGCCCTGAACCGCGTCTCGACGTCGCCGATGCTGCCCAAGACGGCCACCGGCCGGCCGCAGTCGGCCCACGGCGGCGCCGCAGCGTCCAGCTCGTCTTCGTCGTTCGCCAGCGCGTGCCTGCCGCTCGTCGAGTGCCTGCGCGTCTCCTTTGCCTGCCTGCGTTCGCTGCACGCCGCCGGCAAGGTGACGCTGCCTGAGGGCCAGCTCGAGGCCGGCATGTCCTCGTTTGTGACGAAGCTGCTGGGTCTCGGCCTGCAGGACCACGCCCTGAGGGAACTGGCCGTCTTGAAGAGGAGGCTTGCACAGCTGGATGCGACGAAGCCGAGCACCAAGACGGATAAGGCGGCGGTGGCGGCTTCTCATGCGAACACACTGGCGACAAATCCGGCCGATCTTCTCGATTACGGCGCCATCAAGGCCTCTGGTGCGATTCTCGGCCTCGTCATCACGTCTCAGCTGCACGCTCTGCGACTCATCGCGGCGGCAAAAAAGCCTGCTATGGTCGAGGCGGCGGTGCCCTTTCTCGGTGACCATCCTTCCTCACCGATGAACCTGTTGTCGCGATACGCCAAAGAGTCGGCAGCGGCGAAAAACAAGGCGGCGCGCCAGCTCGAACAGTTCTCCCAGCTCATCTTGTCCCTGCCGCCAAGCGTGTCCAGCAAGGAGGATACCCTCGCCACCGAGAATCGCCTCAGCTGCTCACCGACGGCAGCTCTCCAGCTCCACTCTCTCGGCTTCGAATACCGCCTCTGCTGGTGGGCCATGGCCGGACACGAGGCCGACGTGGACGGCGATCTCATGCTGCCCCTGTCTCGCTGCATGGCGGCTTTCGTCCGGCGCTGCTCGACGCCCACGCCGGCGGCTTTCCAGGTCGCGCGCGGCGCCTACACGCGCATCACCGACCTCTGCGCACAGCAGCGCCTGCAGCCCTCGACCTCAGCCTCTTCCCCGCTGGCGGCCATCTACCAGACCCTCGGCACCCTCGCGCAGAGCGCGCGCCTGTTCACCGAAGCCGCGACCTGGCTGACACTGGTCAAGGGCCACCTCGACCCGGAACAGAGCTCGGCCGCCAAACGCTGCTCGGTAGCAGCACAGCTGCTCGCTGTTCAGGCGAAGCGCGAGGACACGCCGACCGAGGAGCTCGAGTCTCTGCTCCAAGCGATCATCGGCGAGCTCAAGGGCACACTCAAAGGCGACTCGGCCGAGCTCGAGGAGCTCATGATTAACCTCACGGCCGCGAGGCGGTCAACTGTCGGCCTCTTGGTTCACAAGGAGTCTTCCTTACCTCGACATACGACCGCCTCCTGTCACGACTTTGTCCTGCAGTTTCCGCACTTTGCCCTGCGCTGGATGGGCAAGGCACCGGCGAGGGACGCCGACGCGAAACACACGATTCGCTACGACCAACGACGGCAGACTCTCCTCGCGACGGCCACGCAGATTATGGACTCGGCCTTTGTCGTCCTCAAGGCCAAGATTTCGAAAGACGACATGCCGTGGACTCAGCTCGACGGAACGCTACAGGACTGCCTCACGCTTCTTGAGCACCTCGGCGAGACGAACCTGCTGCAGAAGAGCGACGGCGCCAACACGTACCCTGTCAAGGTCTCCTCGCTCTACTACTACCATGCCGATCGTGTCCAGCGCAGCGGCGGCGAAAAGGAGGACAGCAAGGCCGTTCTGCGGCCCATCAAGCGCTCGATCGAGGCCGTCGCCGACCGGTCGCCGCGCGAAAAGGAGCGCGCCCAGCTCGTCAAGAAGCTCGAGCGCTTCTCCGAGCTCTCGCGGGCTTCTGGGCGCCTCGCTGAGGCCCGCGACGCTCGTAAGGCCATCTGCACAAACATGGTGGAGGATGGCGTCCTCGCAGCCGTTGCCGCGAGCCTCAATGACAAGGCGCCCGCCCTGGCCTGGAGGGCCGACGCCAAGACGGAGGCGCTGTCGCGCACGCTGGCCGCCATGGTCAAGCTCGACCAGGCCTGGAGCGACTGGACGTTTTTCCTCGCCGAGCTCGAGCGCGCCGCCGTGCTCGAGCACCTCATCCAGATCATCGTCTCGGATGCCGCCAAGAGCAGCGGCAGCAGCAGCAAACCGACCGGCCTCTCGAGCTCCGTGCCCGATGCCCTGCTGAGGCTCTACTCGCTCGAGCGCTTCCCCGTCCGCAGGCTGCGGACGCTCTGCCTGCTGCTCGCCATGAGCATGGGCGAGCAGCAGGAGTTCCAGTCCCTGCGCGTCCAAGTCGATGCGACCCTCGATGCCTGCCGCAGCAGGGCCTTCGGCGACGACGCTTCCCTCGCCAAATTCCTCCCCCACCACGAGGCATATCTCGCATCCATGATTGCTCTCATCGACACAGATCCAGCTTCGGCGACGAACGATCTCGAGGCGCCTGTCGCGGCATGGCGCGCCATGATCGCGCGCTGCACATCCGTCGACGACATGTACGCCTGCGTCGATGACCCGGAGCAGCTCTTGCGACACTTTGGCTCCGTCGAGGCCTTTGCCAACTTGCGCGGCGACGATGCGCTCCGTCTCGCCGTCCTCGAACTATCCACCGACCTGGCCCGCCTCATGACGAGCTCGTCCATCAACGCCGTGCTGCTCAGCCACAGCGCCCTCGCCGACCACTACCTCGATCTCGGCCACGAAGCCAAAGCCAAGGACATGCTCGCCAGAGCCGCTCTGCTCGCCGCACCAGACGAGTCAGAGGCGGGCCCATTATCGGGGTCGGAAGTGGCCTGGGTGAGCCTCCAGCTGTCATCGGTCGAATACCACCTCGCTGCGCACAACTACGTCGAGGCCGAGGCAGCTCTCGCGGAGGCCAAGGCCGCGTTTGACAAGCAGACGACGCTGCAAAAGGGCTCCAGCCTGCAGCGGAGGCTGCTCCTCGCGCGCGCGACCTATGTGTACTCACTCGTCGCCATGGGCAAGGGCGAGACGCACCAAGCCCTCAACTATGCCAAGAACAACGTTAAGCTTTTGTACTCGAGCTGGGCCAAGCTTGAGGCCCGCAACCCCGCCGCCTCGCACGAGTCCTCGCAGCTGTCCATCGTAACCAGCTCCGCCGACGAGGATGACAGCGGCAGCAGTGTCCAGAAGAGCACGACAGGCACCAACAGCAGCAGCATCCTCCACGTTGCCGATGGGCCCGACTACTGGGCCCTCGCCTGCGCCCTGCTGCGGAGCATGTTCCACCTGTCGTCCGTCTATGTGCACATCGGCATGTTCCAGGAGACGCTCTACTATGCGGAAAAGGCCCTGTCGATCGCAGAATCCATCGACTCGCTGGCTCACAAGACGCAGGCACAGAGCTGGATTGGATCCGTGTGGATCAGGGCCAACAAGCCTGAGAAGGGACTCAACCTGCTCCAGCGAGCGCGGGAGACGCTTGAGTCGCAGAAGCCGTCGCGACGAGCCATGCGCCTGGCGTGCGAACTCAGCGCCTCATACGGGTTACTCAAGGACCGGCAGAGCGAGGAGGAGCTGTTCGGCACGGCGGAGGCCATGCTCAAGATGCTCAGCAGGGCCGGCGTCGGCGGTGTTTCTGCGAACGAGGATGTGGTGGAGAAGATGCAGAAGCTCACCCTCGACGATGCGGCTACCGCGACGAAGACCGCGCGAGCCGCCCGCACGACGCGCGCCACGAGAACGACGCGTACTTCTGCGGCGGCACCCAAAGTTGCAGCCAAGAAGCCTGCCACGAAAGCAACAAGGACGAGGGCTGCTGCGCCCAAGACGAGAACAGCTGCTGCCGTCGACATTGCTCCCAAGGCCCCACCCAAGTCTCCCGCGCTGCAGACCTCGATGCTCATCAGCAAGGCACTCGCGCACCTCGACAAGAAGGACTGGCCGGCCGCCATGGAGCTGCTCGACGAGTCGCAGAAGACGTCCGTCGGGTTGAGGCAGTCTCTCACCGTGCAGGTCCACAGGGCGGCCTGTCTCATCGGGCAAAGCCTCGAGGAGATGCTCCACGATTCCGTCTTCTCCGTCGTGCAGGAATCCACCATTTCCTTCCCTGCCGTCGCCGCCATTGCTGGCACCGACAAGCATGCCGCAGACAAGGCGGCCGCCGCCTCGCCACCTGCTAGGAAATCGCGCGCGCGAGCCGCCACGCTGCAGAAAGACGCCAGGCAGGACACCAGCTTCGGCTTCGTCGAATCGCTGCAAAGGGCACTCGAATATCTTGTCGAGGCACACTCGATGGCCTTCGTCACAGGCGACGGCCACCTCGTGCTCCGCATCTCTGCTCTCCTGCAGAACACAACAATCTTCCTCTCGGCAGCCTCAAACCACACGGCCAAGAGCCTGCCGCATATCGACTTTGCAACCTGTTCCATGGAGCTGGCGCGCAACGTGACGTGGCGGCGCACGCGCAAGATGATTGCCGTCGAGCAGAGCGACGCCCCCTTCAGTGATATCTCGTGGCCCACGGCCCTCGCTCTCAAAGAGGGCCGTCGACTGAGCTGCGGCGTGACGACCGACGTTGCCCGGTTCCAGCGCGACTATGTCAACATCATCCCGGCGGCCTGGACCGTCGTGTCCATTTCGCTCAGCGAGAACCGTCACGACCTGTGCATCACCAAGCTGCAAGCCGACCACACGCCTTTTGTCCTGCGCTTGCCGCTTGAGCGTGCCGTCTCGCGTGACGCCGACACAGAAGTCTTTGACTTCGAACAGGGACACGGCGAGCTTCTCGAGGTCATCCGCCTTATCAACGAGAGCTGCCACGACGAAGGACGCGACTGGTCTGCCAAGGGCGCCAAAGCCGCATGGTGGCAAGAGAGAGAGGCTCTCGACAAGCGCATGAAACATCTCCTCGACAACATCGAACAGATCTGGCTCGGGGGGTTCAAGGGTATCTTCTCGCAGCACCCGCGGCGCGACGACCTGCTGTCGCGGTTTCAGAAGGCTTTCCAGAAGACGCTCGACAAGCACCTCCCGTCACGGAGGCAGGTACGCGGCAAGAAGGTCAACACAGCGCCCAAGATCACGCTCGACCCGCGCATCCTAGACCTTTTTGTTGGCCTAGGTGATCCCGCTTCACCTGATTTCGACCTCGACGAGGCGCTGACGGACCTTCTCTACTTCGTCGTTGATATCCTACAATTCCACGGGGAGAGGAACGCTTACGACGAGATTGACTTTGATTCGATCATGCTGGAGACGTATGACGCACTGCAGGTATATCATGCAGGCCTGAAGAGCTCGGATCCTGTCGAGGGGGCACACACCATTCTCATCCTCGACAAGGCCCTACATGCCTTTCCCTGGGAGTCACTGCCCTGTATGGACGGGCTCGCCGTCTCTCGCGTCCCCTCCATGGCATGTCTCCGCCGCCTTATTCTGGAGCAGCAAGACGACGCCGTCACTGGGGAGAAAACGCCGGCGGGCCACACAATCTCGGCGAAGAAGGGCACCTATATCCTAAATCCGGGCTCTGACCTCCCCAATACGCTCGGCACATTTCAGAAACCTCTCTCCGCCCTCGACGCGACATGGTCCAGCGTTGTCTCGCGCACCCCGAGCGAGGCCGAGTTTGAGGCTGCGCTCCGCGATTCAGACGTGCTGCTCTACTTTGGTCATGGTAGCGGTGCACAGTATATCCGCAGCAAGACCATTCGCCGCCTTGAAAAGTGCCGCGCCGCGGCGTTGCTGATGGGCTGCAGCTCCGCCAGTCTTACGGAGGCCGGCGAGTTCGAGGTCCACGGCCCCGTGTGGAACTACATGATGGCGGGGTGTCCCGCTGTTGTCGGCACGCTGTGGGACGTGACGGATCGGGACATTGACCGTTTCGCTGGACGGCTTTTTGAGGAGTGGGGCCTCATGGTCAGGGGATCGTTCCCGGTTGACAAATGGTCTGCCGGGCCAGCGAGCCTGGACGTCGTCGCGACAACGTCTGTTGTGGAAGCTGTCGTGAAAGCGAGGGATGCGGTGCGATTTCGGTACCTCACGGCCGGCGCTGTCTGTGTGTATGGTATTCCCGTCTATGTACGACCAGACACGCGGTGATCTTTTTTGTTTCTCTGCTTCTACGTGTATTCTAGTTAGTAGGACTGTACGTATTCGAGGCGTTGATCATGGCACTTGGGAGGGCATAGGGATTGGACAGAGCATAGCGTTTTTGGTTTTTTTGCTTCAAGAATGAGGAGACATGACGTTGCCTATTGACAACTTTGGTGCCTTGGCCAGGAATTACCTGCTTGAACGGGAAACAACAGCTACAGTCCGCTCGGACACTGTGCCCCTTCCTTTTGGCGTTGCTGCGCCGCTGCTGTGTTACTGCCATGTGCTTGGGCGTCGATACTCTTGTGGTCATGTTCACGCACGTTCACCGGTCTATCGGCGATGTGTAGGGAGGCGGGCATCAGGCGCAGCGTGTGGCAAGACTTGGGCACCACCAGCGGTCGAGATGCGATAGGGCCATCGGTCGGAGATGAGCGTGTTTGGGGGGTAGGGATACGACGTGGGTACCAGCTTGGTGGGGTGATCAATCAGGATCAGGGATGACGCTCGATCGTGGAGGGATGCACATGTAGCTTTGGTGTTCTGGTTCGTTGCCCCTGGGGTTTTGGGCTGTCTGCCTGCCAAGCCCTAGGACATCGATACTTTAATATTCATTCTCCTCCGCGTCTGATGATTGTATTTCAGCAGAAGATGCAAGCCCGGCGTCGTGACGACGCTAGGGGAGCAGTGCCGCGGACCAGGACTACCCCTGGCGGACACGATAATGCCACGAAGGAAGTTAGATGATGGGCCAGCCCAGCAGGGCCAACACCGGGGGGTTCGAGTATAGATGGCGCACAGCGGGTGGCTAGACTCCCGCTCCGGCGCTCCTCCAAGGACGGACTCGGATGTAACAATAAATGGCCATGACAAGGGCTGCCAGATCAGCGCCGAACAGAGGACAGTTAGGTACTCACGAAAAAGGAATTACGCCACACTCATGGACGGTCACCCCAGATTCATCAAGGGCATTGCCGTTGATTGACCTCGGCTGGAAGCGAAACGAAACCGAGCAGGGGTATACCCTAGGCTGCGGGCGCGTGAGAGGGGAATAGGTATAGCGGCGAACAATAAGGGGGGGCATGGCGGGTGTAGACACCAGGCCTCCCCGGAGTCCGGAATGGGTGTCATGCCGCGTTCAATCTCGAAGGTACTGTAGTGTAGCAACTGTACCATCGTTGCTGGTGCTCGCTTGTTGGATGACTGAGTCTCCAAGGTTCTCTGTGAAAAACGCTCCCCGAAAATTGATCGTCTACATGTACGCAATCAGGCATGTGCCTGCCTTGTAACCATTTCGTTCTAGATTGACCCACTGTAGAACTGTCTACCAGGCGCCGTAGGTTTGCGAAGTTCTCTACCCAAGTTGCAGCAAATGACAGGTAGGTCCATTCAGCCAGATTAGTGACCAAAGGCTCGTCTCATCCTCTCTCAGCTACATCGACTTGGATAGCGCTGTGTACGAGTCGGCCGGACAAGATCGAACGAGCCTGTTAGACATGTGGAAGTGGGAACAGCGTTCATAGTGGAGAAGACTTGAGACAAGCGTGCGTCTATTGTCCCTTGACTGGCGTTATGTTGTTGATCTAGTGTGATGCATAACCCATGGGTCCTGGCGCGTATGAACTTGTTACCAGTCAAAGCCATCATGGTTTGTCAGTCTTGTTGATCTTGTGTCAGCAGTTGTCAAATGACCGCGGTGCGAAGCGAAATGGCGTCGCACGACGAGGCGTCGCCATGGAGTCCTTCTCAAACCCTTCGTCTACGTACTGAATGCCAAGCCTCATTCTTTTGGTGTGTATTGAGTATCTCTTGGCGCTGCGGAGAAAGCCTGCCAAGATGTAGCATGAAGCTGCCGCCGCCAAGGATCGTGAGGATCAAGCACGGCTTTGGACCAGAATACGGTGGTGGAAGCTGTCACACTGAATCTGAGGTGATCTGAAGCAGCAGGTAAGGATGATCACACTCAGCACCACAGCCACAACCGCACTGCCCTCGTGATTGATCGACTGATGGACCTAGTGGAGTTGGCGCCGTGACATCCGACGGTCGAGTCTTGCAGGCGGGATGGGAGTCTAGGCGTTTACCTTGGCAACCTTATATGATGCGATGCGCGTGCGCCATTACGGTTGTATGCAGTTAGTACTGTATTTGGCGGGCCGTGGATGACTGAGTGTTGGTAGCAAGTTTCGAGAATCCTTAGGGAGCCTAGGGGGGGTGGTTTTCCTGGTACTGCAAGGGACGTCAACTGAGCGCCAATAGGGCCGATGATGTGCGGGAGGTTGGATTGGTGAAAATATCCCGAGATGCGCACAGCCGTCAGTCCTGCAAGCTGGCTGAAGAAGACGTTGACCCATGATCACCTGGACGTAAGGTCAGGCAGAGGAGGGAGACAGGCGGTCGGGCAGGCTAGACGGACGACATCAGACACGACTTGTTGATGACTGATGGCGTTGCGCCGGGGTGTCAGTTCTTACGCTCTGCTCCGTCCATTTGCGGAAGCAAAAAGCAGCCGAAGAAGCAAAGCATTGGCAAGCAATGGAGCTAGCAGCTGCTTTGACAGGTTGACAGGCGAGCGCCTGAGTCAGTGCCGCGCACGCATGCTTGCAGGCTGGGCTGAAGAAGGTTTGAATCCAAGCCTGTGCTTCGTTTGAAGTGGTCTGGCCCAGGCAAAGGCCTGTTTCTGGCTTGGCAGGCATGTTCGTGACCCTTGCCGTCCGTGGGTGTGTGCTTGTCTTGGAATTGCGACGCTGTCTCTCGCTCGCAGGCTATGCTTTGGTCCATGGAGGAGACGGCCATAGGATCTGAACTTCACCAAGAGAGACACGCAAGTTGGAGAACAGAGAGTTTGGGGTCATTGACCTGCAGCGGGTGGATGAATGGATGAAGGATGAATGGCTGGAGAAAGCTCGGTGAATGCCACAGGTACCGGACGTACAGTACAGGAGGTGTTTGGAGGGTTGGAGGGTTGGAGTGAGTGTTGGAGACACCGGAATTTACCAGACCACCCCTGAAGCCTGGATGCACACCCCCGCTTGCCAATCATCCTCACCCAGGATCCCCAGGCAAACTTGGGCAGGTAGTCTGCATCACTGGTCACCGAATGGTCCGGGCAGCGAGTGCCAGGGTGGATCTTGTGGAAAACCGCCGAAGGTCGAGTGGGGGGCGGGTGACAGAAAAGGCCAAGTGCAGCAGGAGCATGCGGGTTGAACGCAACAGGAGCGGGGATGCTGCAGGGATCGACCAAACCTTCTTGCTCTTTTCCCAGGTGCCAGGGGTGGAAGGAACCTGGTCCCCCTATGCGCCTTCCCAGTGCCAGAAGCGTGGCGTGGCCTTTCTCCTTCTCGGCCCACATGCTAGCCAAGTCTGGCTCTGCCACCACTCTGGGATTCTGGTATTCTGGGACTCTGGGCAGGTGTGCCCCCTTGGCATCGCAGACAAATCGCCAAACCTCACCTGCCCTGCTCGTCTGTGATGTTGCTCGACGTGGTAGCGCTTGCCTTGCCTCGCTCGCTTTCTAGTTTGACGGCACCTTCCTTGCTTGCTGAGGCGACCCCAGCCTTGTTCATTTCCTTTGGCACATACCTGCTGTACATGTACATGCCTACCTTCGAGGCCAAGCGGGCGTGCAGGGTTGAGCTAGAAGCCATACCACCTTGCGTGAAGGGCAACCTAAGCAGGCATCCATGTGTCCGTGATCATCACTTCACACATCGACATTCGATTGTGCTGCTAGACGCGTGGCTTGATGAGGCTTACCTCCGACCTTTCCAAGAACATTCCCCTGACTCTCTCACGCATGTTCTTCGCGACACCAGTGGCGCGACTAGCGACCTCTGGCTTGCTGTTCAAGGGGTACCTTGAAGCCTTCTATCGCATTGCAGAACTTCACTGAGGACCGTCTTTGATGGGGCATCCAACTGGCTCCATCGTGTCAATCACTTGGGTTCCAGGTCCAGAGGCTGTTTTGGCGCCCGGTGCCGATCCTGTGCGCCCAATGCCTTTCCAACATGTCACGTTCATGCCTCGACGTTCGGGTGTGTGGGCTCGAAATAACATACTGCAGATAGCTCATTCCGTTTGCTCAAACTGTTTGTTGGCACAATTTGGAAGGAAAACCCCGTTCGAGTCTCGGGGCTACACGAGAGGACAAAGCGTACACTGCAATCCTGGGTACCGACGATCCCTTCCACAGTGCAGGCGGACGACATGCACCGAACCACAATCTTGTCAGGCTCGCCGAAATAAACCCCGACGACGACTGTCTTCTCGCGACATCCATCCACGCACCCACCCTTGTGCCTGATCGCCGAATTGAGCAGAGTAGTCGTCATCGCCGGCCGATATTGAACTCAACGCAACCTGTCCCAAGGGTTGGCGCGGACGCAGCGGATGCGATGCGATGCGATGCCCGATGTGCACCACCAGCCCTAGGCTTGACGGGGAGGGGGCAGGCGGGCAGGATTCTCGGAACTTGCCTCTAGGATGCGGCTTGGACGGCCACTGCCACGCTCCGGCCGCTTCGCCTCAACATGTTTCCCTCCATCCATTGGACGCCTTGCCCGTCAAACGATGTGAATACGCCAGGCCCCTGAAGGCCGTCACCCTGGAATTGTCTCTGACTTTACCAGGCACCCTGGCAGCCTTGGGAGGGGCCCATCTCCTTACCTGCTGGCGCTTTCATGTAGCTGTCGACGCTAGTATCAGTACAACAAGGGGTGATGGTACTCGAGCGGGAAAAATGGAGGTTTCCGTTCCTATCAGGCCCGACAATTACAGCGCGATGTGGTCACGTTCCCCGTCCCCCGTCTCCCTCTGCTCCGGCTCCCCGGAGGATTTCCGTTTGAGTCGGGAGACACCTGGCCGTTCGAAAGATGATGCCTAAATCCACTTGGCATCGCGATTTCCACCAAACTCAGATAGGACCGGCGTTCACGTCTTGCCAGAGTTAGGCACATGCTTGGCATAAACCCGCGCCTCAAAACAGGCGCCCGGCAGCCCGGATCGACCCCGTCCTCTCCGTTGTGTTACTATGCGCAACCCTGGTGAAGCCAGGGGTGGGTGGCATTCACGACATGTGGGCCAGGATCACATCCAAACACCACACTGCTATACTACCTGGGCCATGCAGTGTACGCAAGCACTGGGCCAAGAGCGTGCCTACTCTTACATGTACCAGGTTGAAAGACGAACGCGGCTTGCCATCGCCTCATTTTAATCAATCGTGGCACTCACGTCACCTGTGTTTTCCCTGCCGCCACCTCCAGCCATGCCGTGACGTCTGCTTGTCACCTCTCCGATCTCTATCGACCTGCTGTTTCTCGCTCTCATCGTTGCCCCTCATCTGCTTGCCAAGACATGCTGTGCTGAGCCAAGCCAAAGCTGGCCCAGCTCTGCCTCACGTCCCGGCACATCGTGCCCGCTACTGCGCCGTCGCGAGACTGACTCCCCCAGTCTGCACTGGCCGGGACAGACCCCCGTTCTGACCTAGGTTGTCCTGGCTTCACAGTGTCGTCGACCCAAACAGCCAGGCCAGGGCGACCCCCCCCCCCCCCCCCGGAGATCGCCCACACCTAACGCCCTACCACGTTCCACCCTCACATCTTCCAGGGCCAGCCTGCCCATGCCACACAAGAACGAGACCGGCGACGAACCGCACCGCCCGCGAATCTACCTACCCCACACTCGAGGGCACCGAGAGTAGGACCTGGTCATCGACGGGCGAATGGCACTCAACTAGACTGGACCCCGACCTCCACGCAATCAGACAAGACCCATTAGACTACCTCGAACTACCTAGCACTTGGACGGATCCACACCCACACCAACTCCAGCTTTTAGTACGGACAACCCCCAGCTCACTTTGCCTGTCGTTTGTCGCCCGTCATCGCAACTTGTGCTCTCTCCGCAGGCCGAACAGACGACAGACAGCCAACAACCGGACGCTCTCTGCGCCGCCCTACAATCTCGCCGCTGCAGTGCTGAATGAGTCGACAGACAACCATTGCACCTCTACGATTGACGAGCACCAGCGACACCGACATAGCATGGTTGCAAGACCCAACAGTGGCCAACTAGCATGCTCTGCAGCGTGAGCGCGAGACAGAGAGATCGAGAGTGAGCAAGACAGAGGACGAGACAGCGTCCCCGACATTTACAAGGCCGGCAAATTGCACAGAGCGACGCGAGTCCGCGTGCAAATCAACATTCAAACCACGCCACCCCTCACTGGCGGGCTTGAGATCGATCCGACGCCGGGTTTTCATGATCCGTCCCTCATTGGACTTTTCCGCCTCCCGTTCACAGCAACATCATGCACACCACCACTGCACTCATGGATACCACACACTTTAACAGTTTCGACTTTTCGGACCCGTCTCTTGGTAACCATGGGTCCATGGTTTACCTTGGCGACACCGAGCACACCGATGTCTTCTCGACGTCGCAACCCCACCCCGCAGCCTTCCTGCCGGCGCAACAACCGGCAGCACCCGGATTGAGTCCCAACAGCAAGCACGACGGACTTGGTGCGGCTCAGCGAAAGCGGAGTCTCGTGGGCTCTGGGGACGACAGTCCGAATAGTGGCCACGGTGATGCCCACTCGTTTGAAGATGGCGGCGCGGATGAGTTCGGCCTGTCGTCCCATGGGCTGGCCGATGGCACTGACCTAGGAGGCAAAACCAAGGATGACAAGATGGACATGGCGCCTGCGTGGAGCGAACTCAAGACAAAGGCTGGGAAGGAACGTAAGCGACTGCCACTGGCCTGCATAGCCTGTCGGCGAAAGAAGATTCGGTGCTCCGGTGAAAAGCCTGCATGTAAACACTGCCTGCGATCCCGGATACCCTGCGTTTACAAGGTCACGACAAGAAAGGCAGCCCCGCGGACCGACTACATGGCCATGCTCGACAAGCGACTCAAGCGAATGGAAGAGCGTATCATCAAAATTGTACCAGGGAAGGAGCAGCCCGGTTCCTCCCCGAATATTACGAGGGCTGTTCTCAAGCCTTCAATACCAGGAACAGCATCCGTGTCCAGCAAGACGGGCTCCAAGAAGCGCCCGGCCGAAGAAGCCTTCGGGCCTGACCTAGAAAACTGGGCCAATGGTCCTGTCAAGAGCAAGCTTGATGGCGTGGACAAGCCAACGTCTCTCCAAATCCAAGAGGCTGAAGAAAACAAGCTTTTCCTAGCAGGCCTCGATGCACTGCCATCAAAGGAGATCCAGGAGCACCTGGCCGAGGTGTTCTTCGAGAACATCTATGGCCAAGCCTATCACCTGCTACACAAACCGAGCTACATGAGAAAACTCAAGTATGTCATACGAGACCGCTTTCCTGTGAGCATTGCTAACATTCCTGAAGAGCCGGCACCTTGCCACCAGTGCTCATCCTCTCTGTTTGCGCCATTGCAGCCCGCTTTTCGACGCATCCCAAACTGAACTCTTCTCCGAATTTCCTGCGAGGTGAGGAATGGGCTTCTCACGCGCGGGAGATTTGTACCACCAGATACGAGTGGCCCAACATCACCATACTCACATGTCTCTTGATTCTCGGCCTCCACGAGTTCGGAACCTGCCATGGGGGCAGGAGCTGGGCGTTGGGAGGCCAGGCGATACGCATGGCTTTTGCTTTGCAGCTACACAAGGATCTCGAATATGATCCGCTCGGCCAAAAAGGAGCCTCGCAACTTAGTTTCATCGATCGCGAGATTCGACGACGGACAATGTGGGCATGCTTCCTCATGGACAGATTCAACTCTTCGGGAACCGACAGACCCATGTTTATCAAAGAAGAGACGGTCAAGATTCCTTTGCCCATCAAGGAAAAATATTTCCAGCTGGACATGCCGGGGGTGACCGAGACATTGGCCGGGAATCCCTCTCGAACCCCGACGCCCGAGGACAGTTATATGCCCGATGCCAAGGACAACATTGGGGTCGCGGCCTACATGGTAAGGTCGATCTCGCTATGGGGCAAAATCATCGGCTATTTGAACCAGGAAGGAAAAGACAAGGACGAGCACCCAATCTGGAGCACGGAGTCCGAGTTCGCCAAGCTCACCAAGGATGCCGAGGATCTTCTGGAAACCCTGCCAGACCTGCTCAAATACAACCAAGACAACATCCAATTGCACGAAACCGAGAACATGGCCAACCAATTTCTGTTCTTACACATTTCAATTCAGCAGAACATTCTCTTCCTCAACAGAGTTGCCGTTGCCTTTCCGGGTGGCAGTGTGACACAGGACACGCCGAAGGCTTTCGTTTCGGCAGCGGGAGCCAAGACTTTCAGCGCCGCGAACCGCATCTCGGAGATTTTGAAGGACGCAGAGCCATACGTCGTTGCGGCCCCTTTCGTCGGCTACTGTGCCTTCTCAGCTGCCACAATCCACATCATTGGTATCTTTTCGGGAACGCCGTCGGTGGAGGCAACCTCCAAGAAACATCTGACCACCAACGTCAAGTTTCTGACCAAGATGAAGCGCTATTGGGGTATGTTCCATTGGATGGCGGAAAACCTGCGTGGTCAATACCGGAGCTGCGCAGATGCGGCAAGGCACGGCGGACCCTCCAAGGAAGGGGCAACGTCTCCCATTTTCCAGTATGGCGACTGGTTTGATCGGTATCCTCACGGGGTTTCACAGACCGACTTTGAGGATCCTGCCTCGGTCAAGAAGAAGGAGAAGGGCGAGGATGCTGTTCTTGAACAGAAGCCTGAGCTCCACACGGTAGAAGAGTTTTTCACCACGCTGCCCTCGCCGCATAGCACGGAAAGCAACAAGGACAGCTCAAAACCGCCAGCACACAAACGCAAAGCGGCTGCGGGGAGGAAACAGAGCGGGTCCAGCATTTCGACGTCGAAGGCCGAACAGCAGCAGCACCAGCTCGACCCAATCCTGACAGATTTCTCCGGGGCTGCCGTCCCGCGCTCCTCAGGCTCGGGCCACTCAGCGCATGGCAGAACCATGTCTGGGCAACTAGGTCCCCAGACAAGCGGTCCTGGGGATTTCAACCCTCTTGCGGTGCCCAGCTCTCAGAGCAATGCGTATCACGGTCTGTCGCCAATCAGCCCCGTCGCCATGTCTCAATATGGGCATCAGCATAGCTTGGGCCCTGGGGATGCGAACTTCTACTCAACAGACCTCATGAGCATGTCTCTGAATCAGCAGGTCAATGGGATGCTGCAGCCCTTAGACCGGCAGCTTGTCTTTGGCGCATACGCGGGCATGGATCAGGGAGAGTTTGCACCACAAGGCATTATGGACAATGTGAGTGACTGGGACAACATGTCTGCCGGCACCGCCAGGACGCCCAGCGTTGGTCAGAGGATTCAGCGTCCGAGCACGCAGCAGGGCCGTATGAACAGTCTCGGCGGCATGCAACGGCACGCGCAACATCAACAAGCTCAGCAACAGTCATTTGCAACGTTCGGCAGTATGGGCGGGCAGGAGGCATCTAGTGCGTGGTTTATGCCCTTCAATATGGAGCCGCCCGAGCTTGGACAAGACATGGGTCTCAACCTTGATAACTTTACAGGCATTTTTGGCGGAGCGATGGGCACACCCGGCGGAATGGGAGCACGACACCCAGGAGGGCAATGAAGAAGTTTTATGTGACTGGAATTTCCAGCATTGGTTGCATGGCCGGTCAGTGTTGGTAGGACGTGGACACAAGGAACTGTACACATGATGGGGATTGAAGGCTGCCAGCTCCTTTGAGAGTACGATTGAGCAGCTGGGGCGTTAGGTCATGGAGAGTCTAGATACCACATTTGCGCACAATCGAGGATATTGAACAAGAAAGTAGTTGTCTGGTATCATAAATTCTTGGCACAGAAACCGTCCCATGCCTATCCGCGTACTGCCCAACAAGACGAGGTAAATAGATTGTGGGGGGGGGGGGGGGCATCCATCCTACACGGCATCCTCCCCGGCTTCTTCTGCCAGAGGCGCGCCGCCTTCGCTCTGTGCCTTCTTTCCCCTCGACCTTTTCCTCTTCTTCTTCTGTACCTCACCATCGGCATCGTCGCCTCCACCTGCGGCCTTTTTCTCCTCCTCCTTCTTCTTCTGCTTCGCCTGCTCCTCCTTGACGAGCCCGTCGAACCCAAAAGTCGGGCCCGTCCGCTCAAACTGGCGTCCAAATGTGTCGCGCCGCCACTCGCGGAGGCGTGCCTTCTTGCCGAGCCTCTTGCGGTCCTTCTGCTTCTTCTCGGCGTCGCGGAACGTCGCGAGCTTCTTGAGGCCGGCAAAGTTGTTGAGCGCCGCGTCCGAAGGCGCCAGCAAGATGTCGCGCGACGTCATGCCAAAGGACTGCGGCGACGTCTCGCGGTAGCGGAAGGTCAGCTCCGGGTCATCGGCGGGCGTCACCTCGGCGCCGTCGACGTCCATGCGCGCGTCGACGAGGGCCTCGATCTGGGCGCGCTCAGCCTTGGCGGCCTTGCGGGCGGCGAGGCGGACCTTTTTGTGGTCTGTTGCTGTTTTGCGCTTCTTCGAGGGGGGCGCGTCGGGGTCCGAGTCTTCTTCGTCTTCCCTTTCTTCGTCGTCGGCGCCGGCGCCTGCCTGCGCCTCGTCGTCTGAGAGGGAAAACTTGGCCGTTTCCTTGTCCTCAAAGTCGGGGATGATGTCGTTGATGTCAATGTCGTCGTCCCACTTTGGCTTCTTGACCTTCTTCTTCTTCTTTGTCGCGTCACCGTCCTCGTCGTCCGAGTCGGACGCGACCTCGGCCTCGGCGTAGTAGTCCTCGCCGAAGCGCTTCGCCATCTCCTGCTCCCACTTGTCGTCCTCCCAGTCCTGCGACAGGAAGTGGACCCACTCGTCGCTCTGCAGGGCGACGCCGCGCAGGCCGGCGGCCTTTTTGATCTTGCGCAGCTTCTCCTCGGCCTCCTCGACCTTGAGGCGGCGCAGGCGGGCGCGCTCCTCCTTGCGCTCGGCCTTGGCGGCCTCCTTGGCCTCCTTCTCGAGCTGGCGCTGGCGCTTGCGGCCCGTGGCCTCGTCGCGGCGGACGGAGCGCGCGGCGGTGATGTCACGGGCGTAGGTGGTCAGGAACTCGTTGCTCTTCTGGGGGTCCTCGAAGCGCATATTGTAGGCCTGCTCAAACTCGTCGGCACGGTCCTCGGCGGCGGCGGCGGCCTCGTCGTCGTCGTCCGACTCAAAGGCCTGCCAGTTGCGGCCGTCGGCACCGGGGGCGACCCAGGCGCGGGCGGACATGAAGTTGGAGAGGAATGTGTCGGGGTCGCGGTCGGCGTTGACAATGTCCGTGTCGGACACCTTGTTGACCGTCTTGGCGCGCGAGGGGTGCACGCCGTCCTGGCCGGGCTTGGCTGCCGAGGCCTTGCGCTTGACAAAGTCGTCGTCGTCGTCGCTCGAGACGTCCGAGGCGTCGCCGCCGGCCGCCGCGCGGTTGATCTCGGAGACGATGGACTTTTGGAGGACCTGCTGCTCCTCGGCGTAGGTCTGGGGCCGCGGCTTGCCGTCCTGCTTGTCCTCGTCCTCGTCATCAGAGGCACCGACATCACCAGCGAGAATCTTTTCACGGTGGTAGTCCTTCAGGCGCAGGGGCTTCTCCTTCTTCTGGGGTGGATTCGTCGGCGCGGCGGCGGCGTCGGCGTCGGCCTTGAAGAAGGAAAAGTCCTTGTCGCGGACGCGGGGGTCCTTGTTCTTGATGGCGCTCAGAGTGGCCGAGATTTGGGCATCGAGGTCCTCGGTGGCCAGGAAGCCGTCCTCGTCCTCGGTCTCGGAGTCGGAGGAGGACTCGGTGTCGGAGTCGTCCTCCTGGCCGCCTTTTTGGGACTTGTACTTCTCCTCGACTACAGGCTACGTCAGTGGAAAGACTTAGGGTACATCATGAAGGAAAATTGAAACTGACGTCTTTGCCGCTCCTCTCGCTTCTTGTTGTGCTCGAACTTGCGGGCGTACTCCTCGTTGACCTTCAGCTGAGGCGCCGCCAGAGATGCGCCTCCCTCCTCATCGTCGGAGCCGCTGTCGTCGAGAAGGTTGATCTTCTTTGCGGGCTTGGCATCCGTGCCCAGGAAGGCGTTGGAGGCCATGGTGGTTGTGTGGTTCGCAGAGCAGTGGCTGATCGAATCTGTGGGCAGTGGAAAAGATGCTTCAAAGAGACGTTGGGTTTGTAGAGTGGACGGCCAATTGCTCAGTACACCACCTGCTGGGGCTGCAGCTTTCAGTCGACTTTTTTTCTTTCTGAGCTCGACCTAGGACTGTCGATGGATTGGGAACGCCCTGATTTTTTTGGCGGGGCCCTGTCACTCCCAAGTGGAGACGCTGCTGATCCGGCGAAACCCACGGGCCGAGCGTCCCTTTCTCGCTCGCATGTTCCATTCTCCGAGAAGGCGACAGTCCAGGGCCCCCAGCTCCGCCTGCAGCATTAGGTGGCACCACAGCAGCGAACAGGCTCACCTACAGCACAGGCCATGTGACCCTTACCTGTCACCGTAGCGCACCTCGAGCCACTACTGGAGGAAACCATGAGCGCTATACCGTGCTGCCATAGGTACCCTGCCATAGGTGCCTAGGGGCCTACGGATACGTGGGCATGTAGGCACCCAGGTAGCCCAGGTAGAGATAGACGCACGATGCCACCGGGACTGATGCATGCTTCGTCATTGTTGCGCCTCACATCCCGCTGTTTCACCGGCATCCGACCTCTCTCTCGCACCAAGCGACATTGATCATCCACCATCCACCATCCACCATCACTCCGCACCACACATCAACAATCCCCCTCCTCCCATTAGGCAACGATATTGGACAGTCTGTCTGCTGGTCCCTTTTTGCATCGCTACCAACTCCACCAGTGACTCTTCTCGACACCTACCACCGACCGTCTCATTCCCGTCGGCTCTCTTTCTTATCTGCCCTCGCCTACCATACGATGGAGGGAACCGGAAACTCTGCCTCTAAGCCGAGCAGCAGCGTCAAGCTGGTGCTGCTCGGAGAGGCCGCCGTTGGCAAGGTGAGCACTCTGAGCACTGTTCACGGAACGAGCGACCGATCGATCGAATGAGGAAACAAACGAACAAAAACCTGCATCAGCATCAGCTAACGTGCCATTCCCTCACCAGTCCTCGCTCGTTCTCCGCTTCGTCAACAACGACTTTCAAGAGAACAAGGAGCCCACGATCGGCGGTAGGAGAACCCCCGCGCCCCATGCCCCTCAACCTGCAGTGCCGCTGCTGACCATGACCTTGCATCAGCCGCCTTCCTCACACAAAAGTGCAACCTGCCGACTAGGACGATCAAGTTTGAGATTTGGGACACGGCGGGCCAGGAACGTTTCGCCTCGCTGGCGCCCATGTACTACCGCAACGCCCAGGCCGCCCTCGTCGTCTACGACCTGACCAAGCCGACGTCGCTCGTCAAGGCGAAACACTGGGTCGCCGAGCTGCAGCGCCAGGCCTCGCCGGGCATCGTCATCGCCCTCGTCGGCAACAAGCTCGATCTGACCAACGACGGCGGCGCCGGATCGGCCGGCGGCCTCGGCGATGACGGTGACGACGGCGCCGACGGCGAGGCCGACGGCGAGGACGCCAGCGGCGACGCGCGCAAGGTCTCGACCGACGAGGCCAAGACGTACGCCGACGAGGAGAGCCTGCTGTTCTTCGAGACGAGCGCCAAGACGGGCCACAATGTCGCCGACGTCTTCACGGCCATTGCCAACGCCATCCCCGAGACGTCGCTCAAGAGCACGAGGGGGCCCGGCGCCGCCAACGCCGTCAGCCGAGGCGGCGAGGAGCAGAGGGTCAACCTCAACCAGCGCGACGCGGCGGCCAAGGACAGTTGCGCCTGCTGAGGGGTCTTTGTGTGGTTTGCCGACGAGTGGGTGAGAGGCAGGGAGAAAGAGAGAAGAGAGAGGGAGGGCAGAGACTTGGGAGGAGTTTCCATTTTGAGCTACAGTGCTTGGGCGGGATAGGGCTTGCTGGTAGCAACCTGGATGTCGTCATTATTCGGGAGTTTTCTCTATTTGTTTTTCTGGTCCATGAGTGTCTTTTTTTTTTCTTGCGTTTCCGTTTGCGTTTGTATTTGCGTACTTGCGCATTTGCCCGGCACATCTATCTGCCTGTGCCTGATATCTGGTTCTTGCCCGCTGGAATTCCTCCTTCAGCACCTCCCTCGCCTTGTTACTATGGCCCAGCGGAGGTCGGAATAGCAGGCTTGTAGATATGAATAATCCTATTGCCACGCGAGCTCTCATGGGGGCCCTGCCCGGCCGAAGGCTGCCTGGCAGTTCAAGGCCGCTTACAAGCACGAGTTGAACCCCCGCGTGACCGTATGTGTCGGGTCGCCGGATGCTTTTGGGATGCTACATTCACCGAACTCACCGAACCCCACCGAGATGGACCCCGTTTCATTGGCCAGCCGAAACGCGTCCCGCTTTAATTCATACTTTTCCGCGCGCCTCAAAGATCCGAGCGCTGGCAGTCGCTACTCACTTCACGTCACCTTGCTTGCGCTTGCGACTGCCCAAAATCCTTCCCACCAACAGCCTCAACCTCCTCGTCTCTCTCTCTCCGCCCCAACAATATCCCAATCCACATCGAACGGCGGGTGCCTCTCGCCATAACATGGACTTAGGCATCCTCGGCTGAATCCAGATTGCCTCGTGTCCCCATTAGGCAACATCTTCTTCTTCTTCCCTTTACCACCATCCTTCCGAATAGCACTTGAATATTTCCCATCCCCAGCTCAAACAACCCCCACCCATGCGACCGACCACCGGGTAACCACCCCGCCCTTCTGTGTTGGCAGCATGGCTACCACTATCACACCTGCGCAGGCAGAGCTCATCATGTATGTCTCTTCCTTCTCTTGTCCTCGCCGTCGCCTGTGTTTCGCGCTGACCTTTCGTCTTCTCCCCGTCACCAGCTCCCTCGCACCCGAAGACATCCCCACGAAGCTGCGATGCGCCATCTGTAGCAAGCTGGCCGTCAACGCCTATCGTCTGCCCTGCTGTGAGCAAGCCATATGCGAGAACTGTGAGTCCTCCGTCCTGCTCGGTCCCCGGCTCCTGCTTTCCCACCGGCTGTCCCTCTCCTGCTTTACTGACGACGAACCGTTCCACAGGCCAGACAACACTGCCATCGGCCTGTCCAGTATGCGAGCACTCGCCCGTCTCCGCCGAGGACTGCACGCCGCACAAGTCCCACCGCACAACGATCCGCGTCTTCTTGCGCACGCAGGAGAAGAAGCGCGAGGAAAAGGCCAAAAGAGATGCCCGGGACTCGGCGCCCGTGACCCCGGTCGATGCGAAACCCGTTGTGTCGCTGCCTGTTACCGCTTCGCAGTCGCCTGCTGTTGACGTGGCGCTCGACATGATCAACGCTGCCGCGCCTGCCGGTGTTGCGCTGTCGAGTCAAGGCGCCGCTGCGCAGTCTGGTGACGGGACGCAGTCGACGGAAACGGAGACGGCGCCGACGGCATCAAACGCTGCCGCGTCTTCCACTCAGGTACTTCACCCAGGACATGACACACAGTCTATGAAAAGATGCTAATGCCTCGTAGGACGGTGTTTCTATCGAACAGCCGGCTGGCGGCCATCTACATTCCGACACCGACACTGCCGGTGCTTCACAAGAGGTCGCAACACAGAATGACGAGAACGCTATCGATGAAACTGCGGTTCAGACTGCTACTGAAGGCGAAGCCGATGCAGATGCCGAGAAGAGCGGCGACCAGGCCGAGGCGGACGACACGGCCAGCAACCAAAATATGATGAACGGAGGGTTCAACATGAGCTTTGGCAATGGCGGCGACTATAATCAGATGCAAATGATGATGGCCATGCAGAACGGAATGGCGCCCAACGCGTTTGGCTCATTTCCCATGATGGGTAAGTCACATTTGCACCCCCCACCTCTCCCTCTCACACTCAATCTATTCTTTTGTGTACTGACCCTCACCAGGAATGGGCATGGGCATGGACCCCATGGCGATGCAGAGCATGTACATGAACGGCGGCTTCAACCCTCAAGGCATGGGGATGGGAGGCTTCGGAGGTGGTTACGGTTCGGGCTCCAATAACTGGAACGGACAGCAGTCATGGAATTTCGGCCAAGATAATTACAATTCTGCAAGTGCTGCTGGCATGGGATCGGGTGACTTTGGAGCATATAACTCTGGATTCCAGCCAGGCTACAATCAAGGTGCTTATGGCCACAATGACTACCGTCGCAACGCCAACAACAACTTTGGGTTCCGAGGACGCGGACGAGGCCGCGGGTTTTACGGTGGCCAGGGCCGCGGCGGCTATCAACAGTATGGCCAGGCCTCTGCCTACGACAGCATGCAGCAACAACAGCTGCAGCAGCAACAGCAGCAGCAATACGGACAAGCCGGAGCAGCACAGAGCTCGGGTGCTGGCGACAGCCAGGGCAACCAGACACAGGCAGCCAATGTTGACGAGTTTGGACGCGAGATCAGAGCTGAAGACTCACAGGAACAGAGCGCAGCAGGCGCGACCAAGACCGGCCAAGATGCGACAGAGCATGACGAGGCTGGCAATCCCATTAGCAAGGGCGAAGGAACCGCCGTAGCCTCGCAGGAGATCTCTGGCCAGAACGTCGTAGGCAACGGAACATCCGCCGCCTACAGTGGTGATGCGTCGACCGCGGGCTACGGGCCTGCCGGCTACGGTAACATGCCACATGGCCGCCCTGACCAGATGATGGGCGTGTACACGCCGCCCGTGCCAGACGTGCCGCTGAATGCGCCCACCGGTCCCAAGGCCATGCGCCGCGGACTGCCTAACACGAGCATGCACAACCTGCGCGCCCTCGGCTACCAGGTCGAGGATGAGCGCGACCGTAGCACCTCTGTGAACGGTACGGGGCTGCCGAGCCCGCGTGAGGACCGACACAGGTCACGCAGCGCATCAGCCGCCCAGGTCAAGGATCAGCAGACCCAAGACACGACCAGTCGTCGCGATGGCAGCAGAGGCCGCCAACAAGAGGACCACGGCAGCAAGCCCGACCACGAGAACGGCGTTGCCGCTCCGGAAGCTGCCGTTTCTCGGACCGCTAGCAAGAGCCGCAGTCGCAGTCGCAGTCGCAGTCGCAGTCGCAGTCGCAGTCGCAGTCGCAGTCGTAGTCGTAGCCGCGACCGTGACCACAATCGCAGGAGTGATCAGCGACACCGGCGCCGACGCCACCGTTCCACGTCACGATCAGGCGATGAGCGTACGGATGACCACCGCCGCCACCGGCATAAGGGCCGGAAGCAGGAGGACGATGTCGAGGAGGACACCAGATCGCGCTTCAAGGATGATGATGGCAATAACGGCGGCGAGAGGACGAGGTCGGCTTCGCCTGCTGAATCGAAGCGATCTGGCCACCGCAGCCGCCGGGACCGCGACGACCGCCGCCGAGACAAGGACCGCGACCGCGAGCGTGAGAAAGAGAGGCATCGCGACGACGAGGAGCACGATCACCGCCACAAGTCTAGTCGACGCTCTCACCGTGACCGCGATCGTGAACGCGACAGGGACAAGGATCGCGGCCCCCGAGACCGTGACCGCGACCGGGACCGCGACAGGGAACGGGATCGCGAGCATGATGCCCGGGAGCGGAGCGATCGCAACCGGGATCGTGAGAAGGACCGCGACAGCAGAGACAAGGACCGCGACCGACGGCGGCGCGATAAAGACCGACACCGTAGCAGCCGGAAGCAATCTGTTGAGCCGTCCAACTCGACCGACAAGGGGTTCAACCCGCCGACCGGTCCCAGGTCGGGTCCCGAGTCGACGAGCGGCGCCAGCAAGACGAAGGACCCGCACGCGTTGGAGCGCGAGGCGCGCGACAGAGAGAGGCTTCTCCGGGAGACGCAGCGCATGGCCGGGCTCGCGTCGCTCGCAGGGTCGAAGCGCGGGCGGGGCGGTGGTGATGATGGCGACGAGGGCAAGCGGAGTCGGCGTAAAGGGCGACGAAGCGAGACTGTGGGCGGTGACGACGAGGACAGGATGCGCCGGCTCGAAGCCGAGCGAGAAGGCGGGCGCTGGTGAGATGAGGTTTGCGTTGGAGCGCAAGACAGCGGCGAGCCCAGCTGCTCGATGAAGGAGCAGCGGCAGCAAGGGGAGATGTGACAGGCTCGGCTTTCACGGCGAGGTCATGCACAGGAATGTCTGCTCGCCTTCGTCTTCTCCGCTCTATCTATCCGGCTTTAGTAGCCTGCGCAGATCTGCATTGCATTCACGGTGGGCGGCCGAGTAGGGGCGGCGTCTGAGAGCTGAGATTCCTCATCCATCATAGAGGGCATGTATTCGTGTAGAGTAGGTCTCCGCTTCGGTGTGGACGAAGTACCAACGCAGCTCTTGAATGCCACGATCAAGTTGACAAGAGAGTCATTGTCATGCATGTTCCTTGCGCCGCAGTCACCTTGTCTGCCTTGACGATCGGCATGTTACCGCAAGATGGCCGACTTCGGCATGATGGCACTGGCTACGAGTGATGGCGTCACCCCGCTTCCTTCGATTGGGGACAGCGAGGGAGAGTCGCAGCAACGATGAAATCCATCTTCAACCCAATTCAATTCAGTGCTCAGCGCTAGCAAAAGTAAAGAAAAACCCCGAATCAAGACAGCCATGGCCCCCTCGGCCGTAGCGATCCTCTCCATCGGCGACATGGGCGTCGGCATCGCCAAGCTGCTCCTCGCCAAGGGCTTCACGGTCACGACCAACATTGCCGGCCGCAGCGAGGACACGGCGGCCCGCGCCCGCGCAGCCGGCATCCAGCTCGTCGCCTCGGACGCCGAGCTCGTTGCCTCCGCCGCCGTCGTCCTCTCCGTCGTGCCGCCGCGCGACGCCCGCGCCACGGCCCAGCGCGTCGTCGATGCCCTGCTGCTGGTGGCGACGGGCGAGAGGCCTGCCGACGCGCCGCCGCTGTACTACGTGGACCTCAACGCCGTGGCGCCTGCGTCGGCGAGGGCCATGGCGTCGCTGTTTGACGGCGCGCGCGTGCCGGTGCGGTTTGTGGACGGATGCATCATCGGGGCGCCGCCGCGGCTCTTGTCGTCGCCGGACCCGGGCACGAACGGGACTCGTTCGACGCCCAAGGCTGACGGCACGGCCGGCGGGAAGGCAGACGCGGACGCACACGAGGAGGACCCCCAATCCGGCTGGTCCGTCCCCGGCATCCCGACCGCGGGCCCGCACGCCCTCGCCAGCCTCCCCACGCTCGGCCCGCGCCTGTCGGGCGCGCTCGGCGCCGCACACATGAGCGCGGCCGTCGGCGCGGCGTCGGGGCTCAAGATGTGCTTCGCGTCGCTGAGCAAGGGGCTGACGGCGCTGGCGGTCGAGTCGTTCACGACGGCGCACGCGCTGGGCGTGCTGCCGCTGCTGCGGGCCGAGCTGCGGGCGCGGCTGCCGCGGCTGGCCGAGCAGGCGGAGCGCGCCGTCGTCGCCGTGCCGCCCAAGGCGTACCGGTGGGTGGCCGAGATGGAGGAGATCAGCGAGACGCACCGCGTCGACGGCGGCTTTGCGGGCGAGGCCCTGTTCCGCGGCGCCGCCGACGTGTATCGCGTCGTCGCCGACGAGACGGTGCTCGGCGCCGAGCGCATCGGCAAGCGGCGGCGGGGGACGACGGTCGAGGACGTGGCCGAGGCTGTGGCGGAGGGGTTGGAGAGGAAGAGGAAGAAGCAGGAGTGAGTGTGCGCATGGTTGGGTTTCCCGGGTCGTGCCGACTACTGGTGTAGCTGTGATGGGGGGGTGCGGGCTGCGTGTTCGGGTGTTGTTTTCCGTGCTGCTATGTACACCAAGGATCTTAACATGAAGAACGCTAAAAGAGAGCAAGATTCGTGACACCCGACGGGTTGTTTGGGAGACTCTGGATTGATGAAATACAGCCTTGGCCGGATCCTAACCTAACACCTATCGTAATACAAGAACACCATGTCGGACCACAACACCAGCCAGACGGTCATCAGCATCTCCTTTATCAAGCGCAAGGCCGGCACAACGCCCGAGCAGTTCTACCACCACTGGGAAAAGGTCCACGGCCCGCTGGTCCGCCCCTGGATGAAGAAGCACGGCTTCATCTCGTACACGCAGGTGAGAGCGATCGTTCGCCCTCCAGGGTCCCGCTCACTGTCCTCTGACCCCTCCTCGCTGACGCCCCCCAGGTCCATGCCACGCCAGCTCTCAATGAGGGCGTCGCGCCCATCGGTCCGGAAAACGCCGGCCCCAGCCCCCTGGCCGAGTACGACGGCTGCGCTGTGTTCGAGGTGCCGAGCATGGAGGTCTTTGCGGCAGCCTTTGGGGATGCGTATTATCGCGAGACGATTGCGCCTGACGAGCACAACTTTATCGACAAGAAGGCAGGTGTCACGCGCATCCGGGGCGAGGTCAAGCAGATTCTGTAGAGTGGTGTTCGTCGCCGGTGCGAGAAAGGGGAGCATCCATGATGCGCATCTACCTGACATACTTGTTCATAAACCTCTTGTGGAAGTCGGACCGCAACAGATCCTGAGAGCGCGTCAGCAGAGGAAGAACCAACCGTTTGTTTGTAGAAAAGATAAAAAAAAAAAAAGAAGAAAAAAAAGAGGTCCGATGCTCACGTTGATAAACTCCTTCTTCCCCTTGTCCTCCGTCCCGCGCGCCTGGTTCTTGAACACGACGTCGTCGTCCCAGCGCCTCTTCATGTTGAAATCGGGCTTGTTCAGCAGCGGGTTGCCCAGCGCTATGTCCTTCTCCCGTGCCGCCTGCTCCTCGGCCGCCCTCTCGCGCTCCTCGCGCTCCCTCTTCTCGGCCCTCTCCTTGCGGATCTTCTCCATCTCACGCTGCAGCTCGGCCTCTTCGTCATCGCTGTCGTCGTCACTGTCATCGGCGTCATCGTCGTCGTCGTCCGCTTCGTCGTCGTCCTCCGAGTCGGCATCGATATCCCGCGTCTCCTCTAGTATCCTCCTCCGCTTGGCGGCGAAATCTTCCTCGTCGGCTTCGCCCCCTTCGCCGCCACCGCCGCCCGGCCCGTCGAAGGGACGCTTGACGCCGCCTGTCGCAGGGGGCGCGTCGGAGGGGGGCGGCAGAGGGGTGCCGTTCTTCTTGGCGGCGTGCGCGGCCTCGGCGGCGAGGAGCTCGGCGGCGAGATCGCGCGGCGCGTCGTCGTCTTCGTCGGCGGCGCCGCCCTGGCCTCGCTGGCGGAACTTGAGCTGGGTGTGGGCGGGCAGGAGGCGCTGGTGGTAGGCCGGGCCGCGGAGGGCCTCCTTGCCGCGGGCGGGGTCAAAGGTCGGCCTGTGGGCTGTGGTCATGTTTCTGGATGGAGGTGGTTCTCGAGCTGGTGGAAGTGTCGAGCTGGTGGAAGTGTCGAAATGATGGCGGAAGGAGGCAGAGTCCAGAGTCAAGATGCAACGCCGATTGGCGGCAGAAAGGTACCTATCCACACTGCCAAGTTAGGTACAGCCCAAAGTACCGCGAGCCGGCCCGTTGCCGCCTGGCAGAATTTTGTCAAGCTCTTTCCGACTCACGCTCAACGGCGAACATCACGCAGACGCAAAGCTTCATCGCAAGGCTCACCACCTCCCAGTGAGAGCAACCTCCCACCTCGGCATCCTGTCCTCCCACCATCGCCGCCAAGATGCCGCGAGAAGCCGAACCCTCGGTCAACGAAAAGGAGTTCATCCTCAAGGCCCTGCATGAAGGCGTCAGGTTAGACGGCCGTCCCTTCGACCAGTATCGCACCATCGACATTTCCTTTGGCGATGAGTACGGCGTCGTCGACGTGAGCCTCGGCAAGACGAGGTAGGTACCACGACGTGCATTGCATCGCCCCCTCCTTTCCTCTGCTTGATGTCCGTGACTGACCAGTCATCCCAGAGTCATCGTCCGCATCTCGGCCGAGGTCACGGTCCCCCACGCCGACCGCCCCTTTGACGGCATCTTCCAGCTCGCCACCGAGCTCTCGCCCATGGCGTCGCCGCACCTGGAGCCGGGCAAGCCCACCGACACGGAGATGCTGCTGTCGCGGCTCCTCGAGAAGACGATCCGCCGCTCCGGCGCCCTCGACATGGAGTCGCTGTGCCTCGTCGCCGGCGCCAAGGTGTGGAGCGTCCGCGCCGACGTCCACGTCGTCTCGCACGACGGCAACATTGTCGACGCCGCCTGCCTCGCCGCCGTCGCCGCCCTGCGCCACTTTCGCAAGCCCGACGCCCAGGTCGAGGGCGAGGACCTCACCGTCTTCACGCCCGCCGAGCGCGAGCCCGTGCCCCTCGGCTGGCTGCACTCGCCCTTTTGCGTCACCTTTGCCCACTTCGCCGCCAAGGACGACAGCAGCCCCGACCGTGACGGTGACGACGTGACGCTGCTCGACCCCGACTGGCGCGAGGAGCAGCTGCGCGTCGCCTCGTGCATCATCAGCCTCAACAAGCACGGCGAGGTGTGCCAGGTGTCCAAGCTCGGCGGCGACGCCGTCGAGGCCACGACGCTGCTCCAGTGCGCGGCCCTCGCGGCCCGCAAGGTCAAGGAGCTGTCGGACCTGGTCGACAGGACGCTGGCCGCCGACGCCAAGAGGAGAGACAAGGGCGGCCTGATGGCTGAGCTGTCGGCGGAGAATGACCGTGTGGCGGGGGGAGGCCTGTGAGCACGAATCAAAAAAAAAAAAAAAAAAAGAAAAGAAAAGAAAAAAGTGAAGTCTTCAAGGGCAAAAAAAAAAAATCAATGATACCCCAGATCTGGATTATCCTGTCTACATGTTTGTGAATATCTTGTTTGTGGCAGGTCATTCTATGGTCTGCACGCGCCGGGACGCTCCATATGTTTCCCACACTCTGTAAATGCTCGCTCCAAGCGCCCAACGCCTGGGAAAGAAAGTAAAAAAAAGGGGAAGAAGAAAAAAAAGTCATCATTCGTGATGCTCTTCTCCGTCGTGCTCTTCTCCGTCGTGCTCTTCTCCGTCGTGCTCTTCTCCGTCGTGCTCTCTCCGTCGTGCTCTCTCCGTCGTGCTCTCTCCGTCGTGCTCTCTCCGTCGTGCACCTCTCCGTCGCACACACCCCACGCCCGCTACCTCATCACAGGCGGCCGCGACTCCTTGTTCCACTTGACCCTCGACCGCACCCACTCGACGGCCTCGCGGACGCCCGTCCCCGTCAGCGCGCTCACGGGCAGGACGCGCGAGTCGCGGATGCTGCCGGCCTGCTCGCCCTCGAAGACGCGCTTGACGAGCCCCTCCTTGATGCGCACGACCTCGACGCAGTCCTCGCGGTCCTGCTTGTTGGCGAGCACGAGCACCGGCACGCCCTCCGTGTCCGAGTGGCGCAGCACGTCCTCGAGCACGGCCTTGCACTCGGCGAGGCGCCCGTCCTCGTCCTCGCCGCCGCCGCCGCCGCCAGCGTCCTCGCGGCCGGGCTTGGCGTGGAAGCCGCCGCGCTCGTCCTCGACGAGGTGGCCGTCGCCGAGGTCGGTGCTGTCGAGGATGAAGACGATGGCGTGGGCGCTGGCGTAGTAGCTCTGCCAGAGCTTGCGCAGCGACATCTGGCCGCCGACGTCCCAGATCTTGAGGTACATGTCCGGCAGGTCGATGGTCGACACGTTCTGGCCGACGGTCGGCACCGTGTTGAGCTTGGGGTTCGGGTGCGACGCGAGGAAGAGGGACTTGACCTGCTCGTGGAAGGTCGTCTTGCCGGCATTGTCGAGGCCGAGGAGGATGACGGAGTACTCTGGTCATGTCAGCATTGGGTCGGTGCCGTAGCCGCAGGGGCTTTGCGCCGCGGGCCATGGACGAGAGCCATGGACGCGAGCCATGGACGCGAGCCATGGTCCCAAGGGCTTGCCCACCTTCCTTGCTCGTCGCGAGCAGATAGAGACTCTTTGCCAGGTGGTACATCTTTGGCGGTGGGGAGGTCTCTGTCGGACCGGGACCAGGACCTGGACCTACACCTGCGCCGTCGGAGGGTTTCGTGGTGGAGTCGTGGGATAATCGTGGATGCGCTCAGCAAAGAGGCATTGTTGCAGCTCTGGTACTTTGTTGCACGCGATCTGTCAATGCGATGGTGTCTGTCAGTTGGTCGTGGAGGGGGGATCCGTGCGTGGGTGGCAGGGGCAGGCACGCAAGCACTTGCTTGGCCTGCAGTCGCCTGTGGCTCCACTGCGTTGTCGAGCCTCGCTGCTGAATGACATGAACATGAACACAAACACAACCCGATATGCACAACGTGGCATTTCTGAATGTTCTGCCATCTTAAACCAGTCCAAAGCAGAGGCCAGATGGTATCTGCCGACTTGTCGACAAAATTACTGACCTGGTGGAGCAGGACTGCCCATCAACTACACACCCTCCCTCCACCTCCCTCCATTGTCTGGATCACTCACTCTGCCGTCGCAAATTGTCGAGTCCCCCTCCAGTCGTTGTGGGGTTTTCCTCTGAGACGTGACACTCTCTACGACTGTCCAGCAGGACGAACTCTCTGGCCGTGGAACCGTATGGTTTCGGTCTTCACTTGAGGATGCCGTGAGCCAGCGAACTTGAGCCTATCCTCGCAATGACATCCTAGCTCTCCGGCTCATCGCTTTTCCAGAACTAGGGCCACGTCAAGAGGGAGAATGACAAGAAGATCGTGACCGGAATGATGAGAGATATCGATCAGCGGCGCGGGGTCACTTACTGATGATGACCAGTGTCATGCATTACAGCCATGAACATGTCGTCTATGTATGTTACTGGTGGTGTTGGTCCTCCATGACATGTACACTACAATAGCTATTCACAACCTCGTGCTCACTCGTCCATCGTTTCATCTCCCATTTGCGCATCATGGCCGACAAAGAGCGCAATCATTGCTCGACATGAGTGCGGAATGCCCGGTGACGATCGCTGGCGCAACGCAGGCTGACAACCACGGGCAGGGAGTACATCGAGCACCGTCAGTGCCCTCCTCTCCTCGGAGACACCGTCAGCGTCAAGCGAGAGCAAGGGACGAACTGCAGCAGTGAGAAGCCCCTGGCCACGCGCACGAGATCAAAAATATGCGATTTGGCACCTTGACCGAGTAGGTGGAATTCTTGCTATTTTCCCAATAAAGAAATGGGACAGGACAATGTTGACGCGGAAACAAACTGCATCGACGAGAGTCTCTGTCAGGACGCAGCAGAAATCAAAAGTTGGCCCTGTTGAGCCAAGGAGACGCACGTCATGGGGTATGTGCTTGACATTGTAACGGGCCAAAACCGCGAGGTCGTTCCCCGTGCCAGTGTGGCGAACGATGGACATGGCTACGATACATAGAGGCACTCCGCCCAAGGTGTTACTGCCACTGGCGCACAAGAATTGCGTTGGAGTAGAATTCAAGCCTTGCCTGCACGGCCGTTTTCGAACCATTCCCTGAGGTCCCTGATTTCCCCATCTTGCAGACCAGGAGTGTTGGTGCCGTGGAGGGAGATGACATGCGTCACCAGGCTGCCAGACCTCTGCGCTTCATCGGCGTACCCTTTGGAGTCGAGAATCTCCTTTGCCCGACTTGGGTCTTTGACGTAATGTTCGAGGAGATTGAGCTCCTCGACATCGAGGACGGGCTCCGGGTCATTATTGCGGGCGATGATCTCATGAGCGAGCGTGTGGTTGGCCATCATTTCTGCCCCCGAGGGGCCTGTGTAAGCGGTAGACATGGTGAGGGTTTGAAGCTTTCACTGCAGGCCTTTGATGATTCTTTGCGTCGCGATTTTTGAGGATGACGCCTTGGCGGTAAGAAGCTGCTGCCCGTCAAGCGGCTCTTGTAATTTGTGCTCTTCCACGTCTGCCTAATTTAATGACATTACTCGACACACCACCCCGCACCAACAGAAGGAATATTTGTGGCCCAGAGGAGAAGGTGGCAAAAGTACCACAAGCCTCACGAAAAGAGAGTCCACTGTGGCATTACCTAAAATGATATGTCCATTGCTTCGATCCTACGTGGCTGACAGCTTGCAGAGCGACTTCTGGACAGATAGACGGTTCAGCTCTCACTGTCAATGGACACCTTGAATATCGCCATCGTCAGCTGTTCGTTGCCCATGGCCACAAATACAGCACGGCATAACATCCGCTACGCTGCAAAAGGAGACAAAAATTGAATGCCAGTTCTCAATCTCAGTGCATGGAATGTCATCTGCCGCCTAGTCATGACTCGCCAAGCAACATCGATTCAGCTTCATGAACTTTAAAAACTTCATCATAGTTATCGATTCCTATATACAGTCGTGAAACCTAATCAAAAGCGGCTAAGCCAGGGCAAAGGCGGCCTACTGAGTAGCACCTAGGCAAAAGTGACCTCCATCGCAACGTTTCACATGTACGAAGCGTCATAGTAACCCTTGCTAGCATAGCTGCTCGTCAAGATGGTCGAGATCGACACGGCCGACGAAAGGGCCTTGGAAAAGCTCGCTCGGGTGCCCGAGGCGCCGGCACCCGTGTTCTGGTACTCGCCGTACGCGACATTGCTGGTCCTCTCATCGCCTGTGTTCCAGACCGACCACCCCGCCGAGTTGATGACGGACGACATTGTCGTCTTCTGGAACGCGACACGGGAGTAGGCGCCCCACGGACGGCCGAGATAGTACGCCCCAGCGCTCACACTGTTGCCGGAGGCAGCAGCGATGTTGCAGTTGTTGAATACGTAGTATGATGGGTTGGACGAGGAATCACGTCCGTTGGCTAGCAAACTTGTCATCAGCCTCATGTGCGTGGATAGTTTGGCCGGGGCATGTCATCCCGATGGTGTGGTCTTACCAGTGATCCAGCCCTTCGAGGCACTGAGAACGCGGAGGTCGCACTTTTCGAACCACGCAGAAGCCTGGCGGCCAAAGATGAAGTCCGTGGCGCCCTGGATCAGGGAGCGCGAGTACAGCTGGTACCCGGTGTTGCTGAGGAGCGTGTCCTGGAAGCCGGTGAAGGCGCACCCGTAGTAGCCGCTGTCGGCGTAGGCGCTCAGGGCGATGGCCTGGCTTCCCTTGCCGTACGTGTTGGCGACGTTGACGTTGTACAGCTTGAAGTTGTTGGCTTTCACGCGCAGGGTGCCAGTCTCGTCGTTGTTGAGCCCGTCCTTCTGGCTCTTGTTCGCCGTAATGGTGACTTTGTTTCCTGCGTAGCCACTGGTGTCCGTGCTGTAGCCGTAGATGGTCAGTTGAGCGCTGCGGCTCGGGACGAGGACTTGCTCGGCGTAGGAGCCCTGGTTGATGAAGATGCACTGTGTGCCCGAGGACGACGTTGACAGGGAGTTCACAGCAGCCTGGATCGTCCCGAACTGTCCACTGGCCGGAGATTTGCTGACGGTAATGCACCCCGATGGGGCTGAGGTCCTCGTGGCAGCTTGTGCTGCAGCAAGCAGAGTGCAGAGAGCGGCAAACGTCTTCATCGTGCTGGAATTGACTGTCAAACAAGGTAGGCCAGCGTTAACGTTCTCAGGCCGGTTGCCCAGAAGCAGGAGCCAGGAGAATCAGGCTTGCCCATCTTATATCTCAGTTCATGGACTCAGTCTATTGACCATGCCTCTGAGGCCATCCCAGCTGACCACGTCTTTCGCGACCATCAATGGCTTTACCAAGCTTTCGTTGGTGCAAAAACCAGGAACCAAGTGACATCTCTCCAGTCCCAAAGGGGTTAAAGGCATGATCACCTCCCGAAGTGCTACCCTACCCCTGTGAACATGCTTCATTCCATGCCGGTAATTTCAGAGAAATAACTGCGGGGTGGTTTGAGGGTGACGCTAAATGATGGGGTAGCCCGGCATGCTGTGCAGCATTCGGGCACACGCCCGTGGTGAACGGGTTCTCTCATGGCCAGCATTGGCCTACCGCATACAATTCGCCTGCTTGAAGTGTGGATGGCACTTTCTTCGGCCTGTATAATCCTTTCAGCAGCGTCGATTGTTTTCAATACCTTGGCCACCTGGCCGTTGTCCACAAGTGGACGCATCTCCTGAGACACCGCGGACGAGTCGAGACAGATCCGCTCCCCCAGAAGGTGATTGTCTCCAGAACAAAGCGAATGAGATGCCAAAAACGTTTTCAGTGCACTCGATATCCTCTTAGCTTTTGTTGACGGATTGAACCTCCATAAGGTCTTGGTTTCGCTAGCCGTCTTGCAGGTATGGCAGTCACAAAGCTCTATGGCCCTGAATCTGAGACATCGAGAAAGAACTCCGAGTTGAACGAGAAACGTTAAGCAATTAATCTTCGGGCGAATGGATCGGCTTAGTATTGTTCCCTCATAAAATGTCCGAAACGCAGCTTCGGAGTTGGACGTGAGAGTCCAAATGCACCGTGCTCGATGTGTTCCCAACTTTCCAACCTCTCGTTCCGTGTCTGCTTTCGGGAAACACCTCGTTCGGGGACCACTTGCAGGGTTCAGTCGACGATCTCTTCGGTAAGCTGTTCTGCAGGCGATTGCGTGGTGGCGGCAATGCGAAGAGCTCCTTGACAAGATCGACCGCGTTGAGGCCGGACGTACGGATGGCAGAAATGCAGCAGATTTACCATTCTTTAGGTATGATTCGTTGCATATCACCTAAACATGGAACTCTTCAACTCAACGAGATCGTGCCGCGGTTGCCGTTTTGCGGGGAATCCCTAATTACTTTGCTTCACTCGCCAGATGTCTTCGGGACATTTATGCCCACCAATGATGAACTATTTCGTCAACCCCGCATGGTTCCTTGTATGCCCCCTTTATGGAGAATGTCTATCGACAACAACAGATCGGGTAACCGTATTTATATGCACGATGGCTTCACAAACTCAATGTGATACTGGCTGGATGAGTCTTGGTTATTACTAGAAAGCCAGCCATCGCTCTCGCCCAGTCTCGTCTAATTCGAAACATTGTGCTGCTTATCATGCTTCTCTCCGTACTTCTCGCCACAGCGGCTCTTGCACCCAGCTTCGCTCTGGCTGCACCGCTTTCTGTGGAGCCAAGGGCGACCACGAAGATATTGATATCTTCCGATAGCACGACCGCCAACTATGCCACTGGAAATGCTTTGCAAGGGTGAATGACAATCAGCCCAATAAAACAATCTCTCTCAACAATACCAAGTGCTAACCCACTCTCCAGATGGGGCTATTATCTGAACACTTACACGACACTGGACGTCCGCAACTTGGCTAGAAACGGGCGCTCGACTCGGAGTTTCATCAACGAAGGCTTGTGGTCGTCTCTGTTGGCCTCGACGGCCCAAGGCGACTATGTGCTCATAGAAATGGGCCACAATGACGACGGCGACCCAACGGCTGTCGGAACGACAGCCGCTGACCGTGCCACGCTGCCAGGCATAGGCGAAGAAACCAAAGTCGTCACCACGAGCACCGGCGCCAAAGAGACCGTCCACACTTTTGGCTGGTACCTGCGCAAGATGATTGCAGATGTCAAGGCCAAGGGCGCCACGCCCATCATCTCCGGCATGGTCAACAGAAACTACTGGAATGGCAACACGCTGCGGACCGACTGGCCGTTTGCGACGTATGCTCAGCAGGTGGCCAAGGCCGCGGGTGTCGAATACCTCGATCACACAAAGTACTCCGTCGCGCTCTTCCAGTCTTTCGGCCCGACAAAGGCCAAGACGTATTTCCCCAACGACAACACCCACACCAACTGGGACGGCGCAAAGCTCAACACGCAGACGTTTGTGCGGAGCGTCAAGTGCAAGTGCGGTGGTACAAGCAAGCTGGCCCAGTATCTCAATGCCGCTGCCAATGCTCTTCAGACACCGGCATGCCAAGCTTGCTAGCTTTGGGCCCAGGCATGCATCCTCAAGTACTTTGTGTAAAAACAGCATTCAATTTATGTCTGATATTGCCACGATGAAATTGGAGAGGATATATATTTGGGTGTGGTTAGTTTATGGAAATTCCACAGTTCCAAGTTTTCCACCAGTTTCGGTATTTACTATTCGCTTCAATGAAGCAATTAATCCTAAGACCCGGTCAATCGTTTGAGTGCCAGGATGCCTTATAAGATTGCCGGGCCACGGCTGTGGCTTAACCGCTTTGTGGAAGGAGTGTGGCGCTGCATGATTCCGGTCTTCGAGTGTCTCGCTGGGATAAAGCCTTGACTGTATGAGTACTAGATAAAGAGGACAGAGATCACGTGGATCCCTGGTCAGAGGTCTGAGGCACTCGGCCGTCCCTTTAATGACGAATTCAACTTTGTGTTTGACTGCTATCCCAAGGAATGGCTAATCCTTACTTAATAGGTACTTGACCACGCACAGGGTAATGACTAGACGCCTTTCCGACAATGTCAGACCCCGCGGTCTCTTAGTCATTAGAGATTCTGACACAGTACACACCCTTTTACTAAGGCTCAAGTCGTCATCAAAGGGATAACACCTTATTCAATGGTGGACCAGTCTCCACACTTGCCAGGATGATTGTGGCACCACGTCCAAGGGTTGCCAAAGTGTAAGCAGCGGTACTTAGTAGTCGACGACTTATCGGCTATGTATGAAGTCAGATTTAATTATATAAGAGACTGTAGAGATATTTCGCATACGCTGGCAGTAGATAGAGGCGCCAGAGCCCGTATCACAGGGGCAGCAATCAGTGTTCTTTCTGCATTCACCTTCGAACCATTAGTCAGGGTAAGAAGAAAAAGGTAAGAATGAAGAATAGTTAGTAATTCTAACGTACCACCAAGGCCACGAAGTTCATTTGCACTGGCAAGCGCAAGAAGCAGAGTAATGGTGGTAGCTGTAGAAAACTTCATGATGATTTAGAGGAACTCGTTAGAATAGGTAGGGTAGTATGTCTGTCAATGAAGAAAAGAATTTCAAATTGAAAGGGATCTTTGAGGCCTGATATAGCCTGTGAGCTACTCATGATTTTTATCTCACTTCAATTAAAAGCCCTCTTACTACTATGTTAATTATCTTATTTAGAAGTATAAACTCTAAACTATTATAATTATATATTCAGGCTATATAATGCATACTTACTTACTGTACTTATATAGGGTTCATGGCCTAGATAGCAGAGTTATAAACTGCGTAACTATTACGTATCTATTTAAATATATAGGGTTAATAGCCTATATAATAGAGTAATGAACTGCGAAGACCTAGCCTTATAGGCGTAACCTCTAGCTAATCCAGAGACCCTGAGTTAGCTAGACCTTTTAGTATAGACGCTATACTGCACTACTCGCATTTCGTATCACTATATAACGACTTTATTTATATGTTATTATATTATATTTAGCTTGAACTCTCTATCCTTTTCTCTAGTCTATAAGTAACTTCCTGTTAGATTCAAACCACATATAGTACGTACTTATTATAATAGCTAAATCTCTAGTATAGCTAGTACTGGATATAGTTCTTAAGGACTACGTAGGTATCATGCTTGGGGCATATAATTAAGGCTATATAAATATTCTATCAGTGTAAGGTGAATAGATTGCTCCACCTAGGTAGGCAGGCTACTAAGGCTTATATAGATAACAGGGGCACGTGCCTATCGATCAGGCCATGTTCGTAAACTGGTCAGGCCATGTTCGTAAACTGGTCAGGCCATGTTCGTAAACTGGTCAGGCCACGTGCCTCAGGCAGGTCAGGTAGGATAGGCCACAGAACAGGCCAGTCCATTCCATTCGTATTGTATAGTATAGTAGGTCCTTTCTTATCTTATAACATGATGAGTATGCAGGGCATTATTCTTACGGCCGTCCTAATATTAGAATGCTGTGGACTTCTACATGTAAGACAAAGAAGTGCTGTTGGAGGGGTAACATGATTCACGCCAAAGCAGCATGTTACCCAACTTTTTAGATCCGCCATCCGCTGCTTGGTACAACGAGCTCGGCGTCATTCGGACCGATGTTTCTATAGTCTTTCTGGGTGGCCGATGGTTACCCGGTTTGCGGATGGGCTCATGCATTTGATCCCAGCAGAGCATCTTCACCCTGAACTTCAAAGGATACGTCCTGACTCCGCGTCCGCAGCGTGCGACCACAATCACTCGTCGTTGATACACAGCGACAGGCACTCCCACAGTAAGGGCTTCAAATGGCGGACCCGCCTGTTCCCGAGGACCAAAAGGTCGACAAGGTGTATGCCACAATCTTCAACCCAGTGTTTGCGCAAAAGGCCGAAAACCTGCGGCCAGCCCTTCACACATGGGACGTCAAGCCCGAAGAGGTCATCACCTTCGGACCAGATGAGGCAGCCTATTTCAAGGTACGACCAATTCACCGAATGTCGATTGAGGAGCTCGCCAACAGGGCCTGGGGTAAGGGTGAGGAATTCATACTCGACTTTGGCTCCCACAATGTCGGCTACGTCTCGTTTCACCTCGGCGCCGAAGGGCTTAATATTGACGCCCCGGCACGGCTGAGACTCACATTTGGCGAGATACCATATGACGTTACAGAGGAGCTTCACCCATGCCGGTCATGGATCAGCACCAGCTGGCTCCCCGACGAGGTCATCAATGTCGATTGGGTGCCGACAAATGTGGCGATACCGCGGCGCCATGCCTTCCGCTACCTGCGTGTGCAAATATCCGACACCTCGCCCAAGTACAAGATCAAGTTCAGCGGGATCGTGACACGATCAGAAAGCGCTGTGCCGTCGGGCCATCCCGTAGAGCCGTGCTTCGTCCCCGAGACCAACGATGACGATGCTAAGCTCCTGAGACGCATCGACGCGGTGAGCCAGAACACGCTGCGCAGCTGCATGCAGACAGTCTTTGAAGACGGGCCCCGGCGAGACAGACGGCTTTGGAGCGGTGATCTTCGGTTGCAGGCGCTCACAAACTACTGCACGTTTGGGGACGGCGACCTCGTCAAGCGGTGCCTTTACCTGTTCGCGGCAGTGCCCCGTGAGGATGGGTCGCTGCCAGCGTGTGTATTCGAGAAACCGACGCTTTCGGCTGCTACAGACTACATTATCGATTACGACGTGCTCTTTGGGTCAATTGTTGATGATTATTGCGAGGCAACGGGAGATCTCGACACGGGACGCGAGCTGTGGCAGACGGTTCTCGGCAGCACAAAGGCGGCACTGGCACATATCACGGAAGAGGGTATCTTCTCGTGCGGTGCTTCGAGCGGGTGGAAGTTCCTCGACTGGGCTAAGGAGCTCGACCGCGATGCTGGCATGCATGGTCTCGTCATCTTCGCGCTGAAAGCGGTCAACCGTCTCGCGGGTCGACTGGACGAGGCGGCGCCATACGAAAATACAGTGGCTCGTCTCGTGGCCGCTGCCGAGGGCGGGTTTTACGACAAAGATAGGAGAGTGTTCGTCAGCGGGCCGCAGGCGCAGGTATCCTGGGCATCGCAGGCTTGGATGGCACTTGCTGGGGTCATGGACCCAGCGACGTGCAAGGCAGCGATTTTGAAAGCCATGGCAGACGCGACAGCAGTCAGGCCGATAACGCCGTACCTGTACCACCACGTCGCCGAGGCGCTGAGCGTGGTGGGTGGCGAAGAGGAATGTCTTGAGCTAATTCGCGAGTACTGGGGTGGTATGATACGGGCAGGCGCCGACACGTCTTCTGGGAGTGTTTCGATCCGGAGGATAGTCGTAGCAGTCCATATGGCGACTGTCATAACAACAGCTACTGCCATGCGTGGAGCTGTACACCGAGCTATCTATTGAGGGTCAAGCTGAAGGGGTGGCTGGAGCAGCGGTCGGGTGTACAGCCAGAGGCCTAGCGTGGCAGAGCAGTTTTGTGTGAATCGGACTTGTCGGTTGCTCAAAGGCCTTGGCGGTTTGATGTCAGGGCTCTATGATAACACCTGGATGCATGTTTGATGATCTGACCTCAAAACCAAGGAACAGTCCGACATGTGACGGTGAATTTGATGGAACAGAGACGGGGTTCTCAGAGCCTGCCAGATTGACTGAGGTGAAAGATTGTTGCGCGGTGACGCTTGCGGAGCTTCTCCTCCACGTCTTACATCACGTTTCGTGCTACCTGATTTATGCCTTACCTAAAAGGGGGCCAGGGCCCATGGCAAGCAGGTGCTTGTTTGTTGGCACTTGCCATGACGCGACCGGTCAAGTATGTGGATAGCTGCATTTGCTCATGAGCAGCGCCTTCCCTTGATTTGATCGAGATGTTGTGTGAACCATATGACGATGCGGGCACGTCACTGACGGAAACCCCAATCGCTCAGCCGCTCTTGCTCCAACTTTTGTGTTACAAGTCCATCCGTTGAAATAGATAGCATGAGCGACTGGCTTTTCTTCTTTTTTCCTGCACTCTCACCTTTTTCCATCTCACTCCATCGAAACGAGCTGAAGTCATCACGAGTTGCACCTACCACCAATATGGACACAGTCATTCCCGGCGACATTGCCGATCAGCACGCATCCAATACCCAACGCAGCCGCGCGAGGATCCTCAATGAACACAAGCGTCGTGTCGGCAGCAATGAGGATCAGGGATCGACCCGTTCGCTGAGAGAAATGAACGAAAGTCACGAGGCCTCGGGTCCACTGAGGGAGATCATAAGTAAGTGTCTCATAGATGTCGACTGGATCATGTCTGAATGTGCTGGTATGTTTCTCAAGGTTTTGCTGACGCTGTTGAACATGAAGACCAGCAGGACAGTCTCTATAAGTACATTAACGTAAGACAAAGACTTCTTACAACTCTTTCCAGTCTCGTGACAACACTGACAATCTTCAGTGGGAGGACCCCCTGAGGACTCTGGGCGCATACTTTACTGCCCTTACTGCTCTGATCGTCACACACTATTATCCATGGACGCAGCTTGCTCTAAAGTATGGCGCCATCAGTCTTGGAGGTACGCATTCCAGCTCTTTCCCACCTTCCGATTCTTCGACTAGCTTCTGACCCCCTTCGTCCAACAGTGGTGTCCGTCACCGAGTTTGCAAACAGGCAGTTCACGTCCCAGACCCTTCTCTCGAGGTTGCGACCCACCGAATATCGCACCATACCCGAATCGACGCTCAACGCGACTCTGAAGGATGTTCATGATTTCGTCCAGTATGCCATTGTCAAGCTCCAGAAGGTCGCTCTAGGCCAGGAACTCGACCGAACGTTTGCCGTACGTCTTCTGCGCGAAGAGAAGAAGCAATTTCCAAGCTGACGTACTTCAGGCCTTCCTTGTCATCACCAGCATCTACTTCCTGAGCGGCATTCTGTCGCCTTTTGGCTTCATCATCTTGGGCCTGACCTCTCTGTTCGTCGCTCCGCTCGTTACGTCCGCACGAGGCCGCGAGGTGGCTCGCGATGCCAGGGTTCAAGCCGAGAAACTCGGAACTGCTGCCGCCGATAATTCCAACGCGCTCGCGAGCGGCGGCAAGGCCAAGTTGGCAGAGGGTTCTGCCAGGGTACGTGAGTCAGCTGCCGGCGTGCAGCAGCGCGTGGGAGGTGTTACGCAGGCAACCAGTCAGACGGCTGCGGATCTGACAGGTCAGGTCCGCGAGACGGTGTCACACACGGCCGAGGATGTGAGAAAGCTGCCAGAGATGGGATCCAATGCGCTGAGCTCGACATTGGCAGGTGATGATGTGGCAGAGAATGGCTCGGAACACTACACACACGAGGCTTCGCCTCTAGGCGACAGGCGTCCCGCCCCAGACATCGACTTCACCACGAGGTACCCTGAAGTGGGGCAGGGCGAGGACGAGAGGTTCGGTTCAGTTCCTGGAACGGTTTCCAAGGTCCAGGTCTCGGAGGAGACGGCATGATCTGGGTCCGGAAGGGGACCGCACACTTGGTGTGTAATACGCTTGAAGGCAAGAGAAAAACGAAAGTGATGAAGCTTGAAACATGAGCGGACGTGTGGCAACAAAATCAGCAAGTTCATGCGAGTCAATATCCAATTCTTAAATCTGTGAAATTTGTATCCGACACATCAAGCCGAAGCCCAAGACCACGCTCAAGCCCTCGAACACACTGATATGCACTCCTGCGTCAACTGACGGAATCGTCCATTGCTTTACCATGGCATTCAAAATGTCTATTTCTATTAAACGGACAGAGTCTACAGAGATCGCAGGAGTGGTTTCGCTTCAAGACCAGAGTCTATTCGTTGAGAGAGTGTCCCCCTAAATCTTCGACGCATCCGTCGCCGTCGCGAAGCCGTCGACGACCGCCGTCAGCAGCCTGTTGGCAATGGCCGTGTGCGGCGGCAGACGCAGGGTGCCCTCGACGTACCCCTCGGGCGCGGGCTCGCCGAGCCCGCCGACGCCCGACTGCAGCGCCAGACGGACTTCGTCGACGGGGTACCAGTTGGCGGCCTCGAGCTCGGGGTCGTTGCCGAGGTCGATGGCCTCGCCGTCGGGCAGGGCCTGGGCGACGGCGCCGATCATGAGGCTGGCCGGGTAGGGCCAGGGCTGGCTCGAGTGGATGGCGACGCGGCCGACGCGGACGCCGCTCTCCTCGAAGACCTCGCGGCGCACGGCGTCCTCGATGGACTCGCCGGGCTCGAGGAAGCCGGCGAGGGTGCTGTACATGTGGGGCGGGTAGCGCTTCTGGCGGCCGAGGAGCAGGCGCTTGCCGTCGGCCGAGATGACGGCGGCGATCATGGTGGGGTCCGTACGCGGGAAGCTGAGGTTCGATATGCCGGTGCGGGTGGGGCAGTCGGCGCGCGGGGTGCCGGAGGCGGCGGTGGCGCGGTCCGTCGGCGGGCAGATGCGCTTGAAGCCGGCGTGGCCTGAGAGGGTGCGCGCGCCGCAGCCGCCGCAGAACTGATTGCGGGCGTTCCAGTCAATGGTGGAGCGCGCCTGGGCGTAGAGGGCAGCTAGAGGGGGGGGGGTTTCTGGTCAGGCCGGGCTGTTTTGCTAGCAACGTGTACCAGACACACACAAAAGAAAAACGTACCTGATCGGGCATCGAGGGAGAGGTGTATCCTCGCCTCGAGGAATTTTCTGCCACGAGCCTGCTGCTCGTCGATGAAGGTCTGAGCAGCGGCAGCGTAGGTGCCGTGGGGTGTCACGTCGACGGCGAAGTAGGGGCGGCCCTTGTGACCCTTGTACTCGAACGGGACGCTGCCGTCATCGAGGAGACCGAGGAACAGGACGACGGGACGGTTCTCGTTGGAGTCAAAATTCTTGATGAGATCGTCCTCCGAGGGTCCAAAGGGGTCCTCGCCGGTGACCGGGGCGAGGTCCTTGTACGTCAGAGGAGACAGCGTGTTCGGGTCATCGACCAGGGGTGTGAGATTCTTCAAGGCGAGGAAGCGAGTACCCTCGAGCTGAAAGGCCGTCCTGAGAAACCCGAAATCGGTGCGCAGCCATGACAGGCGGTTGACGGGGTTCCCAGCAAAGTAATTGATGGTCTCACGGCCAAACTTCTTCGACAGCGACGACTGAGGGTCATCCAGCGGCGGGAGAAGCTGAGGGGCGGCGTGAGGAGCCATGCCGAGGTATGTTTTGGCGGGAGCGGTAAAGCCGGAGGCGAAAGAACGATGGAGGCAGCGGTTCCACGGTGCCCTGGTGCGCAGGGCAGTGAGCAGGATTGGGGACGCAATGGTCGTAGTGCTTGCTGTTGGACGCTTGTGAGAGGAGAAGAAGGGCACGGGAGGGGAGGGTTTATGGAGGATATGTCACGGAAGGCGGAATGTCGTGATGGGCGGCGGTGGTTGTGAGTTGTTCGAATGAGAGGTGAGTGCTTAATAATCCAGTGCCGACTCGGAAAACCATCGTGGGGCGGCGACAGCAAATGTTGCATCACCATTTGACAGCGCTAGCAGAGAGCTCCGGTGCGGAGCGTTGACTGCGTGATGATTTGGCGTTTCGGCGATGGGCCATTCTCGAGGGTCTCTGATCAATGGGAATCCCACTGATATGGACTTGATTGAATCGCAGCTCACCATGTAGACATCCTCATGATTCGACGTTGAAGCAGGCATCATGATAAGAACCCCACCTTCCACTTCTGCTTCCATCGATGGGTCGGCGAGAGCTCTCGCAGCTGTCGAGCGAGCTGGCTCAGGGTTAGGGTTGGCGGGGACCCTGGCCTCGGCCTCCCCGCATTCCAGATCGCCCTGTGACGTCGCTTTCGTTCGCTAAAAACTCTACCCTTGCAGGACCTTACAGGGGGGCACGTGGAGCGTGTAATGACGAGCCTATCGAGTTTTGCAGCTCGCTCCGAGGGGAGGGAGCACGGCCACCGGATGGAGACCCGAGAGGAGCTGAACGACAAGGAGGCAGGCTTTAGACCCTCCAGGCCTTAGAACCTCCACTGGAAGCAGCGAGCACAGGCGACTTGGACGACGAGGAAAAAAAGTCTGCTCCTGCCTGACCACTTTGCTCGGCACGCGACCCAGTTCCGGTCAGAGGTCAATTGAGTCACGGCCGACGCCATTCTTCCCTTCGCTTGTTCTTTTCTTTCTCCCATCTTCGTCTTGTCGGGGTTCTTTGTTACATCTAGGCGGACCCCAGGAACCATTCGCCCTCAAGCACCAGACTGCTCGTCCCCTCCCCACCTCCCTCGGGTGCACCCTCTGACGAACGCATCGTCACCACTGCCGCCCTCCTCGAGCTGTGCGCTACGACCGCGGCCAGCCGGCTGTCGACATGTTCTCCATGGCCCCTCCCACGGCGCCGTTGCACCTCGACGTCGAGGCCATCTCGGGCATCTGTGGCTCCATCTCCATTGCCTGCTGGGTCGTCGTCTTTTCGCCCCAGATCCTCGAGAACTTTCGCCGCAGCAGCGCAGACGGACTGTCTCTGCAGTTCATCATTGTCTGGCTTGCCGGCGATGTCTTTAACATTCTGGGCGCCGTCCTGCAGGGCGTTCTTCCGACCATGGTGCGTTTTTCTCTCAGCCCGCTACCCCAAAAACGGGTTGTGGCCGTCCAAGCTGACATGTCAGATCATTCTCGCCATCTACTACACCATTGCCGATATCGTACTCCTCGCCCAGTGCTTCTACTACCGCGGCTTCACCTGGAAGGACGAGGTCGTGCCGCCGGCACCGAAGCCAAGACCCGCGCGCGTCCCCGACGGCGAACGCGACATACTCAACGAGCGCACCACGCTCCTCGACCACGCCGCCGCCCACCGCGAGCGCCGCGGCTCCGATTGGTCGAACCTCTCGCCAGCCGTGCCGCTGCACGACGGTCCGCCGCCCGCGACGCCGGCGCAGCCGACGCGTCTGCAGACGGTCCTCTGGAACGCCGTCGCCATCCTCAAGGTCTGCGCCGCCGGCGTCTTCGGCTGGTTCCTCAGCCGGCGCTACTCGCCCAAGCACGCCGCCGGCCACGACGGCCACGACGGTGACCACAGCGCCGACCAGCCGCTCGGCTTCAACGTCTGGGGCCAGGTCTTTGGCTGGCTCTGCGCCGTGCTGTACCTCGGCTCGCGGCTGCCGCAGATCCTGCTCAACTACCGCCGCAAGTCGACCGAGGGCGTCAGCATGCTCTTCTTCCTCTTCGCGTGCCTCGGCAACCTGACGTACGTGCTGTCCATCTTTGCGTACGACCCGCACTGCGGCCGCCACGGCTGCGCGCCGGACCGCGGGTACGCGCGGTACATCCTCGTCAACCTGTCGTGGCTCGCCGGCAGCATGGGGACGCTGCTGCTCGACATGGGCATCTTTGTGCAGTTCTTCCTGTACCGCAAGGACGACGACGAGTACGAGGACGAGGACGACGAGGAGGAGGAAGAGGCCGATGGGCACAGCATCGACCAGGACCGGTGGGACCAGCGCCCGCTTCTCGCGCGGGGGGATACGTCCTACCCTTAGTAGCGGTGTGCTCGATTCAACTCGTCTTGGGCCGAAAAAATAAGTTGAAAAATGGACAATGGATCAGGAAAAGGGTAGGAAGAAAGATGTACAGGTGGAAACCCGAGGGGTCTGAAACACAAAATAAAAAGGGTTATTGGTGTAAAGGTTGGGTACATGGCCATGACAGCGGCGTTTTTTTTTTTGGTCTTTTGCAACGAGCATTTTTTATTCTTTTTATTTTTGAAAGTACAGGGTCGCTTCGCTGCATATATGAGATGTATTATTGGCTTCAACAATCTTCGATAGGAATGGAAGGACATATCATCTTCTGACTTGAGACGAGCTGGGCAGGCCATGCTGTCGTCGATCGAACGCATCTGGCAGAGGGTTCGTGCCGCAAACGAGATCGGACGTGGCACGCAAAGTGTTCCTCCGATGCTGTTATGCCACTGTTCATTGCCTACAGAAGCGTCTTGCGTTTGCGTTGAGGCCATCTAGTAGCGGTGAAGCTTGAGGGTTTCCAGCCACAGCGAGTCGAAAGTAAGCACTACGCGGGCTCGGTACCCGTACTGTCAGACTGGAGGCGACAGCCCCCGACGACATGCTGGGCGGAGGGGCTTGACACCAAGGGCGCAGCTAGTGGGCCCCCGCTGGTGCTTCCTTCCTCCTTCTGGTCCACGCTCACTTTGGGCAACTGCTTTAAGAGTCTCTCTTTCCGCCTGCTTCTCGACTTCATCTCTGGCATCGAGATCCAGATCGGAGCTCTACAGCTGCAGCCTTGTCGCTTCTTTTGATCACAACCAACCGCCATCTTGCCATCATGACCACGTCGGAAACCCTCGTGCGGCCCAGCTTCGAGCTGCGAACCCTCCACCGTGCCGACTTCGTCAACGGACCCGAGACGGGAACCCCACTCGGTGCCGCAACACCAGATGCCGCCCTCGGCGAGACCGACCTCCCCGCCGTCACCGACACACACGATCCCGCCGATGAGTTTGCGTCGCTGCCGCCTGCTGACGGGGGCAAACATGCGTACCTGTTCCTCGCCGCCTGCTTCCTCGTCGAGGCCCTCATCTGGGGCTTCCCCTTTTCCTTTGGCGTCTTCCGCAGCTACTATGCCACGCACGCCCCTTTTGCCGGGGCCCCCAACATTGCCGTCATCGGCACCTGCGCCATGGGGATCATGTACTTTACAGCACCTCTCGTCATCTCCATCCTCCGCGTCGTCCCTCGCTTCTCCCGCTGGTCCCCCGTCATCGGCCTCCTCTTGACGTGTTTCGCCCTCGCCATGTCCTCGTTCAGCACCACTGTGCCGCATCTCATCGCCACCCAGGGCGTCTTCTATGCCATTGGCGGTGCCCTCGCCTACATTCCCTGCATCGTCTACATGGATGAGTGGTTCGTCCGTCGCAAGGGGCTCGCCTACGGCATCATGTGGTCCGGTACGGGCATCGCCGGCGTCATCTTCCCGCTTCTCATGGAGACGCTCCTCTCGCGCTTCGGCCATCGCACGACCCTCCGCCTCTGGGCCGGCCTGCTGTTCCTGCTGGCCGCGCCGCTGGCCTTCTTCATCCGCCCGCGCATCCCGCCGACCAGCGCCCGCTCCTCGAGCGCCGCCTTCCGCAGGCCCCACGCCAACGTACGCTTCCTGCTGAGCCGGCCCTTTCTGCTGCACCAGGCTGCCAACATTGTCGAGGCCCTCGGCTACTTCCTGCCAGCCGTCTACCTGCCGTCCTACGCGCAGACGTTTCTCGGCGCGGCACCCTTCGCCGCCGCTTCGACGCTCTTGTTTGTCAACGTGGCAAGCGTCTTTGGCTGCGTCGCCATGGGCCACATGGTGGATCGGCTGCCCGTCGGCCACTGTCTCCTCGTGAGCTCCATCGGCGCCGCCGTCGGGTGCCTGATGCTGTGGGGGTTCGCGTCCAGTCTGCCTGTGCTCTACGTCTTCTGCGCCGTGTACGGGCTGTTTGCCGGCAGCTACACGTCGGCCTGGCCCGGCGTCATGACGAGCATCGTGGAGCGGGAGAGGGGCAAGGGCAGGGGCGTGGATCCCATCCTGGTCTTTGGTTGTCTCGCGTCGGGCCGGGGTGTCGGCAATATGGTGTCCGGACCGCTGAGCGAGGCGCTCATCGAGGGGAAGCCGTGGATGGGCGATGCCGGGTTCGGATACGGCAGCGGCTACGGGACGCTGATTGTGTTTACAGGTGTGACGGCCGCGCTCGGGGGAATGAGCTGGCTGTGGAAGCGCATCGGATGGATGAAGTAGGAGGGTGCGGGCGAAGGAGGTGACGATTCTGCTGCGTTTCGAATGACTTGATGAATCCCACGGCGCCTCTTTTGTTCCTGAAACTGGATACGTGAGCGTGGCGGCCTACATGACGATGGCCATCAGAAGCATCGCAATGCGTCGTAAGCATCGCGACGTGCCTCATAGCAGTACCTAGGTCCAGGTCCCCTGGCGAAACCGAAACCGAGCCAAAGCACGAATCCCATCCGCCATGAGCGAACCATCAGGGGAGGGAGTGGGACTGCAGAAATCCATTTCCATGCGTCTCAAACCATTCGCCCTCTTCGAAGCAACATCTGGTGCGGCCCAACCGAGACAGAAAACGGCGTGTGATCACTCGCACCCATCACGTTGGGGCCATCACGACCGCGCATCCATCCCCCAACGTCAGACCAACACCGCCTGACCCTGCCGCTTCTGCCCCGACAGACCCCTCCCAGCCATCCACGGATCTGTCGGCCGCATCTGTGGCTATCCTCTGCTTACCTGCAATGTCTGACATGAAGCATCATACTACCTGGGATACCTGACCGACGCGCCATGTTTTCGATCATCCGCTGAATTCGCACAGCGCCTCTCGCCAGCGGCGATACACAGACTTATAGCCCCTACATGCCCTATGCTGCGGTGCGCTCAACCTAATTCCGAGTCTGGCAAATCCTCCAAAGATGCATCAGTAGAGTATCTTTCGATCAGTAACACGCTCTACACTCTCCCACAACATATTACGCCGCCGCCGCCGCCGCCATGTCCTTCGAGAAGAACCCCGTCCTCGCACCGCCAGAGCCGGCGCTGCTCTCGCCGCAGCCTCGTCTCACCCAACCTGTACGTCACCCAGAGCCTCATCTGCTGCCAAGTTCTTCTGTGGTGGGCAGGCTGACGAAAAGTCCAGCGTCCCATCGCGCCCATGTCCTACATGTCCTCGCCGGAGGAGCAGGCGCTCGCCCTACGCGGCGGCAGGAAGGGTGACTGTTCGGTGAGTCGGACATGCCTCTCTAGGCCATATCTCTACCTTTCTTCTTCTTCTTCTTCTTCTTCTTCTTCTTCTTCTTCTTCTTCTTCTTCTTCTCTTCTTCGACCCTTTAGCAAGAGTTTTCGGGGACGCGGTCCTCTGTTTGGACGTCTGCTATGAGATTCGTCAAGTCTTTTTATTACTTAATTAAGCCTGACTGCTGACCATTCAGGCTATTTGTTGCGGCATGTGTGCTGGGTTCTGCTGCTTCCAGTGCCTCGACTGCCTGTGTTAGTTCCAGTTTGGGCTGTTTGGAGCGTCGGCTTGGCTTGGGCATGTGGCTCATGTGAGACGTCTAGCCTGAGGGTCCTCTGCTGTCCCTGGATGCAGATGATGCGCTTTTCCTGGGTTGTGGTGGGCGGTGCCATGTTGTTTGAGCGCGATGATATGACAATCGGTATGACGAGAGAAGATGAACTTGAAAGTCATGACGTATGAAATACGGTCCGTTTTGAATGATGATGTCTTGTGGCTGTTCCTCTGGAGTTGAAATTCGCGAGCCATATCACTCCATAATCCAGACCTCGCTTCCGTGAGACTTATAGCCCCGTGTATTCACATGCCATGTTTCCACAAACTACAAGGTAAGGTCCACGAAGGACGATGCATGTCCATATATTGGACGTCAATTTTAACCCGCCTACAGCTTCGATTTGACCTCGGCCACAGGCGTCGCCAACTTCTCCGTCGCCGCCTCGATCCGCCTGCCGAGCTCCCCATCCACCTTGCCGAACATCTCATACACCCGCCTCCTCGTGCCCTCCTCGGCGCCAGCGAGATGCCCCGCCACGTTGCCGACATAGTTCTCCTGCTGGCCCTGCGTCCGCCCCAGCACGGCCCAGAGGCCGGCGGCCTGCACGTAGTCCTCGGGCCCGACCTCGGCGAACACAGCCTCGACAGCCTCGCCCTCCCACCGTTCGTGGCCCGACACGGCGCGCACGGGCTTGTACGCCAGCGGGCGGGCCGTGGCCTCGTAGCCCGGGGTGGCGCCGCAGTTGCCGTCGACGGCCATGGCGCCGTCGCGCTGGAAGGGGTTGAAGGCGCGCAGCGGCCGGTTGACGGGGATCTGCTGGTAGTTGACGCCGAGGCGGTGGCGGTGCGTGTCCGGGTAGCTGAAGAGGCGGGCCTGCAGCACGGGGTCGGCCGAGGGCGCGACGCCCGGCACGAGGTGCGACGGCGAGAAGGCGGCCTGCTCAATCTCGGCGAAGTAGTTGGCCGGGTTGCGGTCGAGCGTCATGCGGCCGAAGCGCCGCAGCGGCACCTCGGCCTGCGGCCACACCTTGGTCAGGTCGAAGACGTTCCAGCGGAACGCCTGCGCCTGCGCCGGCGTCAGCGTCTGCGCGTAGACGTCCCAGGACGGCGGGTCGCGCCGCGCGATGGCCTCGAAGAGGTCCTGCGTCGTCCAGTCCGGGTTCTCGGCCGCCATGCGCGCCGCCTCGGCCGCCGTGAACGTCTTGTTGCCCTGCCGCGTCTTGAAGTGCAGCTGCGTGTAGACGAAGGACCCGTCGGGCTTGGTCCACTTGAGCGTGTGGCCTGTGTAGCCGTTCATGTGGCGGTACGAGTACGGCGTGCCGCGGTCGGAGAAGAGGTGCATGACCTGGTGCACGCACTCTTGGTGGTTGGCGATGTAGTCCCAGAACTGTCCCCCTTCTTGTTAGTCATTTTCTTTTTCTTCTTGTGCCGCGCTGTGCGCGCCTCGAAGAGACAAGGGGTGTCCTGCTCACCATGGTTGCATCCTTGAGGTTCGTCTGCGGGTTGCGCTTCTGCGTGTGGATGAAGAGAGGAAAGTTGGTGGGATCACGCAGGAAGAAGATGGGCGTGTTGTTCATGACGAGGTCCAGGTTGCCTTCCTGGGTGTACAGCTTGACGGCGAACCCTCTGGGATCACGCGCCGTATCGGCCGACCCCTTCTCGCCGCCGACGGTGGAGAAGCGGGTGACGAGAGGCGTCTTCTTTCCGACGCCGGTGAAAGCATCAACAGAGCAGATGTCGCTGATGTCGTCCGTCACCTCAAAGAAGCCGTAGGCGCCAGCGCCCTTGGCATGGACGACTCGCTCGGGGATGCGCTCGCGGTCAAAGTGAGCGAGGAGGTCGATCAAGTGGAAGTCCTGGAGGAGGAGAGGACCCATCTGGCCAACACGCTGGAAGGCCGTCGGATTGGCGACGGGAGCGCCATTGGATGTCGTGTAGACGGGCTTTTCGTCATAGAGGGAGGTTGGCGGCGTCTTGTTGTTGCTGCTGTCGTCGGCCATCGTGATGGTGTCTCAGGCGAGGATGGGATCGAGGATACAGGCAACTTGGAGATTGAAGCACAAGTGGAACGATATGAGGAACGACAGAGATATCTTGAGAGAAAACTTTGTGAATCACAAAGGCTGGAGGATCTCCATCACATATACAAATGGCAGGCCAGCTTTTCAAACCCCGAGCTCTGCCATCAAGCTCGGAGCCCAGCGCGTCCCACTCGCCCTCTATCCTGCTTGCTGAACGTTCCATTCTCGACGACAAAGTGGGTGATAAAGCTGCACACCAGGCATGAAGCAGGGATTTGAACAGAGCTCAGGTGGATCTCGATCCAATCAGTCGCCGGCAATAAGCAAGCGTGGGTGAGATGGCGCTCAACGAGAGTGGTCGCCCTTGACACATCGTCACGGACATGACTCGGTGTGATTCGGGATCAGAGGCCAAGAGCGCGTGAGGGTGAGGGCGATATGTGTGTCTCTCCGGCTCGGCCCATTGGTCTTTGAAGGTCGCCTTTTGGCCAACAGGTGAGTCGAAGTAATACTCGCTTGGAGCGGTCGAGAGCCTCAGACTCTGAACAGTTACTCGCGATCAAATGGAGGCTCGCTATACGGCAACGAAATCTAAACGTCGAACCCCTGTACTCTGATATCATAGCACTCGGCTCGACATGCCAGAAACAGAGGCCCGCTGCCGTCTGTGGCCTATCACGCGGAATCCCGCTGTCCGCTGCCGCTCCACACCGGCCCGGTAATCTAGACGTCTCTGGGTAGCGCGTCGATAGAGAGACGAAGACCTCTGCCTCGATTTTGCAGCAGTAGATCAGGAGTGAGTGGTTTGCAGAGCTATCTCACGTCCAGATTCTAGTTGAGTTCCTGGAGCTGTTAAATTTATTCTCACAGCTTAGTATCCAAGAAATCGATGACACACGAAACGAGAAGAATGAGTATGAGGTAGCTCCAAGAATGATCAGAGCGGCTTAAATCCAGAGACTGGCATATCCTACTTCAATGATCAGGGAACATCTTCAACACAGTCAACCAATACCGCAGAAATCAACACGAGCAGGATAGATGGCAGTATGTCACAGCCTCGGGATGGGTGACAGACAAACCTCGTAATGAATAGTGACTCGCACGATTCTCCATTGTCGTACTACCAACCGTACCTCGAACTCCCAATGAAGCATGCTAAACAACTCGGTACGGCATCACAGCATCTTCCAATACAGTCTCCTCCCGTCACCGTGATTGCCCTTGAGTAACCCTGAATCAGTCACCGCAGCGACCCGTACCGCACGCAAACTTCTGGCCCAGCCATCGCATAAGAGAGAGGCCTCTTGACCGACTGTCTGAAGTTCTCGTTTGACTGTAGGCCTGCTACTGTCCATCACCCACTCTTCTACTCTCACGCACCCGCTCCGTAACCAATATGAGACTTTTCATATCCCTACAGGCTGCCCTGCCAGCAGTCCTCGCTCTCTGCCAGAATCACCCCTGCGACCAAGGCTGCATACCTGCAGACAAGATCTGCTGCTCGCCTGTCGACCCCTACACAACCCCTTTCGCCTGCCCTCTCGACTATACTTGCGGTCCCGGCCTCGAGTGTCGGCCGCCGTCGCCCGCTGCCGGACCTGTTGAGACCGGGATACCCCTCTGCGCTCCGCCCTTCGTCGCTTGCGGCGCCACCTGCACAGCTCCTGATGCCGTCTGCTGCGAGGATGGCGCATGGAGCTGTGCCGCCGGCCTCGAATGCGCGCCCGCGCCGCTTCAGTGTGTCGCGCCGCTTGCCCCGCCGTCGCCGCCATCATCGTCGAGAAGCCTTACCAGTCAAGAGGGACCTGTACAGCCTACCACCGTCGTAGATGTGACGATGCCAGGAGGATATGGAACCGCGGACGCGAGCCAGACCTCGGAGCCCGTCGCGGGCACTTCAAGTTTAGATGTGGCTTTCACTTCGATGTTCGACGCAGCGGAGACGACCTCGACAGATGGCCTAGCCTATCCCGTGCCGACTCTTGAGTCGTCAGCTTCACCGGCGTATAGTGTGTATCAATCGACAGTGACGACCCTGGATTCGTCCAGCGCTCATGGGTCCGCTGCGAGCTCCTTGGCCGAAGATACAACAGCTTTATCTTCAGTGTCTCCTTCGCAGTCCGGGTCGGCGGATGAGGGAGCTGGTGGTCGCGTCGAAGTGTCGGTTGGTGCGACGCTGATGGGTGTTTTGCTCGGTGCTGTCCTTCTCGGTTGAGACTCAAATTCTCTGCGTCTTTCCTCAAACCCCATCCTCGTAATAGCTTCTTCATAATACCCTAAAAGAATGTTGGCATTCGATATCAAAGTGCTGCAATATCACGTCAAAAGCAAGCGATTCACCAGAACGAACGAGGCCACTGCCCCGTCTCGATATTAAAAAGTTGTACTGCTCTCAGCAACCCAATAGACTGTAGCGGCAGCCTGAGAATGCAACCTGTCTATAGCCCTCTCCATCCAACGCGTCGTTTCCGTGACGGCGACCAACGCGCTCATATGCGCATGCCACATGCGTATGCGTGAAAGGGCCACGCCCAAAAAGACGTGACCGACAAGCCTCCCTCGCCCGAACGCCGATGCTCATGGAATGGAGCAAACTCGTGGCTCTCGCACCATGTACCGTCCTTCGCTGCCCCTCCTTTCCAGATGCGCGGATCTACCCAACGTTGGGAAGGCTGCTGAGCGTGACAGCTGTTCATATGCGGTGTAATCGATTGCTGGAAGGTGTTGTACAAGATCGACAGGCCGCTTAGGCTTCCTGGTTGACGGTTTGCTGCTACGAGTCAGTACAGCGCTCAAGCCACACACCGCTGAGGCCACTTACCACAAGCCAATCCATGCCTTCGTTGACACCGCTGCCGTCAACGGCAGAGCACGCCATGATGGTCCAGTTGCGGTCGCGCAGCTCGCCGAGGCGCAGCGCCTCGGAAATGTCCCCCGCTCCCTTGGCTCCTGGCTGGTCCTGCTTGTTGGCGAAGACGAGCAGCGCCGCGTCCTTGAGCTCATCCTCGTTAAGCATGGCGCCCAGTTCGTCGGCGGCGGTCTGCAGACGCTCGATATCGGTCGAGTCGACGACGAAGATGACGGCTGCCGTGTTGGCGTAGTAGCAGCGCCAGTATGGGCGGATGGATGTTTGACCGCCGAGATCCTGTACGAGAGACAAGTCAGCGCACGCCCTCATTGAGCCGCTCCAGCAAGTAACGTACCCAGACGTTGAAATTTAGGTTCTTGTATGTGACGGACTCGACGTTGAAGCCTATCGTCGGAATGGTGGTGACGACCTCGCCAACCTAGAACTGGTCAGCCAAGGAACCCTCGCCGGCATGCGATCTCACAACGAACCTTCAGTCTGTACAGCAGTGTCGTTTTGCCAGCGTTATCCTGTTTGACGGTCTCAGCTTCTTCGTTCCCCGACGGCCACAGAGCCCGCACTGCAGAGGGCAGCTCATCATACCAAGCCCAGGATCAATATTCTGATCTCCTTCTTCGAGAAGAGCATGCCTGACAGCCATGACATGCTGGCGCCCATCTTGGCTACTGTGTATGGGGTTGTGACGTGGGGTGAGGAGTTGGTAGACTGTTCGTAGTTGTCGCTGTCCTCTTCGTTGCAGATCGGGATCGACAATACAATGCGCCCTCCCAATGTTCGTTGCCGCAAAGGTGTTCTGTTCCCTTGAGTTTCGAGAGTCTCTGGACCTTGATCGATCAGCCGGCTGTTCGTCGTTTCGCGTACAAAGAGGAGGGCAGCAAATCGCACTAGTCGTTGATTAGGTCCGCTGGGCTGCGCGCGTGATAGGGGTGGAAAGGCAGTGTAGTCGTCGGTCAACAGTCTAATCCGGGGTTGTCCCCCTTTCCAGGATTTCTAACCACTGCAGCATGGAGCACCTTGGGCCTAGGCCAAACGTTGATCGCCTGACCCCGATAGTTGGTCCTCCTCAGGGTGGTCTGCTCCACTCATGAAACTAGAGGGGTAAGTGGCAAGTCGGGCCACTGGTGCTGATAACGATAAGGCAGGCGAAGCCAGGCGCCACAAAATCCTCCACGCACGACTGGACACGGAGGACCCAGGGCTCGCTTACGTACTCTGCCCCACGGCCCTGCACACGTTCTCAGGTCGTGATTCAATTTTGCTGCCACTTCCGAAATCTCCTCAACGAACTCGCCCCCGAATCATCTTTCTCGACATCGACACCAAATACCGTCACGATGCCGGTACGTTCGCCCCAAACACTGCGATACGGACCCTGCCCGACACTGGATTTGCATTTGCTGGAGGAGCCGGGAATCATCCACGACGTCGGGAGGGCGAACCTCTCCTTGATGGAGGCGCAAACCAACCCTATTACCAGGACATGTGTAAACTGACGATATTTCCTTCGCACAGAGCCACAAGTCGTTCCGCACCAAGGTCAAGCTGGCCAAGGCCCAGAAGCAGAACCGTCCCATTCCCCAATGGGTTCGTCTCAGGACCGGTAACACCATCCGGTACGCCATCACCAATTTCTCTCCTTCTTCCCCAGGATCGCTTGAGGGGGAAAGACGGGAGAAGAACATGCACCGCGAAACTTCGAGGACCACGTTCGCTAACTAGTCACTCAGCTACAACGCCAAGCGAAGGCACTGGCGCAAGACCAAGCTCGGCATCTAAACACCACGCCCCAACTCCCCTACGATCTTCCCACGGCTGTCCCACATCCACTCAACTCGCGGGCGGTATCCCCTCTCGCGCGCCCGCCTGTTCCACGCAACTGAACCTGTTCCTTCGTTCTGCTTCGCCCGGCTCCTTCGACAAATTTCAACGCACACACCATGCTCGGCGAGTGTCTACTATCCACGAACGGGGAAAGGGAAACAAACCGCAATGGGGCACAGCACAACCTCTACTTTGGGATTTTTTTCGGGAAGGAAAGCGATGGTTTTTTGTTATCGATGACCGGCGACCAAGGTTCCTTGCTCTCAAAAACTTGGAATTGTCCCCCTTCCTGGCTGGAAGGGGGGAAAGGGGTTGTACCCGGATGGGGCCTGGCTAGGCTCTTAGTATTGCGTCTCACGACCGTAGGGAAAGGAATGCAAAAATCATGATGCCACTGCATGTATGTTCTGTGCGATGTAAAGCCGTGATTTCATGCCAGTGTGGTCAATGTGCGTGCGCAAGCCATCTGCCATCACACATGGATGCCTCATACACGATGCGCAAAAATATGATGGCTTCTGTATACCGCGTCGCAAGTTGTGCCACAGAACAAAGAAATGGATGCACTGTACGTGAGTTTCTCGTTGACAGAGTTGTCTACTTTCATATGAATATGGGCTCAGAATACGACCTCTTGGGAGACTAGTCCAGCCAGCGCCGACCGCATGACGTTCGGCGTGACTACATGTCCGAGCCGAGTGTTCGCAGTGTCGCTGCTACCAACCTGCTTATGAGTCTCACAAGGAGCACGAAATCCACTGCATCACATGAATCCATAACCTGTCATTGATTGTGATTGATAAACCATCAGCATCTCGCCGTGGTGCTGAAGGTTGGCATGCGTCCATCTGGACAACCAGACCCTAGTTCAGGAAAGCCGAGCCACCGACCATCAATAATCAACCCTGCTTCGTGAAAACTCAAAAAGGTGTTAAAAAGCAAACGAGCCCAACGCCACCATGATGCATCAAAGACATGTACTGCATAATAACCCTGCCCTGTCAGCCCATAGGGTGAGAAGGTATTCGTCCATCACATGCAGCCCTGCGCCGACGCTTTAGCGGTCCTCGGCCCACTCGTTCTCACGGCGGATCTGCTCCTCCTCCTCGGGCGTGAAGTCGTTGGTAATGTTGAACGTCTTGCGGATCTCCTCGGGCGACTTGCCCTTGATCATGTTCGCGACAGTCTTGCAGCCGACATCGAGAAGGGGCTTGATGTCAAGGTAGTTGGAGGCCTGGTGCGGGGGGGTGATTGTTAGCCCGAGCAGAGGCAAGGCAGGCGGGGGGAAGGGATCAATAACGTACGAGAATGATCTCGAAGAGCATCTCCTGGTCAACCTGCATGAACTTCTGGTCCCACTCCTCAATCTCCGTGGTCTTCTTGCGCGCGTCGTTATCGTCGTCCTGGGTCTGGGGAGGATCGTTGCGGTGGTGCTCGCACCACTCAATGACCTTGCGAAGAACAGCCTCGTTGACCTGGAACGGCGGTCAGCGGCGGCAAAACGGCAACAGGGGGGAGCAGACTGACGTTGGGGATGGGAATGGGAGTATCAGCGGTGATACCCTCGTCACCGATATCCTCGATCAAGTTGCGAATGAGCATGGAACGCTCGGCGACGGGGCGGTCGATCGCAATGGTGGCGTTGTCGTTGGATTGAACCCAAACGCGGGGAACGCTGGAGTCGGCCATTTTGATGTCTGATGGGTTTGCAAGAGGTGAAATTGGAATGGCTTCAAGTCGGGGATAGATGATGCGTCAGTTGAATGTCGTTGGCTGTTGTGGTTTTGCGGGCGGTAGCCGAATGACTGGTTGGTTGGTTGAGGGAGGATTGATGGGCGGGCGGGCTGAAGGCGGATGGACTGGTTGGTGGGGTCGGTTGCTGAAGTAGCAGTGCTGACGGACTATGGGGGCGAAGGCGCTTATGTACCTAGGTGGCAATAAGGCAGGTCGAAGGAGTGGAAGGAGAAAGCAAGAAACGCGGCTTTGTTTGCTTTTTAACCCGAGTTCGGACTCTAGGAACACTACCGACACAACGTGATTCACACAAGAAGTCGGTCACTGCCCTTGTCGTCCAGCTTTTGTATTTTAGGCAAGTGCTCCTAGGACCCCACGATCCTTCCTCCCGCCCTCCAGGCAGACAAGTGGTGGCGGGTGGGGTTCGACTACTTGCGCTGTACCATGTAAGGGTGGGTGTCTGCCTGTTGACCCTAACGGACTCCAGGATCTGCTTTACAGCACCAGGTTCCAGCTCCCAACTAAAGTATCAAGGATGAGGCGCCTACTCATCTTACTAACACCTTCTGCCTTACGTAGAGCTCCCGGCCAAACCTAGTCTGTCAAGGGCTGCGTCCACAGGCGCCATGGCCCCAATCTGCTCCAGTCTTCCCCGTTGGCCTCTTCCAGGCTTTGGCCTCATCGAATGAGTGGTTCACGGGTTCCTGCAGCGTTCCAGAGCTCGAGAGAAGGCGTTCCTGTCTCTCATCTTTCGTTGGCAGATGGTGCACAGCCATCAGTGTCACATCCTTTACCGATGCTGCGCGATAGGGGGCAACAAACACGTCTAATCCCCAGTCATCGTTGCTCGCCTATCTGATTGAGGCGGATGTCTGCCCTGGCTAGAATCGTGGCCAAGGAAAATCAGGTAGACGAAGCGTTTGCGGACAAAGAGAGCGCAGCCCAGCCAGACCAGATAATTGGAGGGGGCAGACCCTTAATTGATTCAAAGCCACGAGAAAGGGCAGCTCGGCTCCAGATTTCAGACGGGAACTCGAGAACAAAGGCTACGGGTTCATTTCAGTGGTCCCCCCTCGATCGTTGAACGTTGATCGGGGGTGGGTAGACGCAAGCACTCAAAGACTACATTCCATGTCTCGAGAGAGCGTGCGAGGAATGCGAAGGACCTGGGGTTGGGATCCAACTAGAAGTTTCACTCAACACTTGACAGCCGTTGCATTCCACCGTTCATGGCTGCGGGACGCAATCGTCATCGTCACGTAGGTACAGAGTGTGTGAAGGATAACGATGGGAGAGTGGAAGCATGTAGAAGCAGTGAAAGCCGCATAAAGTGACTGGAGATGAGATAATCACACCCATCGCCACCAATATGGCGATCGGAACGTCAGAACACCGTAGTGGTGGATGGGTGGGCGGGACCTTCGGAATCATTTGCTGAAAGATCCGCCCCGGAGGTCCGTCGACTGATATTGGCCCCCCTTCAATTGAACAGCGTGGCCGTTTCGATGGCACGACGTGGTAGATATGATGGAGATGGCTCACTCATGATCACGAGCAGCTCATCGTCTGCTTCGTTCCACCACCACGCCAAAAACACCTGATCACAAAGTTGCAGGTCACGGACTCGACTTTTCGACATTCGGCCACCAGGAGCTTTCCAGCCTTACCCGGAACCGGCGTAGTGTCCCCTACCTACCTGTCGCTCACACCATCAGCCAAGAGTATCGACGCCCAACCCAGGCTCGGTCTCGCTACCGGTACTGGTACTGGCACTACTAGGTACCAGGTAAGGTACTGACTGGTCTGTGGCATCACTGGCATGGCACTTGCCCTGGCCGCGTTCAGAAGTCTTGGCCAGGCTGTCCTGTCACCTTAGGTCCCTCAGGCGCGTCGGGTCGCGCTGGCCCGCCCGTTGAGACCCCTGCTGGGCCCCCCAAGGCCAAGCCTAAAGAGAGAGCACTAAGCATTTTGCTACCACCCCGGAACCAGGGGCAAGCAATCCCGGCGAGCGAGCACCACGACTGCATCCGCAACATAAGCTCCAGGAGACACAAGACTCGACCCATGTGCCTGGGGCCAGGTCTCAGAGCTGGAGATTACCAACCCAGAAAATTCAACAGCAACCCATCCCACGCGCTGTCGCATCTTGCTGCCTCCTCCTGATGCCCACGTTGTTCCTGCATCTGTCATCGCTACCCATCCACCTTGCAGTCTCGCTCTATTCTTCGAGACCAACCCGCTCACCGTCCGGTCCCTTGTCTTCCCTCGTCTGCACCCCTGGCCGCTGGACCATGCAGCTTTGCGATACCCAGACGACTCGAAGCCTGTCGCAAACCTTGGATACTCGCTACTAATCGGCTCGGAGCCGCAACATCCACCGCAACACCCGACGTGCGCGCGCAACTCACATCCAACCTCTTGTCACCATGTGGCGCCGAACATACCTCTTCCTGGTCTTGGTCCGCCTCTGGTTCGCCTTGTCGCCGAGTTACCTCCACCCTGATGAGAACTTCCAGGGCCCTGAGGTTATTGCAGGTATGCGCTCGTCTTGAGAACCCCCCCTCCCCCGCCGCCGCCTTTTACCTGAAATGATTTTTCCCCGGTACTGATGCGCTCTTTTGCAGGCCAGATTTTCAGCTACCCTGTTCGACACACCTGGGAGTTTACGAGCGAGAACCCGATTCGAAGTGTCGCCCCTCTATGGCCTGTCTATGGCCTACCGATGCTCCTTTTGCGATGGCTGTGGATAGGAAATGGCCAGGATGGAGAAATACCACCCATCGCAGTCTTCTGGACTTTGCGCGTGCTCATGTTCCTGACGAGCTTCGTGCTCGAGGACTGGGCCATCCATGAGCTGATTCATTCGCCCCGCCATCGTCGTATCGCCGTCCTGCTTGTCGCCTCGTCCTACGTCACCTGGACCTTCCAGACACATACCTTTTCCAACGCCGTCGAGACGCTTGTTGTGGCTTGGTGCATGGTCCTCATCCAGCGCATCGTCGAGAGTCCGCAACAGGCGTCGCTGCTGGCCTCGACGGTCCTTGGTGTCATGGCTGTGTTTGGTATCTTCAACAGAATTACCTTTCCTGCTTTCTTGCTGATACCCGGCATCCGTCTGGTACCCCACTTTTACAACCGACCTTCCTCGTTCCTCGTCATGGCTTTCGCCGGCCTGGCTACCGCGAGCTTGGCCATCGGCATCGACACGGCCTTTTACCTCACCGAACCCATTACCTGGACGGATCTCGTCTCCCGACCCGTCATCACGCCGATCAACAACCTCCTTTATAACATGGCACCGGAGAACCTCGCCCAGCATGGCCTCCATCCGTGGTACCAACATCTTCTCGCTAATATCCCGCAGCTGCTAGGCCCGGCCGCCGTGCTGCTCTTCACGCAACCCCATCTTTCGTTGCGTCTTTACTCGGCCGTCTCTGGCATCTTTGTCCTCTCCATCTTCCAGCATCAGGAGGCCCGCTTCCTCCTACCGACCGTCCCCCTCATCCTCTCATCTGTCCAGCTGCCCAAGAACCGCCGCGCGCTCCAACTGTGGGCCGCCGTCTGGGTGGTGTTCAACGTCTTCTTCGGTGTCCTTATGGGCATCTACCACCAGGGCGGCATCGTTCCCGGCCAAGTCTTCATGAGCAAGCAGCCCGACGCCACAAACGCCATATGGTGGAAGACGTACTCCCCGCCAATATGGCTGCTGAACGGCAAGAACGAGGTCCTCACGACGCACGACGTTATGGGCCTTGACGGTGAGAGTCTCCTCAAGCAGCTCGCCGGGCTGGCAACGTGTGACACGCCCGCGGACCGCAGGAATCGGGAGTACCTCAAGGAGAAGGAAGGAACCTACCTCGTCGCGCCTGCGTCAGCGACGTGGCTCGACTCATATCTGCCGAACAAGGGTCTTGAGGGCCTGCGGTTCCGCGAGGTGTGGCGATACGATAGGCACCTGAATCTCGACGATTTGGACTGGGGTGAGGATGGTGTCTGGAACACACTCAAGAGGGTCATTGGCAGGAGAGGTCTCGTCGCGTGGCGCGTCACCAAAAGCTGTGGCGGTGGCGGCACGGGCGAGAGGTAGCGAGTTGGAAGAGAGAGAAAAAAAGAGGGGAGGCTGAAGTGAAAATAAGTAACAAATATGATACCTAATGATAATGCTCTTCATCAAAAGTACACTACCTATCTTGCCGTGGACTGAACAGGAAACGGTCCGACCTTTTTCGTTCACAGTATCGTTTGCCCGTTTCTATCGATGGCGGCTCCCCCCCCCCCCTTGTCGGACCGACATGCGGGCTGGGGGCTTTGCCTGATGCGGAAGCGAAGCTGCGCGGGCGGTTGTGGCGTGGCGCACCGTCCACGTCCCTGGGCCATCCCATCCCAAGCAGAGCAAAAGCAGAAAGATCCGAAGCCCAAAAACAAAACAGGGTCGTCACAATGACTGATGGGATGGAACGCGAGGCACCACGAGGTCGAGTCGAAGCTTCGGAACCTGGGCGGAGCTTCCTCGTTTGGCTTTGCTCCCAGGCGAGAGGGACGCCATGGCCAGGAAGGCTTTTCCGCTCGCGCGTCGTCGTCACATCTCATGTCGCCTGTAGCCTCGGGAAGCCTCCGAGGCGATGACGGGTTTGTCACGGATCGCCCCAGCCATGCAGCTTTGGCAAAAGGGTGCGAGCGTCGTCGGCAGTTGTGGAGAGGGGGGGGGGCCTGTTTGGAACCCTCCGACGCGAGATCGGGCTATCAGAAAATTGGGCGGTCGCCGTCGTCAGCTCTTCTTGTCAGCAAAAGTCAAAATGACTTCATCTGGAAAGTCGTGTGACGGTCGGAGACTTCCGATTCAGGCGCTCCGCCTGGCGCTCACTCACTCCAGCATCGCGAAACAGGATTGATAGTATATCATTTCAATTTCGTTCAAGTCGTGTTGTTGTCCTGCGGAGTTCTTCTTGAAGATACTCCGCTCCTTCAGGACTGATCCGCAGCCTTAAGGTCCATTCTAACGTTACACGGGAGGAGAAATCTTGTCCTCCCTTTGCCTGTAATGATGAATCCAGTCTCCCGTCCGGCGCGCTTCATGGTGTTGGCCAGAGCGGGAAGCCGTAGCCCCTATCGCCCGTAATGTGCCGAGCTGTCCATGCTTCCATGCCCGCCCGCCCGCCTGTCTAGTTTCCAGTTACGGAAGACAGAGCTTCCCCGTTCAAAATAATGAGCAAATGTCCTGTTAGGGGGTCCATCCCTTGGGAGGACCTGAAAAGTCCAAACGCCGGATATGCCCTCGCTTGAATAAAGTCAGCCTTTGCGCCGTGTCCTTGGTGCTGAGTTGTTGATGGTGCCGTGTGAGAGTTCCCGCGGGAGCTGTTTGGCATGGTATCCATCCAGTGTATGGAGGCTCTCGTGTATCGGCCCATCCATCGGTAAAAAAAAAGGTTTGTTTGCGCTGTCATAGGAAAAACACAATGTCGTCGATATCGATCAAGTCTTGGTAGTGTGGTGGTGCTGTCGTACTCGTAAATGGATCATGTCAAGACCAGGAGATTTCTCGTTTCTGGTTCTGCTGAACAGACTAAATGGCCGGGAGGCCGGGGAGCAAGGCAAATGACGAGAACCTCTTCCCCTAGCCCGTGCCGAGCTGATCAATATTTCCGAGAAAGACGAGCGAGGCATTATGGGTTGTCATGATGGGGCCGGTTCAGTGCGAAGCCAGCACCCACGCCAACACCCACGGCCAGCAGGATGATCAATATCCCACCAGCAATCCATGCCCAGAAGAGCTTCCGCCTGATGCCGCAAATCGAGCCGTCGGCGCTCTCTAGCCTCGTCGCTGAGTCGTAGGGCATCCTTTTCTTTTCTGCCGTGGGCGCGGGTCCCTCGGATGTCGATGAGGCGTACATGATACAGTGCAAGAGAAAAGGCCGCACAAAGGTGATGATAGCCCGGAGCTTCTCACCACCTGATCGAGAGCGGGCTGGAAGAAGCCTATAAGAAGACCCTCGGCAGCCTTTTCTTCTTTCTAGAAGTTTGCCTTGAAGAGTCAAATCGAAGAGGCGCAGGCCATTCGCTTTGGCTGGAGACCTCAGTTTCCTTTCACCACTGGGGTAACTGGCTACCCGTTGGACTCGCTCGGGGGTGGTTGCACGCTACGTTTCGTCTGCGTGGAATGCGGGACGGGGCCACGGCGCGTGCGAGGTTGTCTCTGTCCAGCTCGTGGTGTCGTCTGTGCCTGGAGAAAGAAGCGTGTGGTGACGAAGTTGGGAAGTGACGAGGGGATGCCAAGAAGGTGCGATGGCCTCTCAGAGAAGTCCTTCGTCTGGGACGGGACGCAAATGTAAGACTCTAGGTGGGCTGGAGGAGAGATCAAAGCGAAGCAGAGCAAAGACGGCAGCTAGTTGGTGGGTGGAGGGTCCGTATTATGAGTGCGAGTGGTCCTTGTCGCGTGCTCTGGGATCAACATTCCTCTGCGGTTGGAGGGATCGTTTGTATGCCTGTGAAGAGAAACGAGGGGAGAAAGGAGGGGGGAGTGGATGTAGAAGAAGAGTAGCGGCGGCAGCAGCAGCAGCAGGAGGAGGAGGAAGGATAGACAGGGCACGTTTGGAGGGGCCAGGAGTAAGAAGGAGGAAAGAGCAGGAGCGTCAACCAGAAACAGAAAACAGAAAACAGAAACACGGCAGTGGCTGCTAGTTCCAGCGCAGAGCGAACGAAGACGAACAGACTAGGCGTCACATCATCCACATGGGCATGGTCATGAAGTATCGAGTTCCACTTGATGGAGCTTGAAGGTAGGAGAATCTCGGACAAATCGATCCCAGCCGGGCCTTTCGTGGCGGGCGGAACGGTGACCAGGGGGGGGGGGGATACATGGTACACTTGACGGTCACTCGCTGGTCATGGGGAGGGGTGGATGTGGATCTGCCGAACGAGACGGAGCCGACTCAAGATGGCTTTGGCCTGAGGTACGGTAGCAACTTAACATGGTCCTGGCGGGGGAAAAAAGAAAGAGAAGAGGCGCCTGGGAACGAGCGCCTCCCATGGTCCATCGCCCGTCGCTTGTGGTTCGGAGATACCCCAACGAGTTACGTTTCTTGGGGCCCAAGGCGGCTCTTCGTCATGCACCAGACCAGGTTCAGGGAACCTTCCATCGAGCCGATCCAAGTTACCCGTCAGTGGTTGGGGCGTCTGTGAATGGGTCGTGGGGGGGTGGTAGGGGATGCGAAGATCAGCAGCAGCGCCTGCGAGGTTCCAAGGCTACAAGCCTACCGAACAAGCAGATAGGGGTGGGGTGGCCGCTAACCAAGGATTTAGGCAGAGAGAGAGGCCGGCCGACTGGGGAGGCGTGGCAGTGTTTGGAGCCATGGGAAACCGGCGGATAATTGGCGGACTTCGATTCCACGATCAGAAATTGGCGGACAGACAATTCGACAGATGGGTATACAGACACAGCACATGCTTGTGCAAAAGTGGAGGAAAGGAAGGGGAAACGAGGGCAGGGCGAAGGGGTAAAAAAAAAATGGACGGGAGAGGCGCCGTAGATGGGCCGAATGCCACCGGCCAGTGCCAAAGCAGATGGAGACCCTTTCCCCTCTCAGCTCCTCACCCGCCCATTGAGGCAACTTCTGGCCATGGGGTTTACCCTTTGAAGTTGATGCACGTCCGTCCCCTCGCCATCGGTGCATGGTTGGTTAGTACGTGGAGGGACTACGGGCCTCGCTCATGTGTTGACACTGTCGCCGACACTGAGACCAACACTGACACGCAATTCTCGCGAAAGGAAAAGGGGAGGGGAGGGTCGCCCGATGTCTCGGGGTCTCTTCTCGAAGCGTCCAAGCCTAGCGCCTCCCCTCCTAGAGGAGCTCTGTAGGGAGGAGATCCTTCTGATGATGAGCATTCCCCCCGCGTCTCCATGTCTGTGATGCTCATTCAACCAGACGTCAAAGCACCCCGGCAGTCACCAACAAAGTCAAACATCATGAGACGGCATTGCTGGCGCCGATGATCAGTCAGGCTGCGCAGGCTGACGATGGCAAACGTAGTTCAACGCCAGTCGCACCGGCCAACACGGCCGTTACCGAATCGGAACCGATGGAAGCATTGTCATTGGGGGGTTGTTGCGCCTCGTAGATTCGCGGATCTCGGTCCTGGGAAGGGGGGAGTGTGCGCCCGCGCCCGCGCATGTGTGTGCTTCTTCCGGGGCTGCATGAGCCTTTCTTGAGAAGCAAAGTCAACATGGGGAAACGCAAGGCAATCAAGGTTGCTTCTCGGCCCGTCTCTCCATTGCTACCTACAGGCCCCTGGCTGGGGTTTTGGCTAGGCGCGCAGTCGTCATGAGAGGCTCCAGGCTCGCGAACACTTCCAAGTTCGTCTATCCCTACTTGATGCCCGCGCCTCATAAACGGCCGACAGGTGTAAGCGGCCATTTGCAGTTAGCCAATCGTCCGCGTAAATGGTGCCGGGCGGCAGTTGAGCCAGACAGGCCAAGCGATCTACACAAGAGGTCCTGGGTTGTTGTCGGATCCTACTCTGGATAAGAAGCAGATGTTCTGCTGTTGGTCCGTAGATTTAGACAAGGGGGGGTACAAAGTCTACCCGGCAGTCTGGTCGAGGTCGAACTTCACCACCAACGGACCTAGACAGACTCAGCTTGAGTCGTCGTGGGCCACCCGCGGACCGATGCGCTTAAGAAGAAAGTCACCGAGCTGAATGTAGGTTCTTTTTTACGAAAACGCCTGTCGATGCGAGGCACGCACCAAATCGTATCCTCCATCGAGATGGCAGCATTGGTCAGAATGTCTGACTACGACGTTGCAGCGTCGGTCGTGTTGCGAGGCACGTTGTGTCAGTGCCGTTGCAGATCCAATGTCGGCTCTTTGATCATGTTGTATGAACATCTTTGATTCAGACGCCTGACCGATTGGGCCATGATCAGCCAGTATCTGATTCGGCAAAACGTCCCCGTCGCCCCTGGTGTCCAAGGCGAACCGGTGCCGACGTGTTTGTTGGCCCATGTCGATTGAGCAGAGAGATTGCACATTTCCATTCATAGGACAGCACATGCAGCATAATTTCATAGTCGGACGAGACATCACGCGGCAGGCATCGAACGAGAGTTGTGGGAATGATTTGGTATTGATGAGCACCCTTCCCACATGCAGAGCTTCCGACCCTCAGTGCATCCCGTCTCCGGACCGTCCTTCTCGGCCTTCCCAAGTTTCAACCTAGTACTAACTCCGGGACCGTCCAGTCGAGAATGCGCTTAGTACAGGCGCTTGGGAGGAGACATGGAAGCCTTGATGGTAAGGCTTCCAACGTTCTGCCAGCCCTTCTTCAGCAGGGAGACAAGGTAGTTGATGGCCAGCATGATGTTGGCGACGAGCTGCTCCTCGGTCATGCCGACGTTGCCGACGGCGACACCCATGCACAGAACCTTCTTCAGCTGGAACTTGATGGTGGACTTGACCTCGGTGATCTTGTCGGACAGGTTGTCGGCGTGCGAGACGGGGGTGGGGAACTTGCCGGCTGTGGTAATGGTCAGTCTGGAGGGATCAAGGCAAAAGCGGTGGGGAGCCCATGAGAGGAAACATACCCTTGGACAGACCGGGGCCGAGAAGACGGGGGATCTGCTTGATCAGAGAGTCGGAAGCGACGAAGGCATCGTACTTGCGCGCGAGCTTCTTGATGAGCTTCTTGTTCTTGTTCAGCTTCTTCAGATCGTCGGCAGACATGGCGTCAATGCCACCGTGCTTGGCACGATCGATGTCGTGCTGGTCACCGAGAATGCACAGAGTCATGCCAGGGCGGGGGACCACGGGCAGGCGGACGGTGCCGGAGAAACGCTTGTCACGCTGAGGGTCATAGTTCTTGAGACCGATCTGGAGCTCGACGGACTCGAGGAAGTTGCGCTTCTTGGTCTCGGTCGAGTACTCGAGGAGCTCGCCGATCTGCGTACGGACGTTGGCAACCGTGATCTCTGCGTCGGGTTGTCAGTCGTGTTCATTGATGCTAACACATTGCGAGAGCACTCACTCGACATCTTGGCGATATCTCCCAGTAACTGGTAGCACGGATGTGTCGTTGGGTTGAGGAGGAGAGGAAGATCAAGAGGGGCCAAAAAATTCCAGTGGGTTTTGACACGGCACCGCAATTTTCGACCCTCTGCCTTGCCTGTGGTGCGTGTGGCTGAGTCATCCAGCCGAAACGGTCCGTGCATTGCTGCCCCTCCTCTGCCCCTCCATGACCAGCGCCAGCGCCTGGTGGAACAGCAGGAGAATTCGCGACCCAGGCCGAGATGGGAAGGCCTATGGATTTTTGGAACACCCTTCGAGCACTCGATTGCTGGCCTGAAGAACTAGGAAATATCTCAGTACAGAAAAGACCGGATCTCGCAATAGATCTGTTCCTCATGTCTGCCTGGCTGAGCTGAATTCCTCCCCATCTGCGAACTTGCACGCCAAATTAACGTGTAAGCGGCAAGATTTTCGCCCGTCATGGACGCCACGCTGGAGCGCCCAATTCATGAGAATTTCATCAACACGCAAGACCTAGTAAAATGGGTGGAGGGACAACCCAATGATTCTCGCATACCGTAAGAAATCTTACTTCACTCAATGAACCCTTACACTAATCTCATCACAGCACCGCTCAGAGCATATTTGATGACCTCTTGGCCAAGTCCTCCCAGCTGAAAGCGACATCCGGCAACTCGTGCGTCAAGCTCTGTGGTTTTGTGGCTCAGTGCACAAAGTCTAAGCTTCCTGAGATTCAGGGATGGGCCTACACAGAAGAGATGAGCTTGAAGCTCTTCAATTTCTTTATCGAGTGGAACGAGGTGGAGGCGCATAGACACCTGAGGCTTGTGTTGGACCTCCTCCCAAGTCTCATCAACCAGAACCCCGATTCAACGATAGGGTCTGCAGTCAAGTTGAACATCTTGGATACCCTGGTTTCCATCGTCGGACCCAATTCCTCGAGACCTCTGGTCAAGTCGTCCATGAAGGCCCTGGATCAGTTTACCTCCAAGAGGCTCTTCTCTGTCGAGGAAATTGGACAGAGCTACCGCAGAGTACACGCACATACTGTCTGGCCATCAGATCTGGATCTATGGCGGGTAATATTTGCACAGCTATTCCATCGCATGATCACTATGCGCGCCAACGCGGGCAAGCTGGTCGTGACGCTCTACCAAGCCCTGCAAAAGTCAAAGGGCGAGATCGGCCAACAGTTCACCGTCCAAGTATGGCTCGAATGGCTTCAGGAAGCTCTAACGAGGGCACCCATGTTGCTGGATAGCGTCAAAAACTATGTCTTCCTCCCTGTATTTAAGCAGGACCGCGCCGGGTCTCTGCGGTTCCTGGAGATTATGAAAGAGCTGGACCCGGTATCGGTGACGAGTGAAGACGATGAGGACGAGGTCAATGTCCAGGCTTTGCTGAGGTTCAATGCCTTGGAAATTGGAAAGAAGGTCGGAATCGTGGATGAACCTGGTACTGCTTCCTTCACTCTATCTTCCAGGCCTCATGCTGACATCAACAGGCGGTGTCCCCTCGGAAACCAAGTCTGCAGTCGTCCTCGAAGAAGCTATGCTTCACAGCGTGTTGTCCCACCCGTCGTCTGAAGTCCGATCGCTGGCGTTATCGCTCATCATATCTTCAAACTCAACAACTAGGCCGTTCTTTGAGCCCTCACTCCGTCTCTTGCAGACGCACCTCCCTCACCACTTCTCCGATCCCAGCGCTAGATTCCGCATGGAGCTTCTGAGCAAGGTCAAGGCCATGTACCGGCGCGCACGAGGCGCCATCCCTCTCCTTCAAAAGGCGCTTCATCGGGTCGACACAGCGCCATCAAAAACAACGCCAAAGGCAAACAAAATCAAGGTTGGCACGTCTGCCGAGGAGGCAATGGCGTGGCCAAAGGAAAGGATCGAGAACGTCTTGGCTCAGCACAAGGATTTTGTTGCGTGGTTCTTGCGATTCCTCAAGTCAGAGCTCATTCCGACAGCTTCGTATCAACGCCACTTCTCTATTCTCCGCGCCACGCTCTTCATCATCCGCATAGAGCTGGATGACTCGAAAGTCTGGGAATCCAATGAGGAGGAGGTTCCATTCTTCAGCACCTTTGACACCACATGGACACGTATACTTTTTGACCTGGTCATGGACGCCTTTGAAGATGTGAGGGCTATCAGTAACGAGATTCTGATGGTCTTCTTTACCGAACCTCGTTTCAAGGACGCCATCAGCCCCCTGGGTCATATAAGGACCGTCACCGAATTCATCGGACGAGCCGAAGATATCACACGTCGCACCGCGAGGGCTGACCACTCTGACGGCCTTGCTCGCTCGTATGAGCTCCTAAGTCGAATCCACGGCCAACAGCAGGAGCGACTCCTCGTGGTAGCTTCGCTCGTGGATCTATTGGAGGGCAAGCTCTCTCTGGCAGAGATTGATCTTGGCAAAGCCGTTCTTGAAGCTCCTATTTACGGCTATTTTGCCTCTCTCCGGTACGACTCCATTCAACCTTGCCATTGCAAATAGCTAACGACAACAGCTTCGTTTGGCAGAGCCTTTGTGAAGCCACCTACACCGAGCCTGAGATGAAGGCTCTGGATCACCTACAGTTTCGTCTGGTAAAAGCCTGCCAGCGCATCTGGGCGACTGTGGCATACGTCCTCTGCGATGACTCGCCGGAGGGTCATCTACCGCAGGAGCTGGAGGACATCGAGGGCCTCGATACCAAAGATCTCTTGAGCTACAGTTTCCGTGCCATCCACGAGTCCAGGTTTGTCCCTAATAAGCCTTCCAAGAACCTGACTGGCTGACATGACACAGCAATCTCATGCGGGCGATGATCGTGTCACTGAAAAGCAAAGCGAGAGAGGGCGATTTGCGTCCATCTGTCTCCACATTTTCTGCCTTTGGACAGTTGACCTTCGATCAATTGACGAACTTGCGACACAGAGGTGCCTTCTCAACGGTGTCTCTGACTTTTGCCACGTGCTGCCAGCTTGTGCAATATTCCGGAGGAAAGCCTGACTGGGTGCCTGAAGGCGAGACGCTGCTGGACGTCTGGTATAGGGTCAGTTTGCTGATCTGATATGCTAGGTCAATTGCTGACAAGGATATAGGGAAGCCAGGAGTGTATCCTCACCCATGCGTCGACAACTCGCCGGTCGGCTGGTATCCCTTCCATGATCACTGGCATCCTGTCCGCCGATGCCGAATCCCCGTCTTTCGATCGCGTGATCGCAGACTTGACAGAAGTTGCGCAGCGCGAGGCGCGCGTCACCAAGACTGACGGCTCCAACCTACCCCAGGTCCATGCTCTTAACTGCTTGAAGGACATTTTCAAAAGCGCTCACCTTGCACAAATGGGCAAGGTGGAACGGCACATCCCCCAGTGTCTCGAGCTCGCAGCTGGCTGCCTCAAAGCCGAAGTGTAAGTACCCAGGCCCAAGCAAAGTGACCAACACTAAAGCGAGCGAGCAGATGGGCGATACGGAACAGCGGTCTCCTCCTCCTCAGGAGTCTGATTGACAACCTCTTTGGCACGAACGAAAGCAAGACCCTTATCGAAGCCGGCTGGGACGGAAAGGCCTCGCGAGTTCATTATCACAAGTACCCCATCATCCCAGTCGTGCTACTCAACCTTCTGCGTTCCGGACAGGAAGTCATGAAGCCTAGCACCGGCACCATTGCCGCCGAGTCTGTGTTCCCTGCGCTAGACATTATCCGCCGAGCTGGACCTCCCGAGGACTTGCGCGCAGAGCTGTATGGCCTTGTCACTGAATACCTGGGCAGTCCAGTGTGGCACGTTCGGGAGATGACAGCTCGTGCTCTGTGCTCTTTTCTGCTGCATGACGGCTGGCTGCAATCCATCCAGGAGCTTGTGGATGGGTCTGAAAGGCAACGGGTGTTGACGCAGGCCAACAGGTTGCACGGTGTGCTACTCACCATCAAATACGTCTTCGAGAAGCTGGCAAATGTTTTGCCAGAGCTGGCGCAGAGTAAGTCCATATCCAGGTTCTCTCTTTCTCATTCAGGTGGTCTGACACGCATCAGGGGACACTTCTCCGTTGTTGGACTTGGTCCTCGACCTCTACAAAGAGGCTCCCGAGATCTTCCTCCGATGCCCCGAGGCACACGCAACATATGCTGAGATCCTGAATGTCATCTCTGCCTTTGCATCTGGGACCGCCAACACGCCAGCCGAGATTGCAGCAGAAGACGCTTTTGCAAGCTATGCTCACAGTGCCTTGTTAAGCGGCCAGATTGCGGTCCAGGAAGTCTACCAAGCAGCGTCGAGCCGTGACGTGGCTCTCCTTTCGCGCAAGGCCATCAACACAGCATCGAGCAAGCCAGAGGCCGCGGTCGACATGTTGGAGGCCATCCCGGTCGTGTTTCAGGCCATCATGAGTCCCGAATTGGGCGGCGAGCTGTGCAACGTGTATCTGGGCGTGGGCGCCCAGGCAGAGGCTCCGGAGCCGCGCATCGTAGCCCTGGAAAACCTCGCCGATACGATTGATGACCTTCTGGAGCAAACGCGTCTGGACTTGATTCCGTCAGATGCTAGCCTGGCGGCCCTCTGGAACGAGACTCTCGCCAAGTCGTTGAACCCCGGCCTCTCCAACGCCGTCATCCGTCTCAGTGGTTCCATCATGGCGACGTCCGCACTCCGCCAGGCCGCAAACTCCCAAGGCCATGCTCTCGAGACTCTCCAGAACTGGACAGCCATGATTTCTGCTGCAGGCCATGAAGACCAGGTATGTGTATCCGATGTTTTTCAAGCCGTGCACCACAGCTAATGATGCAGCCGTTCGATACGCGCTTCGCAGCGACCCAATCCCTCAAGTCGTATCTTTCTGCGTGCCCCTCTTCGGAGCCCGCCTGCATGCCCGTGCTCCTCGCCCTCTACGACGCCCTCAATGACGACGACGAGGAAGTCCGCGCCCTCGCCGCTCTCGCCTCGCGTCCTGTTCTAGCCAGCCAGACCCTGCTCCCGCTTCGCGCAGCCGACTCCCTCCTGCAGCTACTGCACTCGTCCTACAGCCAGCTGCCTGCCTACCATGCCGCCGTCGCGCAGCGCTTGACGAGCACGTCCTCGGCGGCCCAGCAGCTCGCGACGGCGCTACACTTTGACGACGCGCTGTTCGCCGTCGAGGAGCAGAACCAGTACATCGACGAGGTGCGCGAGGCGCAGCGGTGGGCGGGGGCCTACGAGAGTCTCCCTGCCGGCGTCGACGACGCTGCGCTGGGCGGATGGGCCGCTGACGGATTGAAGGCGCTGAAGGAGCACGTCGAGAAGGAACGGGATGGGCCGCTCGGGTGGACGGGCATGCCGGATGCCTACGCCGTCTGCATCCGGGTTCTGGTGGCCGCGAGGGCCGTCGTCGCCAGGCAGGGCGGGGAGGCTGAGAAGCTCAAGGCGCTGATGGCGGAGCTCAAGGGGGTGGCACCGGACAAGGCGGTGCACGGCATGATTCTGGAGTTGCTGGGGTAGACGATCGCGGTACATGGATGCTTGCTAGACAAACGGTAGACATCCAGTCTGGGCTGGTTGGGCAGTGCAGTGTTCTCTTCGGCGCACTTGTCGCAATTTGCATGTTGAATGTCAGGTCAGTGTGCTCGACCAAAATGAAGAGCAGGCCTCGCTCGTCACGCGACGTGAGGCAGACCAGGCAAAAAGCCAAAAAGGATTGTGATGACGAGATTGGGATTCGAACCCAAGATATCTCACGATACAACTGTGCAATCAGGGATTGGCTTAAAAGTTGCGCCTTCAACCACTCGGCCACCTCGTCTCGTAACCGAAACGGGTCGGCGTGGGGGCTCATGAACCCACAGACCAGGTGGAGCCGGAACAGGCAACGGCGCTTGCGGGTTCGAGGCACGCCTTCGTGCTCCGGCATGGCGTGCCCGCCGGGATCGATACCTGCGAAGCCTGTCGCGACAGATGGTGAGCACGATTGGGTGATGCAACAACGAGAGAGAGAAAAACAAGAGAGAAGGCGTGTAGGGATATATACTCCGAAGGAATCCGTGAACCGCTCGCCCACTTCCCTCGTCTTTGGTGTGTACTCCTAGTCTCAGCGCCTTTTCATTTTCCTCGGTATTGATGCACAACACTCTCTACACCTTTATAGAGCGGTTGATTTTTTTTTTGGTGCTACTGCTCATTATCGAATGGCAGGATCCTGGGACGCGGTCAGCGTCGAAAAGCAGAGTGAAGCTTCGCTGGGCATGTAATCGGCGTAGCATTCGATGAATTGATATACCGTGAAATACCAAGACATCTGCTCCGCTCAGGAAGTCTTCTTGACCAGCTGGTCGTCCCATCCGTCAGGCTCGACCCGGGCGACCCGGAAGCTTCTTGGTACCGATGGCCCGAGGAACGAACGCATTGAAAGCGCGTGTGCTCCGGCGCGGAGGAGCATGATCAACAGCAGTCTAGTCTGCTCTTCATGCTCCGATTCTACGAGGCCTTTCGGCAACGGCAGGCCACGCCCCTGATCTGCCCTCGTAGTCGCGAGACTGGCCTATACTTGGAAGATCACGAGATTCACTGCCCGGCGGGGTGTACCATGCATATCCGCTCTGACAGAAGGGTACCTTCCCGTCCAGTCAGGCTGGTGATGAATAGTGTAGCCAAGTGTTCCATTGTGGCCGTCAAGCTACGATATCAAAAGACGACTATCATGACGAGAAATCTCAAGTCATCGCTGCAGTCCCCCAAACGCCATGCCTTTCCAACGCCGCGTTGTTCATCCCAACGTCACCATGACGTACTGGCCCGCGTCCCCCTCTCATAACCAAGCAGCGACCGACAACGAGGCTACGACGAGGCGGCGGCCTGCGGTACCTTCTCGGGCGCCCGGACACCCGCCGACTTTGTGCTCCAGCCCGAGTCCTGGCGGCGGAGCCCCGTGATGCCCTTGCCGAGCTTGCCCATGTCGGCGACGAGGCGCGTGTTCTGGGCCTGCAGCTCGCCGACCTGGGCCTTGAGCAGCTCGACCTCGTGGAGCGCGAGGTCGCGCTGCTGGCGGACCTTGTCGAGCTCCATGGCGGCGTTGGCCTTGAGCTCGCGCTCCTCGGCCTTGCGGCGGCGGGCCTCGGCCTTGCGCTCGTCGTGTGCGCGCTTCTCCTCGAGCCGTCGCAGCTCGCGCTGGTACTTTTCCTCGTGCTTGGCCACCTCGCGCTCGTGCTTCTCGCGGAGCCGCGCGGCGGCGGCCTCGTCGCGCTGCGTCGACTGCGTGCCGTCGGCGCGCTTGGCCGTCATGCGGCTCTGCAGCTTGTTGAGCTTGTCCTGCATCTTGCGGCGCCGCTCCTGGAGCTTGCGGAGCTCCTTGTCGTGGTGCGTCGCCGAGTGCGACAGCGGCGCATGCAGGCTGCGCGACTCGGACGACTGCGTCGACACGGCGTCGTCGCGCAGCGCGTCGGCTGACAAGGCGTTCTGGGCGCTCTCCGTGCGCTCCATGGCCGATGTGAAGGAGCGCACCGAGGACGTGTCGCTGATGGTGCTGAGCGAGTCCGAGTCGTCCTCGTCGCGGGCGTGTCTGTACGACAGCGTCTCGTCGCTGCTGTTGGGCTGGCTCTGAAAGAAGCCGGGCAGGCCGACGGGAAGGCGACCGGCCATGGCTTCTGTCGCGTACCCGAACGCGCCCGAGATCATGCCGTAGAGACCATTGCTGCTGGCCATGCCATTGCTGTGGCCCCCCGTGCCGCTCGTGTCTCGCGGCGCCGCGCTGTCGGGGACGAGATTGGCGGTGGGCGCCGTTGACGCCGGCGGTTTTGACGTCGCTTTGCTCTCGTCGGCGTCCACAGCCTCCGTCTTGGCACCGTCGTCGGCAGCGGCGGCGGCCTCCTCCTCCTCGTCGTCGGCAGGCGCAGGATCGTCGGCAAAGTCGCGGGCCGCCTTGGCCGTCAGCCAGTTGAGGAACTTGCTGGCATCACTCACTATGCCGCCAGGGGTGCCCCTCTCGATCATGAAGCGGGGGACGTTGCCGCCGGGGTCGCTGCGCGTGACCATGAGCCACTCGACGGTCGTCGGCGCGTCGTCGTCGTCGTCGCCGCCGCCGTCGCCCTCGTCGTCCATGGCGTCGACGTGGTGTCCGGCGTCGACGTGGTGTCCGGCGTCGTCTCGCGCCGGCGCGCTGCCCACGGAGAGGCCGCGGTTCCGACTCTCGTCGCTGCCGGCGGCGGCGACCTTGCTGGCGGCACGCAGGACGGCGTCCCTGCTCATGTCCTCGGCGACAGCCTGCCTCTGCTGCGCGCCCTCGGCGCCGACGTCGATGGAGGAGCGCGCCCTCTTGATGGCGCCGGGCTTGTCGCTGGGCACCTCGCGGATGATCTCGACCGACTCGTACTGGCCGCGGATGTAGCCCTGGCGCGGCGGGCACTGGGGATGGTCGCACGGCTTCGACAGGATCATAAAGGTGCGCAGCGGGCGGGGGGCGCCGTTGGGCACGGGTTTCGTCTCGGCCGTGTCGGACGAGAGCAGGAGGGTGACAAAGTCGCGCGGCGTGGTCGGGCCGGGGAACTGGGCCGACAGCTGGAAGACTGGCCCGGGTCAGAGGATACAGCAGAGTTGGGGGGGCGGTTGTTCTGCACTCACCTTCGGCCTTGCCGGCCGCGCGGACAACATGATGCTCGACCTTCTTGTCGGCGCCGATGCCGCGGATGCTGCCGCCGCCGGGCCCCGTCTGGACCTTCATGCTCTCGGCAAACTCGCGCTCGAGGCCGAGCTTCCAGGTGGCAAAAGGCAGGCCGTCGTGGATGCTGCGGCGGGCGAACCAGCTGCCGCGGCCGTCCTTGGCGGCGAGCTTGTAGACGTTGATGGCGAGGGGGTTGTCCCTGGGGTTGACCTTGACGTCCTTCCACTCCTTCATGAGGTCCTGGGCGGTCCGGATGGAGGCGCCGGACTGGCGGGCGGCCATGGCGGCGTTGAGGGCGACGGAGGGCTGGGGCGGGTCGGTCTGGGCGCGGGCGCGGCGGGCGGCGGTGGCGGCCTGGACGGGGGCGGGGACGGGGATCGAGTCGATGATGGTCTGGGCCGAGGCGAAGGTGTCGGCGAGGAAGGCGGACAGGTCGTCGGCGGGCACGGTGGACCAGTCGACGGGGCCCAGCGCGGCAAAGGGCTCATGGTGGGACGGCATGATGGGGGGGTGTTCTGCCACGGACGCGATGCCGTGGTTGTGGTGTGTCGTGGTTTGGTGGTTCGGTGGTTCGGTGGTGAGGTGTCGTCAACGATGTTGGCTCGGGGTCTCGCAGGGTCGGGACACCTCGTGGCTGCCGTTGTCGTGCGTGGGCGCCGAAGTGTCCGAGCGCATGAATGTCAATGTGCTGTCGGCGTAGAGGGGGGAATGGGAGGGCGGCAGCCGAGTACGATGTAGTCGGGTGCTTCTCTGTCGTATCTTTCGTCGTATCGTTCGGGTTCGTCGTATGGCTCGTCTGCGGGTGTCGTGGAGCAGTAGAGGGGGGGTCGCCAAGGCAAAAGCAGGACAATGAGGACGGTGAGACGAGAGGACGACGAGACGATGAGACGATGAAAGGATGATGAGGAAGATGATGTCCGGTACAGGCGGAATGGCGGAGGGCTAGAAATATTGGTGATGGTGGTCGTGACAATCGGGAAGGACGGATGGATGGAGGAGGCCTGGGCGACGGGGAAGAGCAGGAAGGAGCCTTGCCCAAGGCAGGTCCTTCTCCACGGCTGCCGCTGTCACCGACGCTGCCTTCCCTACCTACTCCTCGTAAGTAAGGTAGGTGCCTACTCCTTGTAGGTAGGTACGGAGCAAGCCTGGTAGGCACGGAGCAAGCCTGGTAGGTACCTTGTACAAAGCCATGTACACGCCCGGAGACGGCGGAGCTTTCACTCCAGAACGCGAAACCCAGAGCCCGGACGCCCAGAGACGCCAGCGCAGGCCTGGTCACCTTTGACGTCACGAAGCCGGCGACCATGCTACCCACTGCCGCAGCGTGCCACTTGGGGCGGGGGCGCGAGACCCTGGACGGCGCGACGTCACCGCTGGCGGCGGGCTGCGGGGTCACTGGTTGGGTCAGCTACCTAGGCTTCAGGTACTTGCCTAGGTACCTACCTAGGGAAGGCAAGGTACCTACCCAGGTAAGGCAAGGTAGGTCGTAGGCACTAGGTCGTAGGCATCTAGGTCGCTAGCTACCTAGACATACGCTGTAGACATACGCTGTAGACGGCTGTAGACGGACGCTGTAAACAGGGCGAACACAGAGCGTAAACACAGCCTCCGGCACGAGGCCTGAAGCCCAGGTCTCACGAGCACGCGACACGCCCCTCCGTTCTCAACTCGTTCCCCCACACTGCAATCCCCCCTCCAGAATCATCCTCGACAGCAAATCGAACAGCCAACACGCGACGAATACCGGTTTTCATCCACAAGCACAAGAACAAGCCCCCCCCCCCCCACCGTCTGCCAAGCCAAGCCCATCTACCACCAGCGAGATCGCCGCGAATTGCAGTGAACCCACCCCCCTGGCTGCCTTGTCTCGGCCACCATCATCACGCCTCTCCCCCTTGGGACCGACAGCGGGCTCTGGTGCTCTACTCTGGGGGCCAAGGAACCGGGCTCGACCGACCTGCTGGAAGGTTCTGATCTGATACAGTGCGATCAAGCAATGTCATACAACTGGCCCGGAAGCCAAAGGCCGCCATGATCGCTGGAGCGCGCCCAGTACCAACATCCCCTTGTACCGGAGGTCATTCTCGCTCCGCCTCAAGGGACCATGTCGCTGGGCACAGGGGACGAGTGCTGGGCACAGGGGACGCGTCGGACATGGGAAAAGGAACAGCAGGAAAATCAGTAGGGAGGAGACTCTACACGCGTGCTGCTCATGCTCTGGGTATCGTCGTGCCACGGCCACCCACGCACCACCCAAGGTCCCCCTACGACATGCAACACCAGTCATCGAGGATCGCCAGCCACCCACCCCGCTACAGCCCCGTCACAGGATCACGTCCCTGCGCGAGCGCCCTCTGCTCGACCCGGCAGCTGCCGCAGTACGCATCGTGCCACGCGCGCAGCCTCGCCTGGCGCGCCTCGCCGTCCGCCGGCGGCAGCACCGTTTGCCCGCCCGCACGCTTCGTCTCGCCCGCGCGCTTCGTCTTGGCCGCCGCCTCCTCGCCGAGCACCGTCCGCAGCTGGTCGCACCGCGTCGTCTCGTCCGCCAGCCAGTTCTCCCACTCGGACTGCACCATCTCGCGCTCGATGCTGTTGACGACGCGCATCGCCACGAGCAGGTCGTGCCGGTACGACCCCAGCCGCTGCCGCGTGCGCCGGATGCGCCGCGCCGTCGCCCGGCTCGACGCCGACGTCAGCGTCGACCCGGCGCCCTCGAACGGCGCGTCGAGGTCCGTCGAGTTGGTCACGCGCTGGAACGCCGAGAAGCTGCCGTTCGTTAGCAGGAGCAAAAGGACTGGCGAGCATGAGACGTGAGACGTCGTTCCTCCTCCTCCTCCTCCTCCTCCTCCAAAAATAACAAGAAGGAGAAAAGAAAAATAAAAATAACAAGAAGGAGAAAAGAAAAAGGGCACAACATACCAAGCACTCTCCTCCGGCCCGCTGCCGTTCCGTGCAGCCCCCGACGCCTCGCCGAGGTCCGCCATGTAAATGGCCTTGCTCATGACGACGTTGGGCCCGACGCCCACATTCTTCATGAACCGCACCGCCCGCCGCTCCGACCACCAGCCCGAGTTCTCCTTGGACGCCCAGAAGACGTTGGTCAGCGCGCTGAGCCCCAGCAGCAGCAGCAGCAGCCGGTGCGCCGTGACGACGCCGAAGACGGTGCGCACGCCGGCGATCGCCCACATGATGACCGACGTCACGGCGCTCTCGCCAAACGACCGCACCGTCTCGAGCAGCATGGCCGTCAGCGTGCGCTGCTTGATGACCTGCCTGCGCCCGCCGCCGCCGCCCGCCGCGTCCGTCTCGGCCGGCGAGAAGACGACGACCTGCGTCTGCTGCCCAATGTTGCCGTACACCTGGATCGCCCGCTTCGTGCGGCTGTGCGACCCCAGCTTGCGCACCTGGTCCGTCGCCACCTCGGCGAGGTCCTCGGCGTCGCCGCCCGCGTCGTCGAGCGCCTGCCGCTCGACGAGCCGCTTCGAGAAGGCCGGCGTCTTGGACCAGTCGACGCGCGTGTAGAGCGCCAGCTTGCACTTGGACTTGGCCACGTGCGTGATGACCATCTTGACGACGAGCTTGAGGTGCTGCGAGTGCGGCAGGTGCCACGCCGTCTTGACGTGCGTGACGACGTACGTGACGTGGTCCTGGAACACGTCAATGACCTGATGGTCGACCACGTCGGCCGACCTCGACCGCCCCAGCATGTCGGCGTAGTCGACCTTGAACGTGAACGCGCGCCGCAGCCGCCCCTGGTCGCCCAGCGTCCACGGGCCCTGCGCGATCCGCTGCGCCCGCCGCTCGAAGTAGAGCTTGGGGAACACGAAGCTCTTGTCGCCAAAGAGCACGTGGAAGCACGCCTTGGCGCTGATCTCAAAGTGCCGCTCCGCCACCTTGTGCTGCATGTCGTCCGGCTCGAACACGACCGGGTGCATCGGGATCTGGAACTTGGGCGCCGGCCGCAGCTGCGCGTGGCTGAGGTGGAGCCGTGGCACCGGCGGCCCGTGGCTGCCGCGCCGCGCCGGCCGCCCCGCCGTCGTGCCGTCGTCGTACGGCGTGCTGGACGAGATCTCCTCCCAGCTGTCGACGCTGGGACGCCGCTGCGTCGTGTCGTGCTCGAGTCCGATGAGCGCCGTGACGAGCTCGTGGAGCGCCATGGGCTCTTCGGCCTGGAGGTCGTCCACGAGGAGGTTCAGACGTGCGTGGAGCAAGACGAGGTTCTCCAAGAAAATCTTGATCGTGATGCGTGAATAGCCAGTGTCGTTTGACGCCTCTCCGAGATGGAGGTAAATGTAGTCGCACTCCTTTCCGGGCGCCGCCGTCACTTCCGTGATCATGTCGAGGCTCATGGTGTATGCGATGACGAGACCGAGCTGCTCGCCGTAGAAGTACAGGTTGTCTGGCGTGACGAAGATGCGTCCGTGGCCCGCGACGCCCTCGCCCTGCGGCGCCGTGTCTTCCTTGCCCGTCGAGCTGGTCCAGGCGGCGCTGAAGACGAGCACGAGCTTTTCGTCGAGCGGCACGGCGGGGAAGAGGAGTCGGAACTGGGGGTGCTGTGCGCGCAGATCCTGCGGGTAGCCCGGGGGGAACGTCTCGACCTGCTGTCTAGGCCGGGCCGTCTTCTGCACGTCCCGCGTCGTGTCGACGCTGACGGTCTTCCGATGTGCGCCGACGGGAGGCGCCGGCTTTTCCTCGCCAGCCTTGCCGACTTCGGTGACAACGAGGCCGAACGGGTTCTCGTCCATCTGCCCCGGCGTCCTGGGGCTGCCGTGGCCGGCGCCGTAGACCGTGCCCCACGGATTGCTGCCCCAGTAGTTCGCCATGACGGCGGCCGGCAGATGGCTGGCGGCATCCAGCGCCAGGCCCTTGTCGCCCGTGACGGCAACGGCCGTGCGACTGAGAGCCGTCAGCACCGGCGCCTTGGCCAGCGTGGCGGGCGCCAGGTGGCCCTGACGGACCTCCCGCGGGGCGAACGTGGGGCTCTGTGCAGGTTTTCCGGAGACGGGGGCCATGATGGACGCGGGATGCCCCGGCAGCAAGCCGTGGCTGGCAGAAATGAGGCTCGCGATACCGCCGCCGCCGCCACCGCCGCCGCCGCCGCCGGCCTGCGCGCCAGCGCCGTGCCCACGCGCGTCGAGCTCGCCGCCAAAGGTGCCCTTGCGGTGGAGATCAAGCTTCTGGATGAGCCTTGCCGCGTGTTCCCGGCTCGACTCGCCCTCCTCACGGATCATCATCTCGCGCCCCAGATCGCGCCCCAGCGCCGTGATGGAGCGGCGCGACCCGCCAGCGGCGTTGACGTCAAAGCTGGCGCGGCTCGTCAGGTTTCCGTCGGGCCCGGGCACGGGTAGGGTGCCTGCCCTGTCGAGGGCAGCCGCGGGCGGTTCGTCGCCGGCGAGCTGGGCATCGAGGGACTTGGCCGAAAATTCGGGAACGGGAGGCGGCGTGATGTGAAAGGCCGGGTCGAGGCCCGAGGGGAGCGGCGTGCTGTCGCGGCCCATGCTGGCGTCAAAGGCCTTCCTCTTGGCCACGTCGAACACCTCGAGCCACTCGGTGAGCTCGCCCTGCGTCTCGGCCTGCAGGACCATGGTCTGGCTCTTCGTCTTGATCTCGAAGCAGAAGCGGCGGTCCTCGGCCACGGCCGGCTTGGCGCTGCACAGGAGGACGCCGATCTCGTCGCCCTGGAGAACACCTTGGGGGCCCTGGATGAGCCAGCCGAAGATGCCGTCGCGGCAGTAGTACCAGCGGCGCACCCAGTTGGTGCGCGCGGGTTTGCCGTAGACGCTGCGCAGGAAGAGCCAGCCCTGCTTCTCGGAGATGACGGCGGCCTGGTCCTGGGCCGGCACGCTGACGGGCCCGCGGCTGCCGAGGTAGGGCACGGTCGAGGCGCTGTAGTCGTCGAGCTCGCGCGACGGCTTGGTGGCCTCCTTGGCGCCGTGGCTGATCTCCCTGCGGACGCGCATGAGCTCGCGGCGGAAGACGGACTCGGTGGCGTCCATCTCCTTGGACCAGCCGCGGATGCGGTCCATCTCGGTGCCCCACTTCATCATGTCAATGACGGACTCGTGGGCGCGCTTCAGCTCCTTCCACATGTCGGCGCTCACGCGCACGAGCAGCTTGTCGAGGGAGAAGCGCAGGTGGGGCGCCATCTGGCAAAAGTCCATCGAGGCGGCGAGGTAGATCTTGCGGGCCTCGTACACGGCAAAGGCGTCCTCGCGCAACGACGAGGGCTCCTTGGTCTTGGGCTGGGCGACGTAGCGGGCGAGCATCTGGTCGAACTGGCGCTGGGCGCTGTCGAGGGCGCGGCGCGTCTCCTTGAAGGACCGCAGCTCGCCTGTCAGGAAGGCGCGGATGGGGTCGACGTTGATGCCGTCCATCCTGCGCATGGTCGAGATGACCTGGGACCACCAGGCGCGGATGCCATCGCTCGATCGTCGCAGGGCGAGCAGCGTGTAGTCGTTGTCGATGACGCCATCGACGGCAGCGGCGGGCGGGAAGCTCTTGGCGAGGCAGAGGTTGATGTTGTCCTCGAGGGCGAGGATCTCGCGTGCCACCTTGGACGTCGCTTTTGTGTAGTCGTCGAGCCATCGTTCAATGGCCTCCACCTGGTCGGAGAAGTAGGCGGCCGTCGCGCGAAAGGTGGGGGAGTCGAGTCCAGCTTCGTTGAGGCCGACGGGGATGGCTGGACTGGGCTGCTGCTGCTTGGAGCTCGTTGTCGCCGGCGGTGGTGGTTTCGACGGCATCGCAGCAGCTGCTGGTGCCGGTGGTGGTGCTGGTGGTGGCTCGGACATGATGACGGCAGCACCACGGTGTGTGTGCCAGGAAGCCTCGGGGAGGCGCTGTGAGGTCGGGCTTTGATGGTATCGATGCGTGTCTCTACATCAATGGCCTGGGGATGGGGAAGGTCGGAAGCTCGAGGGGAAGGAAGCTCGTGAAGGAGCATGTTTGTCGGATGACGTCGCCAGGCTGGCGCTTAAGGGGGAAGCCTCGAGAGACCTGGGAACGAGTGGCAGACAGCTGGCAGCCTTCCGGTTCAATCACGTGTGGGTTTTTCCCGATGCGAGCGCGATGCGAGCACGATGCACTGTCACAACATGGAGTACGAAACCGAGCAAGCGTCGCAGTCGCATCGAGAGCGAAAATGGTTTACTCTGTGGCAGTGGATGCCATATTCTGTCTATACGATTATACGGGCAGGTCCTCGCTTTCGGGTGTCGCGAGAAGCTCGCAGTCTCGACGTCAAGATCAGCCAACACGTGAACCTGCATTTCGTTGCAATACCCAGCTAGGTCCCTGTTGGCTTGAGTGATCAGAGGTCGTGTGCCCGAGAGACATAAGCTCGAACAAGGTAGGTGGTATAACATCAGACAGGGACTATCGCAACGGCATGGAACTCAAGTGTCCGTATCATGTGACATGGCTCAAGGCAGAAACGTCCTTGGCCCTCGATTCGTATATGCAGACGAAAGACAACCATGCCGACCACCCCAAAAGCCATCAACAGCTAGACACGTGTACCGACGGCATAAAACGACACCCTCACTCAGCTAGCCAGGGATCACGACCATCCGGACGCACCGTGGAACCGTGGAACCGTGGAGGCGGCCATCCAGACTACCGGGACGATCAGTCTCCGCAAAAAGTTGGCAGCGATGCAGATGGTGACAGCACGGTGAAGAGATTTGGGAGGCATCCGACAGTGCCTTGCGTACCTTATTGAGAAACGCTCTGGCAATTGGCAACCGAATGCCACGCAAGCCACCTCAAGGTCCCCAAGGTGCATGGCGACAGGGGTCCGCATTGGCGTTTCCCTGCTGCGCCTCACGCCAATCTTTGCCACGGGTGTGGCGCCCCAGCCTGGCTCGTTCTTTTTTTGGCACCTGTAGACTCTCGGTCGTCTCCGACCCCAAGCAAGCATCAGCAAGCATCAGCATTCTGCGATCGCCCATCATCCATCCTCCTAATGCGCACTTTGCATTTTCGACTTCGCCATCTACCATGTACCACCATGTACAGCGTCAGTCGCCTTGCGTCAAGCATATGCTCCTGCATTTGCCTGCCACCTGGCACTGCACGGCTTCGTCCCTTTTGGTGGGCCGATGACCCGGTACGATCGACTGAGACCTGCCAACGAATACCCTGTGGCGAGGGGTTGTCCCATGCTCCTCCCTAGCTACCTAGGTTCCTGTACATCTGGTACCCCCATTTGCCTGCAATACGAATCGCTTCCTTTCGCCCTATCGATTACGCCCAGTCTTCACGAAAGGACGAGAGAAACACCAAAAAAAAAAAGTCCCGACAGCAACGCCAGCGGATGCCCTGCTGCTTGGCGCCGCCTAGAGGATCTACAACCGCGCAACGGTCGGCTCGGTCCTGTCGAGTGGATCACGGAAGCCCAAAACGAGAGCCTCCTCCGAGCCTCTCCCTACCGGTTGGCACACCGTCGGTGACACCCAAGAAGATTCCGTCATGTCACCCTGAGCGACTTTCGGACCTTCCATGTTCTGTTTCCATCCGCCTTCTCGAGAGCGGTCAAGATGCTCATGTGATCCGACCCCCTGGCTTTCCTGCCGTCTCGTGATGCCCACGATCAAGTCACAAGGCGGTCGGCACGACTTTGTCCGGGACTGTCAGTACCAGCCACAGAGCGCAAGGGGCCCCGTGGTCTCCCAGCCTTTCAACAATGTAGCCAGGTTGGAACCATGCTGCGTTGCCGCCGCTACGCAGTCGTAAAACGGCCAAGCAGAATGACACGTTCCATCGACGATCCGTCGCCCTGCTCTGGCAGAGCTTGGGACATGCTGACAGGTCAGGTGGTGCGCAACAAACACCCAGGCTGCTAAGCTGGCATGGAGCTGAAGCGCAACGAACTAACCCTGACGTGAGCGACCAACAGCATGGGACGCGTACCAACAGGCCGGTTCTCGGGCTTACAGCCTCAAGCCAGGAAGGACTATTGACCACAAAACAATCAACGACATGTGCACCGTGCTACTGGATGAGGATGCTGCCTCCGTCTGGCAATCTGTCACCTTCTTTCATTGAGACCCCTCTGTACCCCCCGAGCTGGGCCGTCCCTCACGCAGAGATACAGGACCTCTCAATGGTCATTGGACAGCTGCTTGATTGGGCCATATCGAAAAAGAGGACGATCGGTCGGCCGGACTTCCTAGGATGATTTGACATGGCTAGCTTCCGCTCGGTCCTTGACGGGACGAAGCCGCTTCACGATCTGGTAGTCGAGCCTCGAGGCTTGTCGACCTCTCGTGGGCATACTCTGCAGTCATACCCCATAGTATCCTCCGAAGGACCCCCTCTCTGCATGCTCGATGCTCCCACTTCTGGCGCCCTGATGCCTGGCACACAAGGGAACACCGTCTCACTCGGCATCATGGACTCGCAAAAAGGCACCCCCATTGGACAATAAGGCATCGAATTTCCTGATTATAAGCCAATCACGAAATGGTAACAGACTCCTTCGCTCGGCCTGGACTCGAGCCTCCACAAGACTTTCAACTTGGCTGCACCACAAGCAGAGGCCAATCAGCGGCCAGAGCCAGGTTCTCGCTCACTCACCCCTCCACTGGTCTTCCGCCACTAGCAGGGGTTCAGTAGCCAACAACCTGGCAATATGGTATCGACAGGTTCTCATCAACTGAAGCCATCCTGTCTAGCCAGCCATCGTCCAACCTCTTTCACGCACAATGGCACCCCCTTCCCCCCCCCCCTTGACTCGACGTCCATGCCAAAAAGAAGGAGCTCTACGGTTCGGGAAAGGTGTCTTATCGCGCTACACAAGTCACGGATGGGGAGGAGCTCATGGGCCCAAGCGTGCCCGTCCTTAGCCTCTTTCGATGTCGTTGTGGGTTTTGCCTGCTGTTCCGCCGAGCGGCACTTAGCAACTCTGGTCTCTCCTCCTTTCTGGATATGGCGCAGGATGTTACCCCGTCCAAGCTTCTACGCGGATCCAAAAGCGAGGCCGGACCGAGTCAGGGGCTCGGGCGTCTCTGCTGGACGATGACTCCTTTTACACGGGGTTCCAATGCCGTGTGTCGAAGCCGCCGAGGCCTGTTGAAGCAGCTGTGCTGCCGTCCAGAGAGACGCAGGCTGCATATGACGATATCCAGTCACGATGTGTCCTTGAGGCGTCTTCTACCATGGCTACGACGCGCTATCTTGTTTCAAAAGATCATCTCCACAGCCAAAGACAGGACGCCTCACCATGCCATTGACGTCCGGCCGAGCCCACCCGTGATGCATCATGTAGGCACGGCACGGTACGCTGGAGCACACGCAAAGGCAAGGCACGGGCGAAGGCAAGCAAGAGCCCATCTGCAGGTCATAACTCACTTGCGCCAACGTGCAGGGTCGATAACGCGCCACGTCCAACGATCTGATCCAGGAATGGCAGTCTGAGATGAGAGCGAGATGACGGTCGTTAGGTCCGTGGACTATCAAACTTTCAGCTTGTGACGTGACGGCTCTGACTGGCAGACGGCAGAGCAGCAGTAATCTGGAGGCATGACGCGGGCTCGGGGCCATTCAACTTGGCAGGAGGACCACGTCCGATGCAGCAATGATGGACTTGTCTGAGGAGACCTGGACAAGGACCGACTCGGACGACGGCATAGACGCAGCCATTCTCGAGGTGATCTGGCCTGGCCGTGAGGGAGGGGACGCCTCCCCCCCCCCCCTCCATAGGCTCCAATCACGGCACGCGGGAACGTGTTTCCCCTTTTCTATCTGCGACTGGAAAGGCGTGGACCATGGACAAAACGTCTGGAAATCGGGAGGAAGGACTAGGGAAGGGGAGAAGGGGGGGTGCAAGTCTGGGGATGATGCAGATGGAGAGACATCAGAAATCAGAAAAAGCGGAATGGTTTCTTTTCGAAGCCAGGTGGGCTGACTGACAGGTACCGATTCGTCGCGGCACGGGGTTCACCTTCATGCCGTTGCATGCACCTACTACGACGGGTGTAAGACGAAGCGCCGTCGTCGTCGACAGGAGTACTGTGGCGACGTCAACGAGTGTCGTCAGCGAAACCCTGCGCCTGCCCCTACCGGATGGTCCATTTGTCTCGGGCCAACAAAGCGACGTTGCGAACAGCGGCCGGGAATTCGGGTCCACGATGAGGTATCGATGCCCTTGGCTGCGCCAGGAGGCAACACCAGTGATACTGATAGTCGACGACATGGCAAGGCGAGCAGTCGAGCGCGAGGATGGTCGTTGGGCGACGCAAGGGGTGGAGTCGACAGCCAGGGTTGGATGAGTGACTTGGGGCGAGTAACGGTACCTCCGATTGCCTTTTTGCCCTGTTGCATTCGTTCAGCTGCCCTCTCCTTGTCCCCCGCCGCGCAACGGAGCCTCCTGGCTGGCTGATGGAAGAGCCGGGGGCAGAGCGCAGGGCCGCTGGGGCGGCTCTCATGCAGGTCGCGGTGCAAAAGCCTGCACAGCCTTCGAGACGTGCGTCGGCTGCTGTACCCAGGCATTGCCAGGCGAGCCAGGTGCTTTGCTGCCTGTCACCTGTCGCCTTGACCGATTGGGGCGCTCCTCGGGGCTCTCTTCTCCTCCAGGCTCCTCCTGCGCAGCCCACTGTGCAGGGTGAAGCGTAGAGGGGAGAGGCCGAGTTCGCCGCCCGCCTCGTCATGGCTTTTGGGCTGCCGGCTCTTGGTACGGGGCACAGGCACGGTGCCCAAGGAGCCTTTTGCGCCTCGGGAATACGGCGCTCATGCGATCCCTGGCGCGATCTGCCCTTCTCTCTAGGCCGTTTCCCTACTCTGGCAACCTTTCGCAAGCGCCCCTCTTCGTCGCCCAAGCTTGATCCCGGCGCAACGATGGCAAGGGGTGGCGCACAATTGTTTCCGTCCGTGGGTCCCGTTTCCTCTTGTGTGAGTGCTTTACCAGTTCGACCCCAGGACCCCTCTTCAAAGCCAAAATGCTAGCTAGTCCTTGGTGCTGATTGATCGTGGCATACAGAGGCAGTCCGACAAGGAACCATCCGAATTCCTTCACTGGCAACTAACTCGTCTAGTGTGCAGCCGCTTCTCGGGACCAGATCCTGGCGGCCTCAGTGGGAAACGTGGACACGCATCCAAAATAGAAGAGTGACTTTGACGACCACCGGACCGGCCCCAGAATGGCCACTCTCACATGCAGCTAGACATAAGGTACTCGTACGTACGGGGCCCTTCCATGGTCAGCGGAGAGGGGGGGTAGGAAAGGAAAAAGACGACAAGACCAAGATGTGTCCGCAGTGGCACTAGCAACATGCAGGCCACCTCCACCCGCCCGCGTCAAGCCGTCCATCCGCCCTCTCTCGCGCGCTCTCTCTACAGCACTGTACCGTAGGTACATCGTACCAAGCCCCCTTCTCGAGAGACTCTCTCTTTCTCTCTCTCAGCTGCGGCAGGTCTCTATGCAAGTCTGCAGGTCTGAAAGTCTGCATCTGGAGGCTCTCACACACCCACCCACCCACACCCCCCCCCCTCCTACAAGGTAAAAAGAGGCAGAGAGAGAGAGAGAGACACACACACAGATACAGACCCCCCCCTTACCTTGTCTTGCCCTTCATACCCTCCATACCTGCGAAGTCGAACTGGCTATAACACCCCACCACCCTCGCACCACCTCAGCCCGAAATCTCACCCTCCCTCTTCCTCTTCACGAGCCCCTCGTCCACCGTTCTCTTCTTCTTATTTGCGGTAGCTGGTGTGCACGCTAACTCACTTCCCTGTCATCTCTGGGACCGCCCAGCTCCGTCATCTCTTTTTTATCCCCAGATTTCCTACTCCTCCCGGCTCTCAACCCCCCCGGCCTTCTCGCAACTCATCCCTACGACGCCGCCGCCTTTGTTTCCCCTCCCCCGCCGATTCTATCTCACCACCCACATCGTCTTCCGATATGCCTCCGCAACTGCTACCGGCCTCGGCCGCCGCCTTCGCACCCCGGGCCTCCTCCGTCAACGTCGTGTTGGGCGCCAAAGTCGAGCCCTGGCTGACACAGACCCTGAAGCGCATCAACAGGATAAAGCGTCCCCTTAACAGCGTCCCGCAACACCAGCGATGTCTGACCGAGACCCTGTCCAACACCAACGCCATCTGGACCCTGTCTTCCCTGATGCTGCCCAAGGCCCCCGAGTCGCAACTGCGCAAGGACGACAACCCTCTTGTGGAGGCCCTCTTCAACTATGAACTCGTCCACATCGAGGCTTACATCGTTCACGTCGACATGGTTTTGCGCAACGAGGTCGCTTACAAGCTGACGACGGACACGATTGACGCCCTTGTCGAGTACCACAAGGAGATTCACTGCGTCGACGCCAAGGCCAACGTCCACGACTGGTCCGAGAAGGAGCAGCAGTGCAAGAAGCTGCACGACGACTTTGTCCAGGCCATCAACAAGTTTGTCTTTCGCACGCACGTGTCAGCCCTCGAGGGCCTCGAAGAGGAGGGTGCCGGCGAGCTCCTCAACGGAAAGAGCGACGAGGTCAAGACTAGCATCATGGGTCTCATGAAGCCCATGCTGCCGCCGCCGCCCAAGGTCGTCGACGTCTTCAGGCAACCTCCACTCCTGCCCAGCTCGCCCGCCCACCTCAGCATGTGGTCGCAGCCCACCCAGCAGCCCGCCATGCCTGCCCCCGTCGACATGTGGCGGGTGCTGCCGTCGAGCCCGAGCGTCACGTCGACATCCCAGGAGTCTGCGTCGCCCATCTGGGCCAACATGGGAATGTCCGAGGTGCAACTGCCATCGCCGACCCCGGCCTACAGCCAGCCCTACTCGTCTGCCGGTCTCTTCTACAGCTCATCAGTCGTGACGGCGCCCATCCCTGCCCTGCCGCTGCCCAGCATGTTCGCGCCACAGTGCGGCGTCGGCATGGGCTACGGCGGCTTCGGCTGGGACAGGTACCAGGAGTATGCGACCATGACCTGACAACCACCATCGACTACTGCCGAGAGCTATCCTACGGTCACAACCTCCTCCTAATGCCTCCCCGTTCACCGGCTACCGGCAGCACGTGCAGACAGACAGACAGACAGACTCTCTCCCATCCCTTGTCCACCCTCGTCGCGGCATAGAATCATCACTCTCAACCCACACAAAGGCATATCGGCGTTATTTGTTGCATCAACCAAGGAGCGGACGGTGTTCGAGGACTCGCGACCAAACAAAACTCCCCCTCTCCCTCTTCCTCCCAATCACCGAACTGTACTGGTCCGGTTTTCTTTTTTTTTTTTTATTGTCGAGCAACCCAAGCGAGCGTTTTCTGATTTTCTCCGTCTCTTTCCAATACCCCAGGGGACGACGATATCATCCGACGACCGCGAGCTCGGTACAGGAGAGATCTTCTTCACTCACTCACATCACACATCATGGCTGGGCCCGGGGCGGGATCATATTGAGTGCATTTACATTTGGGTATACAGGCGGATCTAGGTTGCTTCGTTTTGTCTCTCTCTCTGTCTTTTTGTGTCTTTCCCTTTGGGTTTTCTCATCTAAACAAGAGGAACACGCAGCAATGCGGCCCCCCCCCCGCTCGGCTTCAGTCCGAGACAGCAGAAACCGACCTCGATTCCCCCCCTTCGGTTATGGTCCTTTCGGTTGGTCCGGCTATCTCTACTTTTCTATTTTCTTCGGCTTCCCTTTGTCCCTCCCCTCTTCCCTTTTTTGGCACGGAAAGGCTTTCTTGGAGATACCCCCCTTTTCAACACAACCACGGATTGTGCGTGTTGCGCCGTCGGATCTCAGGACGATTCGACCGCTGCTGCGTCGCGCTTTCCTTCGCTTCTTCTTCCTCGGCCATTGTCCCATTTATTCTAATATTCCCGTCTTACGGGTGGTGGGCGACGATCTCTTTTCACGAGCAAAGAAAACCGGAACGAGAGCCTTCTTGCGAACTACGGCACATGTGTACGAGAAAGAAAAACCACAAACGACGAACGCGTGCTCTCGCTCGGCTTGATGCCGGCGTCTGCGCCTTAACGCTTCTGGATTTCTTTTTTTCTTTCGTTACGATGACGACGCCATAATTCGGGGATCACGACTTTCGACACGTTTCTTTTTTCTTTTGGGCTCTCGGCGAGTTGGGGAACGGACGGCATGTTTTGCACCTCTGGACTGGACTCCGATAATGGCATTACATCCTCCTCCTCTCTCTCTCGTGCGGAAAAGGGCCCTCGAAGCCGCAAACACCACCTCGTGGCCTCCCCTCTTCCCAAGAAACGCAGCGCGTTTTTCCTTCTTGGCATGTGGGGGAGGCAGGCACTGGTTTGTCGACGGGAAAGACTCCTTGGCCGCTGCCGGCATCGTCTCCCGGGAGATGGAGCCGGCTGACATGGAAGGGCGATGGCGAAGGAACACTGAGCGGGGATTTTACTTCATCCATATCTTGGAAGAAGAAGAAAGCTGGGCATCAGAACTTGGAGACGTCCAACACTTACTCTGCAGGATCAGAGAAGCGCAGACATTGATGCGAGGCCTTTCGCTGCCATAGTCTCGTACCTCCGGGCGCCGGAGAACGACGGATCTGCGTGGCTGCGCCGCGTGGGCGTGCGGCCTTGACTCTCCTACACTGGCGCTGTGCTGATTACCCTGTTCTCCTGGTTGTGATACCGCCAGACGGATCACGTAGGGCGGAGCGGGGGTCACTGCATGCTGCTGCCATGTGCGGGAGGGCCCAGGTGCGGCGCGCCCGGGTAGGTGACTTCGCAGATCCTGAGTTTACGGGACGTACCGAAACGAGACGACATGTAGTTTCGCCACCCTACATGCCCCGTCGCTGGACACACATTCTTCACCCTCATGGGGGTGCCCAGTCCGCGACGGGGGAAGCCGTAAGGTTGGGTGGGTTGAGGTTCTCTCCAGCCTTCTCCGAACAAAACATGCGTCTACGCTGTGCGAAGACGCATCGTTCGGAGGGGGTTGGTGATATCTTTCCCCCGCCCTTCCTTCAGCACGAGGAGAGACGTCCTTTCTCTTTGTCCTGCGGCAGGAAATGGCGCTGGACATACATACGAAACAACTATCTGGCGAGGAACGCGGCGCGGAGCCAACGGCGGGGGCGACGGGTTCGGACACTCCTGGTGAGTGGACGGCTGCCGTGCCCCTCCGGCCGGTCAGCCGCGCGCGCGTGGGACGAGGCAAAGGCTGCGGCCGAGGCGTGGTGGACTGATATCTACTCTTGTCGATGCCTGTTTTTAACGCTTAATGAGAACATACGTGTTCTGACTTTGGTGTTCGTCTCGTCGTGATGATGGTTTGGTGCGCATGAAAGCTACTTTGCATGTCTGTTGCGACATTGGGCTGTGACCTACACATTTCTCCAATGTGACTTTTAATTTGAAGACAGGTGACGAGCCGCGGTCAGGTTGAACGTGCCTCGAACTTGATTTTAGCGTTAAGCGAAGCTTGAATGTGCCTCCGACTCCCTCCTCCAACAGGCCACTGGTTCCTCAACCTGACCATTCATCCCATCATGCTGGAAGGCAACTATGCTTCCCGCCCTCTTCTCACCAGTTTGCCCCCCCTCTCCCAAGAGATGTGCCAAACGACGCCTGAACAAACGTACTCGGAAGATTGCTCACCTCTGCCCCTCCCAAGTTTCGCTGCGTCCGACTTCCACAAGGGCCCTTCGGCGCTCCTCGACGAGGAAGCATGGCCCTCGCAACGCATCCACAGCCTCGGCGGACCAGTCCTCCCGTCGCCACCCAGCTCCATGTGCGGGCCTCGTATGCCAGCCTACCATCTCCAGCACGGACACGAGCGATGATGACGAGGAGACAGACCCATCTAGCTTTCCCAGACTGACCCCCTTCTACGACACAATCACGGCGATCCAAGGTCCGTAGGGCGACGAGAAATTTTGCCTGACGTCGAGATCTGCTGATCCGTCATGCTGCCCGGCCACGTCGTTGGCATGGGGGCGGCCTCCATCCGGCAGTTGCGCGGCAGGTCGGGTGCCGGGCGAGGTCGCATGCGAAACGGGTCGCGCGGGGGGCGGCCGGTATGCGGCCTGTCGAGGTGCGGCTCCTGGATGACGCGTCTGGAGGATTCGTCCCTGCATCAACAGGAGAAGCTGAAGATTCCGCGTCTCATATGAGAACTGTCTGAAAATCACGTCATCGTCACTGTATCAATGGGGGGCTTTCGCTATGTGCCTAGGATCGAAAGGAGGACAGGGAGTTGTGTCTGGTTTGCGCTGGTAGCAGAAAGAGCGGCGCAGATCCGCTTGGTCACGTTGTTTCGAAGATAAACTTGCAACTGACATGCCATGCATGTTGTAAGAAGCCTGACACCCTCCCTGTGCCTATGCATGCATCTTCGGCATAGACAGCGTGGTAACACCTCTGATGTGAGTAGATACAAGACGCAAGAGCTGTACATGGCCGGACGGACGGCACTGAGCAACGCCTTAGAACAAGACACCACGTTACGCCTCCTTCAACTCCTTGCTCACCCCCATGGCAATCCACTCGGCAATGGCCATGTTGGTGATCATGGGGTTCACCCCGCTGGCGCTGGGAAACACGCTCGCATCCGCAACGTAGAGCCCCTCTGTCCCAAACACCCTGCCCCTCGAGTCGACGACACCCTCATCCTCGTTGGCCGCCATGCGGCAAGTGCCCATCTGATGCGCAGAAGTGAAGAGGGCGTTAGGGGGCTTGTTTCCCACCACCCTCACGCGCTCCAGCCATGCTGTGAACGTAGGGTCGTTCACGCCCGCCTCTTCGCCCTCTTCGTTCTTAGCCTCGCCCCGTATGAAGGGCTCCAAACCCGGGAAGAACGCGTGAATCTCCTCTGCACCCTCGACATAGCAAATTTTGGCCAGGGCGATGACACCCTCAAGCGTATGCGCGCGGTCGAAATCAGACGGCGTGTAGGCGATGCGTGGCCTGCCGGTGCGGGAGTCAGGGTACACGTAGCCTGGGTCGCGCTCACGAGTGAGCGCGATGAAGCCGCCGAAATGGCGGTACTTGAGTGCGGCCAGCTTGGACGAGAGGCCGCTGTGCCAAGGCATGCTTGTGAGGACAGTGTAGGGCTGAAATTAATTAGCACAGCAAGATTCACGGGAATGAGAAGGCGACGTACGACGGCACAAGTTGGCTCGAGTTTCACGCCGTGGCCAGCGTTGTCGAGGTTCTCAAAGGCGGTGCAGTAGCTCGTGATGATGCCGCCTGACTGGTTAGCAAGGAGAGATGATCCGAAAGTTTGGATGTACTTACCCTCCCACGGTGTAACTTCCTCTTTCCAGTAGGCGCCAACCATGTTACACGGATGAACATAGAGATTTTGGCCAATGTGTCGGTTCTAGACAAGGTCAGCGTTGCGCCCACAGTCTAAAAAAAAGAAGACACTCACAGTAAGGCCACTCTTGAGCAGGACAAGGGGACTCCAGAGCGAACCACAGGCCACTATGACCTTCTTGGCCTTGATCACGACCTTTCGCGTGGTGCGCTCCGACGATGGACTGCTGACACCACCAGTGGCGTCCCTGGATACCCAGGTTCCCACGACGCCTGTCGCCTTCTTGGCCCCTTCCGTCGTGTCAAAGGTCACCTCGTTCACCTCCAGACCCTCGATACATTCGGCACCAGCCTCTGCAGCCGCAGGCAGCCAGCTGACAGCAGTTCCCTTCTTGTCAGCCGACCCACATCCGAGATGGCACCGGCCGCAGTAGTGTTCCGTGCCGCCCGTATTCTGCGGCGCCGCAGCTGCATGCCACCCCAACTTGCGAGCCCCGTCAAGCATCACTCGATTTCTGTGGTTGTGGCGCACATGGTCTGAACTCACGCCCATCACGTCCGACACCTTGTCGAGACAGCTCTGAAACTGGGCCGAGGTGAAGAACGGCAGCCCTTTCTTGGCCCACTCGCTGCGCACGAATCCCTGGGTCTGCAGCGAAACGCTCCAGTTGATGTTCCCGCCACCGCCCCAGCAGCTGCCGGCAACGAGGTTGAGGCAGCTATCGTCGCTGCCCAGAAACCCGCCACCCTCATAGAGGTACTGGCAGCCCATGTCCTGGGCGAGTGGCAGCTGGGCGGCGGGGAAGTGGTAGGATTTGTCGACGACGAGGACGCGATGGCCGGCCTCAGCGAGGTGCTTGGCAACAACGGCGCCACCGCAGCCCGAGCCGACGATGACAACATCCGTCTCGAGTGACACGGGCTCGTCGGAGGCGGGAAACTGCATGAAATTGAATTCGTAACTGTCAACGGGCTTATGGTCGCTGGGCATGTCGGTGTAACCGGTAAGCTCTTTGAAGAGGGGGCTCGTCTGCAGGGTAGCCTTCTGGGCTAGGCTGGTGAAAACCTTGGTGAGCACTCGCATGGAGCTGAGACGGGAGGTTTGCCAGCCCTGGAGGATGGCTTCGCGGATGTGGAGTGGCTGCTGGTTAACGGCGGTGAAGTAGCCAGTGAGGAACCAGCTTCCGGTGCGGCCGCTGTTCATGTTAGTCTGGCATTGGAGGTTTGATGGTGACGAGCCCACCTCAGAGTCGTCAATGCACCTCCCAAAGCGCGCTGGGAGGCGCCAGGCAGCATGTAAAGCGTCCTGACGATGCTGTTTCTGAACTCGGGGTCTGTGGAGGCGTTGTAATCAAGGTACGCCTGAAACTTCTCCTCGGACGGCGGCTTCTTCATAGAGGCCTTGACAAGTTCATAGGCCGACGAGTACTGGTCGTGGTTGATCTTGATCTGGTGATTCTCGTCCTCGACAGACGAGGCCTCTCGGATGGAGGGTAAGGCAGCTTCCATCATGGACCAAAAGACGGTCCATTGCGTGTCGTCCCAGAAGCCTGCTGGCGGCAGAGCTGGGAGTTTGAGGGCGGCGGCTACGGCCTGGACAGAGGAATCTTCGTTCAAGCTCATGGTGACCAGTACTAGTTGAGAGCACAGAGATGCGAGATGCCAAACAAGCGGGAGGAAGCAGTGTTGTACGACAATCGTCCGTCGCCAGTGGGAAGTATTTAGAACTGGACAGCGTCTGGGAGGAGATGCCGAGGCGTGGTATGCGGAGAAGCCAAAAGGAGGCGTAAACGGAGTCTCGCTGATGTTTAATCCTCCGATTCCGTGGCGAGCAAGAAGGAAGCAGATGGCGCCACTCCCAACTAGGTAGAACGGGTAGAAGAGGACGTTGCCCGGTGTGGAGTGCAGAGCGTGACCATCCTGGCGTCCGAGCTCCTTCCCGCCTCCATTCCCCCGTTGATCCCCAGTGTCGAGCTGCTCTGGCAAAATGCGGGGTCTGTGCTAGGCAGCATGTGATGGGGCCGAGGGCCTAACCTGATGAGGGCATGGTGGCTTCTCCTGTCGATGCAGACAACAACTCGACGTCGGCGGAAGTCAAGGTTGAGGATCACGTCGATGAGTTTTGGGTTCTGGAGTTGCGGAGGAAGAGCGTTGCATCTGGAAGCGAGGCAGGTGTGTCGAGTGCCAGCAGCTTGCCCTTGTCCCGTGTGCCTGCCCACTGTCCGCTGACCAGCACTGTAGTGCCCACTCCCGGTGATGGTATTGGTGCTGCTTACACTGCATTCTCCAAAAGTCAATCGAGCGAGATCTATCCTACGACGATGAACCGCCGATTGCAGAGGCTCGTCAACCAGGGGTCCATACTACAGTCTGACGTCTGCCGTGCATGCAGGTCATTTGTCCTGTGTTAGCCACTGCATGCGGTGCGCTTACTGAATTCCCCGTAGTCATTTACCCACCCGGCTTGTGCAACAGGCTGTTCCGAATCGGCGGTATAGCATGTCGCAGCTTCTGGTTGCCTGCAGCAAACGGAAAACGTATGCCTGCATCACTGGTGGCCCAGTCACAAGTCTGGTGTTCTGTGTTGTTCTCCTTGCCATTCACACAAAGAAGGCAATGTACCTTGGTACAATCCTACGGATAGGTCCGAAGTGTTTGGACGCTACAAGAATCGAGTGCCAGGCTTATCAACGTTGAGAACTGTGGCCTTCGCTCTCTCTCTACTGGCAGCATTCCGGACTGTCTCCACAGACTTTGGCAAAGAGCAGACTTTCATCTCGCGATTGATAACACCAGATCGCAAGCCCTCGTCATCCCGTCAAGCGAAGCGGCTCGCCTCGCTTATCGAGGAAAAGACTCACACTCCCTGCACTCAACACGGCCGCCGGAACCCTCGGCTGTCATTGTCGTCATTTGAGTCGTCACAGCCTTAGCGTCACCGTTCGCTTCTAGCCGCTCACCCGTCGTCTCGTTTGCCCAACTATCCTTTGGCGTAGTGACTTTTGGTACCTTTTTTCCGATAATTAACACCCGTCATCTAATCCGTGAAACGTTTGCTGCGGTATGATAGAACGTCCAAGTTTGCAACGGAACGCATATGAACAGATGACGGCTGTAACTTCCAACAACCGGGACGGACCGCTAATGTCACCTAAGGGTATGGTCGTTCCCTGCTGTGGTTCAGTAACGGCGCCGTCGAAATTCTGCGCAAAAGCAGGGTTCCAGGAAGTCGGCCACGTTGAATCTTGACGGAAACATGCTGCAGCTCCCGCCAAAATTGACGCGGCAGGCACTGCTTTTTGTCTCAAGGGAGAACACGTTGACCATGTGCCGGTTCGGAGGAAAGCCCCGCCCCGTTCCGTTACTCCGGAATCACGGCAAATTATGGGGCACCGTCACGATTGCCTCAGCATATGTTCTCCTGCAAGGATGACGAAGGCTTGAACAACCAAATCCTCATCACAGGCCAAAGTCTCGAAGCATGGCGAGGAGGTGACGGCACGAGATGTGCAGCGGCGGGGTAGCATTAGGGAACGGCTCGGGCGTGTGCCGGTCAGGGTGTTCGGAAGAGGAAACGGGGGCCGGTTTTGTTGAGGAGGGCTCGCCCCGTCTGTGTGGTGATCTGATAGTTTGTAGGTTAAATTTGGCTTGGTGGTTCCTTCGAATGCCCGGGTCGATGGAGAATCACATGTCAATTGGAAAAAGAAAGGCCCTTGACACGTGCTTCGAAGCAACATGGTTGACTCAACATGTCGAGGATCATTGTGGTTGACTGGAAAACGAGAGTAGAGAGTCGAGCGTTCACGCCAAAATCTGTACGCCCTGCCAGGACTAATCATAACGGTGAACAGGTCAGCCATCGGAGCTTTTACTGGGCAAGACGCCCGGCAGACCTTACTCGTTCGTGCGGCACACCGGCGGTCTGACCCGACCAACGGGTATGGTGAACGAGCATGCCGGGCGGTCTTGGAACGCCGCAGGGGCATGGAGACAAGCGACGAGGAAGATGGCGAAAGCTTCCACCGATTCTAAAGCCGATCTCGATGGGGGTTAGCGCCTCTCAACAAAACGCAGGACAGGTGCCCCATGGGCGGGGTAGTAGGTACATCTGGGTCGCATGGATTTACCAGTGTTTCTGCTAAAAGTATTAGCAGACAAGAAGTCGCGAGGCCCGTGCTGGCATTTTCAGGGTCCCGCCGAAAGAAGCTAGCAACTCGGAAGCCCACTAAAGATTTTACTGTCCTCAACTTATTCAACAGAAGATACCTATTCTCTGAAAAAGGCATCCACGCTCGTGGAGTGTTCGACGAACATTTTGACATGTGGCAGACAAGGCCCATGTCCAACTTTGACCGAGGCACCGTAGCGATCGAGTGGACAAGACGTCTTCGCTCCGAATTATCCGCCATGGCATGCGTACCATGTAGACGTGACCGACGGCTGGGCCGCGACGGGCAATGACCAGCGCTCAACGAAGTGACATTCAAAGCAACCGGATAGGCCGCCGCAAAGCTGGGCTCCATGAGTGACGCCGCCGCGGGGGGGCGAAGCAGCCACTCATGCCTCGACCTCACATGCCTTACTTCTCAAACAGGAAGGAAACCCCAGCCATACTGGGCTCTCGTTGGTCAACCCTTTGGTTTTTTTCCTTTCCTTCAGTGTGCCTGCTCGCCCTTGCCTGCGCCTGATCTCGAAAGGCAAGGCTCAACCCCATCATCAAGAAAGAGCTTCCGTGACGGATATCCACCCGCCCACTTGTCTACCTTGCACTTGCCCCCCCGACCCCATCCATACCCCCAATCCTGGGATCCTGGCCAGTTATTCCATGTGATGCGCACTACAGCGTGCACGTTGGACCCCGTTCGTCTTGTTGGCCTCGGCTTATTCGTGCCCTCCGAGACAAACCTCTGGTTCTTGAGGCACTGACTGACCGGCCCTGGCCTCTTCCCCCCTACCCACACCCCAGCAGAAAAACTCCAACTAGTACCCCATCCTCCCGTCCTCAAGTCGCCTCTTATGTATCCCGGCCCTGCCTCTTGGTGACACCGACTTGTCTTTTGCTTCACAAACCACCTTTGCTCTCGTCACCAGAGTCTCGTCTTCTCCTCTTCGACGCAGGTTCCTGACCTTTCCCGCCTCGAAGACTTCCTCGAGTCGACCCAACGAAACTTCCCTCTTGGCCCTGTTGCGCCGGCGCCTCAGATCTCCGTTGGCTTCATTTGACGCCTTTCGCGCACGCAGCCTCACAACCACCCACCACTGCTTTCTGAGGCCAATTGGCTTCCCTCGTCTGCAATATGTCCGGTACTACCATCCTCAGCGAGCTACCGAGCTCGTCTCTCTTCCAATTCCCTCCCAGCCACTACCCCATCGGTGTCCCTCCTCCCCCGCCGGGTGTGAGCTCTTCCAACTTCGCCATCCCCGATCACATTTACAATGCCGTCCTGGACCCCCGGGTCCCCATCACCATTGCGGCGACGTACGCTGTCACGATCAAGCTCCTCAACCGCTACAATACCTCTACCAACAAGCGCCCTTGGGCTATCAGCAAGACGGGCCCTTTCAAGGTCTTTGTCATCCTCCACAACATCTTCCTTGCTGTCTACTCGGCCTGGACCTTCTGGGGTATGCTCGGTGGTATGCGCCGTGCCATCGTAAGCCCTTTTGGCCCTCACGGCCTGGCGGCCACCGCCGACAGCCTCTGCCAGATGAACGGCCCTGCTGGCTTTGGCCACGCGACTGTCTACAATGAGACCCTCGGCCAGTGGACCAGCATCAACGGTGCCATCAGCCTGTCCGCCAACGGAAACCCTAGCACCGACGTGTACGGTCGCTTGTGGAACGAGGGTCTCTCGTTCTACGGCTGGATCTTCTATCTGAGCAAGTTCTATGAGGTGCTTGATACTTTTATCATCCTCGCCAAGGGCAAACTGTCTTCGACTCTCCAGACCTACCACCACGCCGGCGCCATGATGTGCATGTGGGCTGGCATGCGTTACATGTCCGCTCCCATCTGGATGTTTGTCCTCGTCAACTCGTTTATTCACGCTCTGATGGTAAATACTCCTCTTTCTCTTGATTTCTGCGTCACCCGCTAACGTGCATATTTAGTACACATACTACACCATCACCGCCTTCAACATCCGCGTGCCGACACCTATCAAGCGCTCTCTGACCACGATGCAAATCACCCAGTTCCTCGTGGGCGCTTCGTATGCCATGCTTCACTCATTCGTCTCGTACACCGTCCCGGTGACCGTCTACACCGAGAAGTCCGCGTCTGCCGCCGCTGCCGCCTCCGCCAGCTCCTCCTCTTCTCTTCCCACCGCCGAGGCTATCGTGAAGGCGTCTGTCGGTGCGATCGAGTCTATCAAGAACATGATCTACGGAGCGGCCAGCGAGTCTGCTGTTGCAGCCGCCGCCTCGGATGCCACTGGCGCCGCTGCGGCCGCTGCCGCTGCTGCCGTGCCCGCCGGTCTTCAGGCTGAGACCGTCTGGGTCACACAGCCTTGCATCACCACCAGCGGTGAGACTTTCGGCATCTGGCTCAACGTTCTGTATCTCGCGCCCTTGACCTACCTCTTCGGCATGTTCTTCGTCCGCAGCTACCTCCGCCGCTCCAG